ACACACACATGCAAACTATATAGACACTGCAAACCTCTGACTCCAACTTATCTCTCGGGAATGCAGGAGCCGCAACGCGAACGACTCCAACAGAGGGGGCATATAGAAATCTGCGTGCCACTTGCGGTCACCCGTTCGCAGGTGACCGCAAGCGTCTCGCAGATAATCAGAAAGGATCGCAGGTGTTGCAGGTGTCACGCAGATGTCTAACAGCACTTCATCAATTCAAATCAAAAGAAATGTAATCTTAAATTGAGAACTCGAAGTGTGCGCTACTGCGAGTACATATGCCATACAAGTCCGGAATACGTTGTTCTACACTAGAGTTTTGGTTCTTTTTCCTTTTACTTTCTCTGATATTTACTTATGCCAACTCGCAATTTGACCGCAGGTGGTTCGCAAATATCTATTTTGTGTGCAGATGCTCGCAAATGTGTCTCGCAGGTGTATCGCAAGTGATGCGCAAGTTGCACGCAGGTGTACGCAAGTCTCGCAATGGGCACTAATTCTCGCAACTGTATCTTAAATGTGTCGCAGGTGTGTCGCAGATGCATCTCAAGTGTACCGCAAGCTGAACGCAACTGTATCGCAGGAGGAACGCAGGCATGCCATTGAGTCCACACATATTTGCCGAATGTCAAAAAACCCCACCTTCAAGATGTATAGCGAGGCGGAGATCCTTCACAGGGCATGGGACGTTTGGATCCCTCGTTTGGTGTGGAATCAAATTGGGATGGGAAGAAGAGAGCGGGGAGTGAGTCTGGACAAGAGGTGAGACTGACATTGACTAATTTCGATCTAGTTCAGACCTAAGTACATTGACTTTACGGAACCAGCCCTAGTCACAAGTCTCAAGAAAAAAACTCAACCACAACCGCGTCCATTAAAGCAGAAAAAGGCTGACTAATAGTCATGGCCTCAGACAAAAATTGTACCTTTCTGCCTAAAAATAGTTTTAGTACAGACCTATAGGCACGAACTAACGTGTTCCAAAAGAACCAGAGAAATTTATACACGTTAAACTAGAAGGATAATCATGGTGCTCAAGAAAATACGAAGAAATACCAAAGAAATATGGCATCTCAGCGAGGTACGCTGATGCTCGCAGATGCCCGCAGATGCTCAGCTCAATAACTTCAATCTGCACGCAACCGGATTATTCTGCACGCAGGTGACCGCAGATTTCTTTTTTCGGTTCGCAACTGGCACACAACCAGTGTTCGCAGGTGCCCGCAGATGGCACGCAGATTTTCCTATGCCCCAACAGAGGTTCCATCGTCCTTGGAAATATCGTAGACCTAAGAGCTTTGAATGCTTGAGACAACAAAAGAGTAAGAAAGGATATATACCTTGTGATAGCCCCCTTGTGCCAATTTCTCGATGGTGCAATTTGCGTTGAAGTGGGAGTTGACAACGCCTCTCAGCCCAGAGAGGCTGAATGTGTCAGGAACTCCTTCACCGTCATACGAAAAGGTTGATGATGCGTCGTCGGAGGTGGCTGTCATTTATCTTATGTCGCCAAAGTCTTGAACATACCGTGAAACGTTATCTGATGGAACCAAGATGAACAACGACCGTAGAGTTCAAGATGGACCGTGGGACGAGCTAATATGCCTCACTGTGACACTCAGGTCCAGGCTGGTCACAAATGTCACTCAACAGCTTTACATCCCTTGAGTGCCAACCTGCGCATCATCGAGTCTCGAAACTTACCCTGCAATACATACGCCCCTCCAGTTCCGAACTTGAGCACACCGAGGCTGAAAGAATGGAACCTGATGACTACTTGGTGACCATGTTACTTATGTTCGAAACTCAATCGAAATTCATAGTACTACTTATGACCATAGTGTACTCATCGCACCGTGGAGCACAGCCAAGTGAGTCATGACCTCCTTCTCGAAGCTGTATACTAACATCTTGAACGGTGTAAAGGCCGCACTGCGGAGAGCACAGAATCTGATTATACTCATGTGTGGTCATCCTAACTTGAAGTACTAAAACATCAGTGGTACCTTAAGCGCGACAACGGGAGGACTAGGAGACCTGTTTCGGTTGCAGGATGAGATATAATCCTTTTCATTTTGATGGACCAACGGTCCATCATACAAATCCTGAACGAGCACTCTGGTCGCGACGTCTTGCAACAGGGAAGCATATTTGTTACCAATGACTTAAAATTTTGCGTCAACGCGGGGGCTCCTGGAGCTGGATCTTCTGGATAACGAAAGGATAAACATTGGAGGCACACCGACTCAACACCAGTCAGGTAATACATTAAAAATGACTTAATGTCCAAATTTTGCCACGGTACTCATCAACTGGCAAAGGTATTTGAGGGCGCACCCCCGTCTCGGCGTCAACTTTTAGTCGACAACGCGGCTGATCTTTGGAAGGATTTATCCCCATTGTAGCTTTGCACGTATCTCCAAGTGTTCATTATTCGGTCACCGCAAATTGGGAAAACTGTTTCCGATTGGTCATAAGTTCGTCGCGTTGCTCATTCCCCCTCTGGCACTTGTTGAGCTAATACAGGGAGACTCTGAATCAATAGCCCCATGCGGTCCAGTTGCACCAAAGTCCAAAGTTAACAAGTTGCAGAATTTTTTTCCACGTCGAGAAACCTCTTCAAAAACTTTCTTCTGTGTCCGCACGTCCACCAACAAGCCAGGTAAAACCTACCCATTGGATATTCGATTTCCACGGGTGAAATTTGAGCCCCTCGACTCCCACATTGAGTTTTATCTCAACGCACTTTCCAGGACATTTGAACCCACGTAACCTCAGAATCGCTCTCAAAGCGCTAGGAGAACAGCTTAACTGCGCAATCAATAATGTCAGAGCTTTTTATTCTGCTCCAGGCTTCTTTTTAGAAGATTTGTTGACGGCCAACCCGTCGCTATCGAAGGCAACTCCGCCGACTGAGTCGGACCCCAGATTTTACCTAAAACGATCCCGCTGGACTGCCACCAATGATCTGCTGAGTGCTGTACTGTATGACGTGGACACCTCGAACCCTAATGGAAGCTTATTTCGAATGTTGATTTGCTTATGGGGCTAGGTACTTACATGCTGTGGGGTCCTGTTGTTTCGCCATCTCTCCCATAAAAGTAGAAGAGGGAAAGCGAATCTCTCTCCTTTTGACCTAGCACAAATTTTCATGGAACCAGAAGCTAGTGGCTTTCCCCCCACTCTTTGTGAGTGGTGTACCTTCCCCTCGATAGACTGTCCGCTTCATAACACCCCCAAAATCTTGCCATACAGAGAATCTGATCCCTCCTCGATCTACAACGAATTGAGGCATGGGATCAACCCTTCAGAGGCAGGGGGAGAATCATCGACTCTGCGACTTCCGCACTCAATTAGTTTCGCGGAAACCGAACCCGCGCTATACAGAGAGCCTGGTCCCTCTTCGCTCCACTACAGAGCTAACCCTTTTGAGGCAGATGGGGGAGAATCACCGACGCGACTCCCGGACTCGACCACTTTTTTGGAAACCGATTCTGCGCTACACGAGGAGCCCAATTCCTCCTCACTTCACAACGAAGTGATCGACGGGATCAACCCCTCTGATTCAATGGGGGGAGAGACATCGACGGCGCAAAACCCTCGATTGATCGTAGCGTCGGCGGCGCAGGTTGCGGCTTCCAATAGTCGCAGGAAAACAAATACAGGCCGATTTCCTTGTGATCTGTGCTCGCAGACTTTTACTGCAAAGCACAACCTCCAAAGTCAGTCTGATATCGCCCCCTCGAAATCTCGCAGCTACTGATATATTCAGTAGACCATTTCAATTCTCATTATCGAAGAAAAAACCACCACTGCGAGCCAGATGGCTGTGGGGGTAGCTTCACGACGAAATCTTCTCTGAAACGCCATGGTAAAAGCTGTAAAGGCAAAGGTGTAGCCGGCTGAACTGTCACGGAAATCTGTAGATGAGTTTCGCAAGTGGATGGCATAGCCTGATAGAACGCTTCCTTAGAACCCTATATACCTGCACATTCTTTATATCTACTATCCAACGTAAAACGCACCCGCATAACTTTCGTTAATGTAAAACGCGTACCTTTTCAGAATGCCGCGGCCTATGACTGGTTCCGGAGACTGACATTGCGTCAGAAAGAAAGTTAGCGGATTCAAAACGACTTTGATGTTCGAGCATGCAGTTAGTGGTTCAACCACATGCACAGCACAAGCACGCATTGGGACGAGTGGAAGACTTGACGTCCCACTACTTATTCCGCAGCGGTTGATTTGGGATTGACCAAGGTTGATGTATGATGGCTGTGCTGTGGACGCTGACTTTCTGGAAATTTATGTTGATATGTTTTAAGTACGGACTGCCAAATAGACATACTGAACGCCACCAGAAGGATCACACGTCCACACAGGTCAGTCAACAAGCGTCTCTCGCTTTTTGTGTTCACAGCAGAGGGGGATGGTTTTTGTCCACGGGAGCGTCCGCCCCCATCGCATCACCACCAGTGTGTTTCCCCGCTAGCTAATCCGGAAACGCTGATTCTAGCGAGAAGTTCAGTGTCCCAGTCAGGCTTCGCCAGGCGCCGAGATGTCACCCTTGCACTGTCGCCATCATCCCGTTCCCGAAGTTCAGGCACGTCAACAGCCTTTTGGGCTATTGTGGGCGAACGGACCCAGAAAGTGGGGTAGGCCATATTCTAGACGAGATGAAGCCTCTCCCAGGGATAACTAGAGCAAGTCGCTCATAGAGGGGACCATCCGCATGGATCTCCAAAGAGCTTCTTTGGTTGCTATAGAGTATTGGTCTCGGGTGAAAATATAGGGACGTACGCCCCAATCTCTGTAAAACCGCCTAGCTGATGTAAAGCTATGGAGACTCCTATTCGGGCAATCTGGGGAGTAATCAAAAAATGTTCTGGCCATCTTACAAGTCTTTGCAAGACAGGAAATAATAATGAGAAGAGGTGCATACGTGGACAGACAGTGTAGACCAAACAACGCGATATAGCAGCACGATGCTCTCAAACAGAGTAACGGAAGAACTAATTATAAGCACGATTTAGTGAAGCATCATAGGTAGAGACAACAATACTAACCGAAGCATCATCACCCTTTTCGTGTTCTTGGAATTTCTGTTCTTCGGAATAAGACTCAAGAGTGAGGCCCTGCGCCATCATCTCTGCGTCCCTACGGGAATTTTCACGCAGGAGGTAGCGGTGCATGAAGAGGCAAAGGAAGAAGCTCAAAGTTAGCATGCCAATCGAAACAATGTGGCCTTGTGCAAGAATCGGTAAAAACGCAGAGATAACGCCACCGAGGTGACCGAAGCCTGCGCAGAAAATAATCAGGTCCGTCAGTTGTGAGTGATTATAACAGAGGACTTACCGATTTGCATGGCAATACCGACTGCGCGCTTGGTAGATCCACCGATGTTGTTGGCGTTCCAAGCGACGCCGATAGGAACATTGGGATAAACCCTGGGAACAAGTCAGTTAGCGGGAGAAAAGGAATAGTGATGGAATACACTGACCCGGAGATTACCAAGAAGGCACCCGCATATTGCACATGGGAATCGCGGGTGGAGATCATTAGGACATATCCAAGGATAGCGGGGACGCAGAAGAGCATCATGTAAGCTCCACGTCTCTTCGTTTTATCCGAAATGAAACCAGCAACGATTGTGATGATGCAACCCAAAACAGCTGGGGCAACTGTCATGAGCTGGGTATAATCATTGAAATAGTCCATGTTCTTGACGATGGTGGGGAGGAACCGAAAGATCGAATACAAAGGAGTATAAATGCCTAATGGTTGTTTTCAAAGTTAAAGCTTGACTTGACGGCGAATGGGGATATCACTCACAGATGGCGATCAATATGTGAACGTAGATCTTCCAGTCTTTGAAAGCGGACGTGATATACCTGCTGTGATGCTCATTAGACAGAGAGGGATGGTCTTGTACAAGGCGCTCTTTCATCTGCGTGTGCTCGACAGCCTTCAAAAACCTTGCGCTGTATGGAAGAATAGTATCAACAGGGGATGGATAGGAGACGTATGGCCGACTGACGTCTCAGGACCGTCGTGGATCAGGAATTTAGCCAAGAAGGCTACTAAAATTGTTGCAAGCCCCTCCAAGATAAAAGTCCATGCCCAGCTAGGTCTACCGCCGATGCCCCCCATGTATGAAATGAGATGACCAAGGAGGCCGTTGAACGAAACACCAAGCGTAGCTGCGGAGAAGATAATGGCCATACGGAGACCGCTTTCATATCTGCGATACCAAAAGGTGACGTAGAAGATGATACCAGGGAAAATACCGCCTTCGGCAAAGCCAAGAACGGAGCGAGCGACGAGGAGGGTACCAAAGGTTTTCACTGTACCCATCAAGGTCATACCTAGAACGACTGTCAATTGACTAAGGGAAAGCCGAGGAAAGGACAAACATACAAAGACCTGTGGCCATGGTGATAATGCAGAGCCAGCGGGATGGGCCGATCTTCCTAAGAAAGAGATTGCTTGGAATTGCAGCTACGGCGTAGAATGGAAAGAACAGCGCGAGAGCGACCTAACATTGGACGTGACGATAAGCGAGAGGAGAAACAAACTTGACAATAATAGTCGTACGGAGTAGTCCAAACCCTTCATCTTGAGGTCTCTCTGTAAAACGGTGACCGCGCGGAAGTTAACGATATTGGTACTGTCCAAAAGAGCGAGGCTAAAGCACCACTATAAAATGACAGCTTGACGTTGACAAAGTGAAAACTCACAAATACAAGAGAGCAATGAAGGGAATGAGGTTCCAGTCCAGTTTGCGGAGGAGCTTAGCAGTACTCCTCTTGTCGAAAGTTGGCCTCGGAGGTTCGACGTGATTCGACGTGGGCTGATTAACGCCACCGAATTGTTGGGGGGGAAAGAACCCGTCCCCATATGCGTCTTGATCGAATGGCATCTCGAATTTGGGGGTCGTCGATGTTGACTTGTTAACGCCATCGAATTGTGAACTTGAAGGGGTGCACCCGTTCCCATCTTGGTAGATTGACGTCTCGAATCTGGAAGGGCCATCAGCCCCGTCTTGAGGGAATGGCATTTCGAGCCCGAAGGACCAGGTCGTCAACGTTGTTGCACGAAAGAGAAAAGCAAAATTCAGGGGTCCGTCAAGAGTCAACCAAATCTCTTGGCGTGATCGGGCTGATCACGAGAAGGATGAGGGTGAAAGTCGGATTTCCAGACGAAGGAAAACTGTAGTACATAACGTGTTGCCAGTCGCTAGGCTGCTCGCCTGTGAATATCCGTCAATGAAGCATTGTCGTGCTTGCCAGTGCGTGCAAGATCAAAACGATGCAGCGGAGAAATGGCAAAATTACAGATGTCAACAAATGAAAACAACGTCATTGGAAGAGACCTACCACGGTCAGGAACGGTAAACCAGTCTACAGCGCGCAATCGGAGAGCTCGACGTCGGGATTCTTTGACGCCCAGCCTACATCCAATTCTCAGTCCATAAATCTCACAGGTAGAACAATTTATCAACACGTCGAACACAAACAGCCAATGGACGACGGCCGAAAAGGAGGTAGGCCCCGAAATCATACACATACCGTTCACGGAACTAGGGCCACACCATCTATGGCTGGACATGAACGGAGGGTATGAGGGGTGTTGCGAAGGAAGGCACATAGCTCATGGAATGTGAAGCGACTTGGAGCTTGGCGCCTGGTAAAGTCTCCTACGACATTGAAATTCTGAAAATCAACGTGCTCTAAGCTGCTCTAGTCTCAAGATCAATCACTCGAGAATGACAAATGCACCACTCTGAGCTAGAAGGAACTGATACGTTGACACTAGAGTGGTGAAACTCTATCTCCTTCGTAGCCCATTTGAAACTAACAGACGATTGAAACAGAACCACAACAACCGATGAAATCACCCCCAACTCCGCCAATGCTTCTGAATCATGCATATATGCGTCTCAACCTCTGTGCTCGACATCTTATTTCAGCATAGAAGGTCCGTTAGCTGATGTCGCCTAAGAAGCTTTGAGGCCCCGGAAGTCTCCCCTCCGCCCCAACTTCGACCACACCCAATGGCGTCTCGCAAGCAAGGGCGCGATGGCGGTCGAATAGGCCTCCCATGTTCCAGAGAGGACTAAGCTTGCAGCCTCCGTGCCGCCTGTTTTTTGGGCGTAGACTTGGTGAAATTGGCCAGTGGGGGCATGTTTGGGTGATCGGACTGGGTTGGAGAAGGGAATGGCAGAGGTCGGTTTGCCACGTTGGCATCTCCCGTCTTGTCCATCCGATTTTGAAGGAGGTTGCTCTCGGATTGGGGCAGCAAATCGTCTTCAAACCCTGCCCCCTTCTTCCCCTCCTGCTTCGACGATGGGCAGGGAAAGAGTTTGCCGCCGTAACTTTTGTGCCCTTCATACCCATTAGCATCTCAGCCATAATCCATCCGCATCAGGCTGTACGCGGTGAATGCATGCTGTTGCCCTCTAGCATTCTACGAGCGTTATTGATCTCGTCCACGTTTAGGTCCTGTCGCAGGGAACGCGCGTCAACTTCGATGAGGATATCGAAGGGTCTTGAAACCCGCAAAGTCTTTATGTGTCGCAGGAATGCTCACGTCCTCCAGGACTCCTCCTCCTTACCTTTCGAAATATTTTTCTTCATCACGACCGCCAGACCGCCCTCTCTGCTGGTTTCAGCCATGGACCACTAGCGCAAAGACATTCTAGTCCTTCGGCTGTCCACGCTACCCTATGATCCGCGCATGTCCACCGTGTCAACAATGGTGTGGGCTCTTCCGAACGTAACGTGCTCTACAGCCAACCAATGCGGGATCTTTGACAAGATCGTCTTGGGTTTTTGAGAGTCAAACTTTGGCTTTTGTTGAAGAATCACTCGACCAACAGTAGGAACTCCAGATGCGATCTTACTATTCGAAAGTTCATCAAGTTTACTCATCAGAAGCAAAAGCTACTAGTTCAACTGGATGACGTGGATGGTGCCAGGCGCCCTGCACTAAACTGTATGAGTGGAATGGTTGGGGCGAAGATGATTGTGAGGAAGATAACCAGGTCCATGCGAGTGAACTTGAACGCCTTCGGCCTTGTCCCCTTGTCCCCATCCCCAGCTATCCTCAAATGCCATGCCCCCGGGGCACTCCCGTCTAACACTACCTATCCTTCCTCCGTAAAACGTGGTACTCCTGCTCCGCGCTGGGGGGTAGCTGTTCATGTAAATGGTGGTGGCCCTTTGAAGCTGAAGTCAGGGAGGGTGGGGGGCATTAGTGAACACCGCGTGGCAATCTGGCGGGTTTTCGGGGCGAGTCATTTGTGTGAACGGATGGGAGCTTGATACGGTCGTATCGCATGAAAAGTGCGGTGGGGAACGGCGTTAAAACGGCATTCCTTCGAGCGCTGGCGCCTCTCGGCAAGCGCCAAAATCGTTCCTTTGATGACAGACCATGGGAAGGGAGGTAAAAAACGTGAGTTACAACTCGTACGTCGCTCAACTACTGCATACGGTTTCTGGCAGTCATTTTCGCCCATGGACTGGTCAATCCTCGAACGTGAAAATTTCTTATTTCCGCGTGTAGAGCACTCCATGTTACGGGCTTCGGCGCTGGTATCCAATAATAGAATTCGTTCAAGCGGCAAACTGTCAAGGGATTGACGGCGTGGGGCAGTGATCGACCTGGAATCTACATATATATTGTGTCACTTCCTCCCCTGATTCCCCCTCTTCTTACGCATTTTTGCTACACCATGGCTGGAATCCTTTCTGGAAGTCAGAATGTTCACATTGGTGGGGGTACAATCACAGCAGCTCAAACAGTAAGGGATATGACCTGTCTAGATCTCAGGCTGGGACGCTAATCCACGCATCACAGATCATCAACAACCACAACTTCATTCTACTGCCTCAACCACTGGCACTTGAGGAGTTGGAAAGAGTTCCAGTTCCACTTAGACCTAATTCCGATGTTTGCTTCACTGGCAGACGGGAGATTCTTGAAAAGCTCAAGGTTTACTTTGGTTCTCAAATTGATCCACAATCGCGGCATAGGCGTCAGTACCTCATCTATGGGATGGGGGGCATTGGTAAAACACAGATTTGTCTGAGGTTTATTGAGGAGATGTCCAGTCAGTGAGTGAACAAACTTTTGACGTCACGTGCCCTTTTTTGAGATCCATTTCTATAGCTTTTCCCAAGTCTTCTGGATTGATGCATCCTCCCATACTACTATTATCCAGGGTCTTAAGGGCATATGCAATGATTCTCTGGCGAATTCATCACCTGAGCTTGCTCTCCAGTGGTTGGGCTCTTTGAAGGAAAACTATCTTTTGACCTTTGATAATGCTGATTCTCTGGCTCCTGATGAACTGCAAAAGTACTTTCTGCCTGGCTTGACAGGGAATATCTTGATAACTAGTCAGAATGCTCACATGTAGCATCTTACTTTACCAAAGAACTCTACAGAAGTCGTAGAGATGGAGCCAGAGGAGGCAGTCTCATCGCTTTTGAAAGCAAGTCATTTGGATGAACCTGACCAGAATATAAAGGATGTTGCTAGACAGATTGTGTCTGAGCTTGGATTTCTGCCTTTTGCTATTGATCAGGCTGGTGCTTACATCTTAGGCAGCAATATTTGTGATTTTCTGGAGACTTATTCCCAGCATAGGAAGGAGTTGCTATCTAATTTGTTGTTCCATGGTGCATCAGCATCTGAGAAGAATGTCTATGGAACTTGGGAGTTATCATTCAGTCAGGTAAAATCTATGGCTGAATCTGGAGGTTTATTTGCTCAAGCAGCACAGAGTGCAACCCTCATCCTGTCTATATTGGCCTTTTATCATTATGATAGCATCACTAAGGAGATCTTTCAATATGCTGCTGAGAATTTTGATCAGGAATCTAAAGAAAGTACTTCTGATTCCATGCTTCCAATGGCAATTTCTTTAGTAGATTCTACACTACTCTCTGTGAATGATGAAGGCAAATGGGATTCCTTATGCTTTGAGAATGGGGTTCGCTTGTTGATGTCACTATCATTGATCAGGCGAAGCTCAAATGGCCTGTACTCTATACATCCACTTGTCCATGCTTGGAGTAGAGACAGGATGACTGCTGAAGAAAGGCAGAGCTATTGCTTGAAGGGATATGGGATTTTGACAATCTCCATTTCAAAGCATCTGGAAAATCAGTCTTATACTTTCTGGCAAATTCTGGTGACACATATGAAAGCCATACAAGAGCATAGTCTGAAGGCAAAAGTTCAAATCCCTTACTATGATGATACATGTGCCAAATTTGGTTGGATCTTATATGAGCAAGGAAAATATGCTGAGGCAGAAACATATCAGATTCAGGTACTTCAAAAAAGAAGGGAATTACTTGGAGAAGCCCACCTAGATGCAGTCTGGGCCATGAGGGATCTTGCAATCACTTACTCTGGTCATGGAAAATATGAAGAGGCAGAGAAATTGCAAAAACAAGTTTTTGATGCACGCATGGCCAGATATACCAAGCCAAGGAGGTTTAAAGTACAAATTGAAAGACAAATGAGCATAGAGGACACAATCTCATCCATGGGACATCTTGCAAATACCTTTTATCGTCTAGGGAAATATAGTGAGGCACATGAGCTAAACCTCCAAGTACTTAAAGAAAGGAAGAAAGTTCACAATGAAGAACATCCATACATAATCACTGCAATGGGAAATCTTGCTAGCACCTACCAGCGTTTGGGAAAATATGAAGATGCAGAGGAGCTAGCTGACCAAGTACTGAAGGCAAGAATCAAAGTTCTTGGAGAAGAACATTCACACACAATCATTGCAAGGGAAAATCTTGCTAGCATTTACAACAGCCTCAAAAAATATAATAAGGCAGAGGAACAGAATATTTTGGTACTTGATGTGAGAAAAAGGGTTCTTGGTAAAGAGCATCCACATACAATTGCTGCCATGGTAAAACTGGCAAGCACATACCATATACTGGGGAAATATACAAAAGCAGAGCAACTAAAAAGCCAAGTCTTGGATGAAAGGGAGAGAGTCTATGGAAAGGAACATTCTTACACAATTTCTGCCATGACACACCTTTCTAACACATTATATCAGTTGGGAAAATATACTGATGCCAAGCAACTGAATAGTCATGTACTGGAAGTAAGAAGGAAAGTTCTTGGTGAATATCATCTGCAAACAGTTACTGCAATGGCAAATCTTGCAAACACATATCACAAACTGGAAAAATATGCGGATGCAGAAAAATTACAGAGTACAGTACTAGATATCAGAAAAAAAGTTCTCGGAGAGAAACACTCTCATACATTTACTGCTATGGGAGATCTTGCCAGCACATATCATAGTCTGGGAAAACATACTGAAGCGGAGAAGCTGCAGGCTTCAGTGCTTGAGGCAAGAATGAAGTCTCATGGCAAAGATCATGTATATACAGTTATGGCTATGGAGAATCTTGTCAGCATTTACCATTGTCTAAGCAAACATAGTGAAGGGAAGAAGTTACATGCCCAAATACTTGATATTAAGCTCAAAATTCTTGGAAAAGATCATCCAAACACAATCTTATCTATGGAAGAGCTTTCAACCACAACGTACCATCTGAAAAAATATCAAGAAGCAGATAAGCTAAACACTGATTTACTTGATGCAAAGAAGAGAACACTGGGAGAAGACCACCCACATACAATCACTGCCATGATACATCTTGCCAACACTCATTACATTCTTGGAAAATACACAGACGCAGAGAACTTGCAAATCCAAGTACTGGATATATGTAAAAGAAATCTTGGAGAAGAACATCCACAAACACTTAGTGCCATGGGAGATCTTGCTACCACTTATTGCATGTTGGAGAAGTACACTGATGCAGAGTTGCTCAATAATGAAGCTTTTGAGATGACAGAGAATTCTTGGAGAGGCGCATCCACAGACTCTCACTGTTGTGGCAAATCTTGCCAGAACATACCATTGCCAGATTAGATATGCAGAGGCAGAAAGGTTGCAGATCAAGTTACTTAAGCTTCTTCTAGCAGTCAATCTTCCAGCTGAAGATGCAGTAAGGCTTCTTCCAGCTAAAATTGCAGTTAAGCTTCTTCCAGCTGAAAATGCAGTGAAGCTTCTTCCAGCTGAGAATGCAATCAGACTTATTACAGCCCAGGCAGACCTTGCCAACACATACTACAGCATGAAAAAATATAAAGATGCAGAAAAGATTCAGAAGTGTGTGCTTGATGAGAGGAGGAAGATATTTGGAAAGACACACCCATCCTCAATGCAAAGCATGATGGAGCTAGCCAAAACTCTCAAGAGCCAGTCTATGGAATTTAAAGCAATGATTCTATTTCGGAGGGTTCTTTGACACCAACAGAAAATTTTAGGCTCAATGCACCCTCATACAAAAGAGACACAGAGACATTTGGATGAATTTAATAACCAAGTGAAAGGTAATTCATAATCTACCCCTATGTGATATAACAGACTTACTTTTTTTTAGCTCAAGTTTCATCTGGAGTAAAGAAGGGATTTTTGAGAGTCAAATCAAAGTTTTCTGAATGGACCAATGCTGGCCACAATATGGACAACAATGAAGACAATGACTCAGACCAAGATGAAGAAAATAATGAAGACTCTGATGCAGAAAATAATCCAGATAACAATCCAGACAGCAGTGCAGATCTAGATGAGCCTGCCAATTAGCAGATTACAATGCAGGTGATAGTTCACTTCATTTTCTATACATCCCACAGCAAATATGGGTGCTGACTGAATCTACAGAAATTCAAAGTTATATCTTACTCTGCCCCCCTTTGCCAATATCTGTGGACTTGTTGTGTAACTAGCCCACAGGTCAACATGCCTCAATATGCCAACTTTCTGTTCTTCCTTACAAGTTCACTCACTGGTTCCTGTAATTTCTGGTAAATTTCTTTACAATGTTCCTATTTCATGTCCCTTGTCCCAGTAAGCTTTGACAATTGTGTAAAATGTAAAATGTACTTGTTGTAGCTACCCAGCCTGAATTGTTCTAACAATCTATTATGTGAACCCAACTCTAGATTCTGAATACTGATATCACTGTCTGAGTTAAGGCCAGCAGATATCTTCCTATCTATTAGTGTTCGAAAGTCCGGTTAGGTCCGGTTATTGGGTGCCCAGGGGCTCTAACCGAGACCGAGACCGGTTAGCCTTTGTCCCGAAACCTAAAATAACCTAAACGGTTACGGTCAGTTATTTGCAGTTACTAACCGGTTAGGACCGAAAAATAAAGAATCACTTATAACAAGGCAAATATGCTCATATGTATCTTGATAGATATTATTTCTGCATATTCTAGCTTTAAAACGAGCCCAAGAACGCTAAATTCGGTGAAGAATTGACATATTTATGCAATTATCCTTGAAAGTCTACACATTTGAGTGATATTTTAGAGATTTGACCGTAACTTAGTCAAATTTTAAGCATTTTCGACGTTCTAAAGTGCGTTTTGAAGGTGTATAATAGGGCTGGTTATAACCGGTTATTTAACGGTTAGTTAACCGCAAAATAACCGGTTATTCCATTTTCGAAATCAATTAACCCTAAACGCGGTTAGGTTAGTGTTGCGGTTAGGTCCGGTTATTTTCCGGTTATTTTCCGGTTAACTAACCTAACTTTCAAACACTACTATCTATTGCCTTTAATGTCTTGAATTCTGTCAAGGCCCTGAGGGGATGGGACAAGTTCTCAAGTACATGCAACTGCAATGAAAACACAAATATAAATGTGATCCAACAACCACTTGATTCAAGTTATGCAGGTCAGCACATAATTGTTTTCCCTTGTCAAGCTCCTTACCACGAGTGTCATCCTTACAAAAGAAATCCGCCCAGGCTCAATTATTCTGAATATTATGCAAATATTATGGTTTGTGTGTGTATTCCATGCTCATTGACAAATGGACAAGTACAGTGGTCATGAAGGTTTTAACATAAAGAAATATGGTTAAAGAATAGGAATGCTTCACTGCCCGTGCCCTAGATGTCCTTCCTTGAATTTTGAGCAGAGTTGTTGATTCTGAGTGTCAAAACACAATAGACCCAAAATAGACCAAAACAATGCCCTACCGTCGTCGAGTCTTGAAGTGCGGGTTGAGTGCGGGGCCACCTCTTCCAACCACACAATCTGCTAGTGGCAAGCTTACCTTCAAAACCGGAATTATATTTCCCTCTGTCAGGGTTACTGTTGCCGTAAGTCCTTGCTCAGTACCTCTCTCGTAACCTCTTTGCTTAGGCAGCAACTCTGTCGACTAGGCGAATTTCAATTACACAAGTAGTGGCCCTCTATTCCAACTGCCTTTGCACATCTATGCTATCTAGTATAGCTCAGCCTGTCTCCCGTGCCGGCCAGCGTAACCATGGAACGAAGCCCGTTGATGACGATTTGGCTCAATTGGAAGGGTTCGGTTCGAGGGGAGAAGCGTGCAGTATGAAGGGAGTTCTATCAAGTCGTCTTGTGGGGCCTTAGATTTCTGATGACAAACGTGCTACCCGACGAGGACTATATCGGAGGACTCGACATTCGAATTGACCGTTTTGGGGATGTTTCGAAGAAGTTGACGCTCGAATCTCCGCTGAGGTGAACGTCATGGGGCGGGGGCGAGCCTTGGGGTTGGAACGTTGGAGGTTGATTGGGGCAGGACGTATCTTGGGGCGACGCAGAAGACGAGTTTTGAGGTGAAGTAGTATCTGTTTCCTTCTTACCCCAATTGAAAGCTGACAGACTTTCTAAACAGAACCCCGACGGCCAACAAAATTACCTCAGCGATTCCGCCAACACTTCTCAATCATGCGTAGATGCGCTTCCTTAACCGCTGCTTGGTGCCCCTGCATAAAAGGAATGCGTCCTCAAAGCGTTAGTTCCCCCACACCGTCAACTATACCTATCCTCAATTTCCCCAGCGGCATAAGGGGGCACCCTGCGGGAAACACTAACGAAACCTGGCACATCACAAAGAACTGGTCGAGCTTGAAGAGCCCCTGGTTTGACGCGCAGACTCGGTCATGGAGGGGGACGAAGAGTTTGGGTTCGGTTTACAGGATTGTGTTGGAGATATGAGGCTCCGCGCTAAACCGCTCGCTGCTCTCGAACTCACCATCACCGTCAGCCCCTCTTCCTGACCCGATCTTACCCATCGCCCGTCGCTTTGTCCCGCGGGGTAAATGTATGCTGTCGTTCTTTCTCTTCGTGTTTGACGGAACTTTCCAGTTTTCAGGGTATATGGCAAGAGTCTCATATCGGCCTCAGATCTGCGACGGGCTGCAATTCCTCTCATGAGTTACCGCAGCTTGAAGCACCTATGGCAAGGTCCCTGTATGCGTCTTCTTCAAATTTCTTCTCGAACTCCTCCTCTTCTTCCCACCACGTTACCTTCCAATTGAAGGAATTAGCCCAACGATCATTCCGCCACCCTCTATTATCTCGCCGAAGGTCTTCCTTCGGTTATGGTACCTTTTAATGCGTATGTTGAAAACATGGAGCTGCCGGATTTACGTTCCAACCTGAACTCCCGAAACTCCTTCTCACAACTCTTTCCCTGCTGCAAATGTCTATGACGTCTCTCTTTCTCTCAGTTCCTATCATCGAGCATGTTCCATCATCTCAAAGCATCTCATTTCAAGTGGTACCCGCTTGTGTGGATAGTAACGCATGTTACTCCAACCAAGAGACTTCATGCCTTTCACACCTGGAGATAATGTCGAGCTCTAGATAGAGCCCAAATGAGCGTTCAAAGTTCTCGAATAGGATGGATATTCCTCTCCGCCGTTGTTACGGCCATTTTTTTCGATGTTCAACCCCCAGCTGCAGGTCCTTCCGATTATCCTCCCTCCTACCCAATCCCCGTCACTCCAAGTGACGTCTACATCTCCCACTCCACCTGCCTCGTCAGAAGCGGCGTTGCTCTCTACTGCGGGCCACGAATCCATTTCAGCACGATACCTCGGGTTGTAAAAAGGGCTTGTGTTCTTTGACGGTAGGCCCGCGTGAACAACTATTAGAAACGACGTTCAGCTTGGTGTGAACCTGACGCATCCCTTGATTTGTTGCAGACCACGCTCGGGGCAGCCCATGCTATGTAATGCTTCCAATCATGGTTTGGATGGCCGCAATAGTGAAATGAAAACTCTTCAGGTCTACACGACACGCGCGGGCGATTACACAATCTTTCTCTCTGGCGCTTACCTAGAAGCTCGAATCCTCGGCCCGTTCTATCTCAGGGCCTACCATCGCGTCACATGCCATTCCGGATGAGTAGGCCGGCATAACTGCCAAATACTTCACCATAGCTGCTGTACGTTTCAAATCAGTTTTTGTTTTTCGAGTTGGCTTTCAAGTTCAAACTATTGCCCTTATTTGCCAATTTCCAAGTTCCCAGCAAGCTCCAGAATGATAGTTTCAAATGAACAGGGGAAGTTTCCAAATTCTTTAGACGAACAATACGATCAACGACACTAGCGAAGCTTCAGCCCCCATTATTAATATAAAACCGGACAACGTAAACGAGGGACCCTAGGAAAGTTCGTGGTGTAACTTCTTTTCGAACTCAATAACGAGATTGTTCCAATCCAATTTATTCAGATCCATCCCTTCTAGAACATGCAGGTATATCCAGTCATTCATTGTATGTTTCTGGTAAAGACAAGGACAGGACGTATTTTTCATTAACCACGGATTGTCGACAAAGGGAGAAGTTCGAGACGCGCTAAGCAGTCTGTATGAGCCTGGAATAGATGCCTGTGAGAAGGTCTACACGCATGCCACAAGAAAAGAAGACTTACGTCTCTTTAGGACACCTCCATCCTCGACGCAGGTCTAGAGGGGAGGGGGGCAGCTGACTGCATCGGAGGAACTTGGCCGATCGTCACATCTCGGGCAGCTCCCTGTCCCGCGCACTTCCTCATCACACAAGTCAAAACGTTGGTGGGATTATACCTCACATTCGTCTCCACCGTCGTGTGCCTTCCCACAAAATGGTAATGCGAAGGCGCGCCCGCATCGGTACCAACCATCTGGTCGCAGCATGGATAATAATTTTTGAAACCACATAACCCAGTGTTCGCGTCGGATTGTATGCCGGTTTTGATCAAGCGCGGCTTGTCGTGCGCCACCTGACACGCCTGAAAGCCGTTGTTTCGCTCGACATAGGTCTTGTGGCACCGCACACAGTGGCGGACCCTGGCGTCTTTGGCGGCGTCTTGCGCGGCCCCAATTATGATGCCGACTTTCTCCAATGCGTGGAGGAGATTGTCGATATCTTGCGGGAACGCCATCGGGCTTCGGACAGCCTTGAGGATTTGTTCGTGGAAGTCGAGGGGACGTGTGTTGTTCAGGAGATAGGTGAGAGTGCCAGCAGAGGCGGAGTTAGAGGCTGTGGAGAAGGAGAAGTTCTGCTCCCTGGAAACGGGTTGGCGCATAGAGAGGGCGTTGTTCATGATTATGGATTGGAGGTTTTGAATATAAGGTTGGAAGAAGCCGATATGCGGTTGTGTGGGTTTTGGTATCCCTCCCACCCTCTTAAAAGTAATTCGACGGCAGGTCAAGGCGCGTTACTGAGGCCACTATACGCGACCTGGGTGGACTGGATAATCGAGCCTTTCATCACCCGGTAGTGAAGAGGAGCTTTGTCTTCCGTCGTCCGCGTCATCACGTTGTTGCGCTTTGTCCATTAAGTCCATTATTGCTTGTAGTATTACTGAAAGGAAAGCAGGGGTTACTCACAAAGAAAATCAGCAACACGCTGGTTTAATTGTTATGGGCCCTAACAGAGCGCCACAAGCTCTTTTGTTGTTGTTTCTTTACTACGCGAGTGGCGGCTCGGCAGCATTCACGTTCCGGTTCCTATTAACGTAATCCCACAGCACAAAAGCCACTGCACATCCGCGTACACACCTCGTTCTGCTTGACTCCGAGAATCTTTGAGATTAAGTAACTCGTATTCATCACGACGACTAAAACATACCTATTGTATGTCTGACGCGGCGCCACATTGAAAAAATGGCCACTCAGACTGGAGGAAAACGCGCCCAGCATTTGGGTCTCGGAAAAAGTTCGGTGGGGTGGAGCAGGAGGCAGGAGTGAAGAGGGGCACGTCCGCGGGGTTAAAGAGAATTAGGAACGATTACTACGCACGTTTGGAAACCCTGCAAAGGCCTCATTAACAATGTGAAAGGGAAGCAACCAGCACTATTATGGTGCGAACGAACGCCTGGTAACCCCCAGTAAGCTATTGAGATAGAACCGTGGAAGGGGGCAAATATGAGTAATGATACGTTAAAAAGACCATGAACGACTCGTCCGAGCCCGTATCGCAACCCCCCAGTTGTTCACTTGTTCAGTTATACCATCGGCGGAGAACTGACGACTCGTCCTCGAGGTGCCTTTCCGTGTATGGAACGGGTGAGCAGTAATCTGCGATTAGTATAGACTCCATGCACATGGTGGGTACACGAACGCGATTATGTCGAGCGCTTCGCAACCCTGACTTCCTGAATCCTGGGTATCATGCATATGACCAATTGTAAAATTAAGATGTACATCTCTGAGCGGAATAGCAAACCGATACGCACGGAAGGGATGTTGGAGGTGCTGTTGTGCAGGCTGGTACGTATAAAAGATATTTGGGGATACATGATTGGACTTGAGTGTTCAGAAAATGCCTCATCGCTCCGGGCGGAACAAGATCGACGATCAGGAGGAACCATAGGGATGGAGAGTGGTCTCTAGTCGTGGTGTACGATGAGGGGAGTGGTAAACGGCAATCTGAATAAGCTTCGTCAGTTCGGATTTGTGTTCAATAAAGAGCTCAAAGCTCGCGTACGTGGATAAATTTGATAGACGCCCAGTAAAATACACCATCGAGTATTGTTGTGTGGAGTCACGATTGTCTTCCATGGGCTTTTGTTTTGAGGGATTTAATGTACGATGGGGTGTAGACACTAGAAGGGTCGGTGGCGTCCCGTTGATTATTGTTGTACGTGTTGTCAAAGGTGTTCAAGGCCTCCCTAGAAAATCGAAACGGTCTTCGATGGTGTGTTTGTGTCATTGCGGCCTACACGGACCCTGGGGCGCAAAGCGGTATCAGTTATACAAGGTGCGATTCGGAGAGCGGGAGCGAGAGGAAGATGTACGGAAATAAAGAAAGAAAAGCAGTAGCGTCATTCACAACATACCAACTTGTGGATTCCAGAAAGTAGGCCGGAATCTGAGGTGTTGCCAAGTTGTAGGGACCCGAAGGTCGCGGTAAAAGAAAAAGCAGTCGCGTGGAAGAGGGAAACAGGAAGACTCGGATAACGGCAAGAGCAACTGAGAAGGGCCGTCCAAATCAAGGCCCCCTCTCAAGACAAATCGCGCACTAGAGACGTCGATGAGGAGAGAAGAGGAAGAATCGTGGATCGCTCGGTCGTACTCGCGCTTCGAGTTCGATTTCCATGCAGAACATGGTTATCATCATGAGATGGATAAGCCCGAGATTAAATCAACACTATTTGTGTTCAGCGTTCATGCAGTATAGTGCCCCCGTGATGTCAGATCCTGGAGTGATGTCGACGAACAAAGGAATCGACCTGGAATGATATTGTGATGTTGCGAAGGGATGGAAATTGCATCCAGTTGTTGAGGCCCGGGCCCGAAAATGACCCGCGTTACCTTGTCGGAAGATATCTTTGCTTCTCTCCAGCTGACCATACGTCATGGTGTAGCATGTAGTACGTGTCCCGACCATTCTCCTGGGCGTCACTGGAATGGACAACCTGGCTGACGCCCAGATTTTTTACGAGCTACTGGGGTTAATGATTGTCATGGTGGATGCCTTGCCTCCTTGCGGATAGGGCCGGACTACTATGAGGCCCATTAGTTTCATCGGGCGACCTAGATGCCTTGCTCGTGCTTGAGGAGATAAACCGCGCGGATTGGCGCGTGATGGCGATAGATGGGTAGTAGAGGATGGCTGATAGCCAAGAATAGCCATTGAACCGGGTTATCGGGAGCTGGAACGGATATTTGGAACCAAACTGACGTACTTTGTGCCGCAGAAGAGCCACAGACCACACTACCCGTTTCAGATACACGATACACCATTTTCTACAACTTTGAGAGGGCCCACAAAAAAACCAAATGTTTTGTTGGCGATGATGACCTTGGTTAAAACAACAGCTAATCATGACGAACAGATGCATCAAAAGCAGTGCGATAATTGAACGATCGAGGGGAGAGTGATGGTGCAGGGTCGACGTGATAAGGTGGGATCAGATGCTGCTGTCAGTCATCGGGCAGGCCACGGATCTACCTTGGAAGAAAAAGGTCTCAGCGAACCACGTTTTATGGTAAACCACTGCAGGACGTGATGCACTCGAACCGCCGACGGGGTTGGAATGGACTGATTTGGTGGGCTGTGGAAACCAGAGTGCTTGTCTAGTGAGAAAGATGAATTAAAGGCTAGGTGGGGTGGCAAAAAGATATGGGGTTTGTTGTCCATGCTGTGAAAAGAAGAGCGGGGAAGTGGAATATCGTGATGGCCGCGTGATCCGAGGGTGGGATTCTGCCCACAGCTTGGCTAGAATTTTCTGTTTTTCCTAAAAAAAAAAAGAAGTAGGTGAAAGCCCAAGCCCAACCTTAGTTTCCGTTTGAGGATGCAGAGCAAAAGAAATTAATAGGGTTGTCCTAAGTTGTCCGCAGATTTGGGCCCTGTCGGCGATTGAAACGGGTCGGAGATTGAAAAAAGAGGAAAGGCAAATTTTCTCCCTTTGGCAGGTGACGACTTGAACCATCAAACGAATCAATAGCGGGATCTCAAGGACTCATCAGGCAAACCGATTCGGTGGGTAGCTCCTTTGGACGTCTTCTGGGAGCGCTGAATGGCCTGGCTGTATTAGACTCGTTGTTGTGCCAACTTTTGAACCTGTGGTTCTTTCATCAACATCACAATCGCACAGCTCACATTGTTCAGCATGCCCATGTTTGGCTGGTTGGTATACGCTTAAATAGTTACCTGTATGATTCACTGACACTCCCATCACTTGTAAGGGACTCGAAGGATCTTCCAGAGCAAGAAGAAAAACATCAACCAGACAACAAATCTGACTTTGCCATAGACCCAGCTCTTCGCAACGACTCTCCCGTACGTCCGTGTTGATCCAATCCTACCACAAAGCTCACTATCTCCTCAGCTCTCATCTCTTCTCAACCCAGATAAGAGGCAGAACGATATCTCTTCTCTTGTCAATCACTCTCCCCCATCACCAGAAGAGAAATCACAGTCGGACGACAATTCCATGCCACATAGGGTCGGACCATTATCCATGTCCTCCCCGTACGCTCTCTCCTCTCCTCTCCCCCTTCTCCCTAGCTTACTCGCTACTAGGCATCGTAGGCACCACTTTGACAACAATCCCAGAGTCCCATCGCCTCCACCCGCCACCTCGCTCTCAGCTTCCCACTCCCCCTCCCCATCAGTGACGTCCGCGGACCGCTCATCAATTTCCACACCTTCCGTCCGTCGATCACCTCCCAACATTCAAGCACCTCCGCCTTTATACTCGACCTATCACCATGACCCGTCAATGATGCAATCAAACAGGCATCATTCGGAATCCCACTTCTCTGCACGTGCAGAGCCGATGCATCACCCAACCTACATATACACTCATCCGCCCCCACCTCCCTTCGATCCCCGGTACGAACACCACCATCCAACCCACTCCCCCTATCATACCGCTGCGGGGCTTCCCCATCAGTTCGCGGTTCCCGCCATGCCTCACGGACATGGCAACCCAATGCGTGACGGCTACGGCCACCCTTACCCCCTACCCGGACAGGCTCCTGTCACTATCATCCACACTGATGACGCCGCGACCAAATTAAGCGACCGTGTTCGCAGACGTTGCTTCAACTGTTGCACCACCGACACCTCAACGTGGCGCCGCTCAAATCTGTCCCCAGGGAAAGTGGTAAGTTCTCCTCTTTTTCCGCCTCCAAAAAATACACTAACCACCCCCCTAGCTCTGCAACAAGTGTGGTCTCTTTGAACGCACTCACTCCCGCCCTAGGCCAGATCAATTTCCTCACAAACGAGGGCCCTTGGCCACTGCTAGCCTCCGTGGCCGGACCCCCCCAGGAGGGGGCTCTCTCTCATCCAGCCCCTCCATGGCGCACCCCAATCACCCCCAGCCCCAAGGCCACAACATGAACCAGCTTCCGCCCATTTCTGCCCCATACCACTATACCCATACCCCTCTCGCTCCCCTCTCAACTACGCAGGACAGGCGTGAGTACCAGTCAAATACCCTTCCTGCTCTTCAGGCCTGGCATGCCCCTCCGAGCGCTGCGGGAAATGGGAATGGCGGTGACTCGAATCCGGGGTCTCATGTTGGCCCACCATCAAGTGCGAGTTCTAGAAGGCCCACTATCGACGCTAGCCCGACTCTTCGCCATGATACCCCCCCATCGCTGTCGTCGCGTTCTGGGAACACGTCCCAGGAGTCGGCTTCGTCCTCGCGGGCACCTCCTCCCCTTGAGCAAACCTCTTCGTCTTCCGCTGCTTCAAGAGAATCTGCACATGATGAGTGAACAGTTTGTCATCACAATTATGCCTTTCTTTATCATGTATTATTCCCTTTCTTCTCCCGACCTCCCTTTCTTCCCGAGGCACGTTCCTTACCGTCACCCAAGCGTGGAAAGCTATCATAGCATCGTTACTTACATCCCATCGTCGTCATACTAAAATATCTTGGAGGCTGGTCTTACGACTTTATTCACCTTCTTTTTCCTCTCATACTTACAATTGATCTTGCTCATGGTTCGCATGTCTGCTCAACTTGCTTTCTTGCTCAAAGCTGTATCGTATTGATTGACTTGTCGATCGTCTTCTACTTACCTCTCCCCCTCTTTCTATTACCCCTCTCCCTCCTCTCTCCGCTTGTAGTACCCTTATCAAGTCATAAATTCAAAAAAAAAATCGGTTCTAATCTTCCTCACCTGTGTGTTGGTGGCCTGCGCTTGGACTAGCTTAGACTGCACTGTGCACATGGACAACTTACAAGTACCGCACCGGCAACACTTCCCTCAAGTGCACGCGATGGATCCAGGAAACACGGACCGGAGTCTCCCCATATCGCCAAACCACCCGATCGATGGTACAATGTCGTGATTTTTTGATCGAAGCTGATCATGGAGGTTTTGATCCGCCGACTGATTGGTGGTCCCACTCGTTGATATCATTGACCCGAGAATAAATCATGATGTGCCTAGTGGCGGGACTCAGGAGGGGGCTGATCACCATCACATAATGGCCATGGGGAGCGATTGGCTCAAGAAATCAAACGCAACTTTCAAGGACTCATACACTACTTGGGTTTGTCTCTTCGATTCAAGCTGCGGCGGACTTCCACCGCTTTTATCCTCGGGCTGTTGGCATATCTTCGGAAATGACTCGGGGAAACGAGCCGTGGGGGGGTTGGAACGGCTGCTAGTAGGCGAAGGAGTAGGAAAGTAAGTATCGAAGATCGATATCCCTCAAAAGCAGGAACAATTTTTTCCTTATTCACGTCTTACAAGCCTTAAGGCGGTCATATTGAACCGCATGACCACGCACACATTGTAGCGTTGGATTATTATTATTCTTTTCCAAGTTCCAAGCGGGAATGTTTGCCCCCGTTTTCTGAACTGATCACGAACATTGATTGGCCACGACAATTGATGGACAATCTCCGTCCAGTGTTCCGTCCACTTATGTACTCAAGGAACTTTGCCAATGCCGTGAATGACAAAAAAACACCGCTTGAAGGGTGGGTTTGATAAGCAACGGTCCAATCAGATCGCGGGATGATTTTGGTCGGAAGCAGTTACGCGCATACAAGGAGGATGTATTTGGTCAAGGGAGGGGGAGTCCGTTCCTCCCATCCGTAAGCCAGTAGTTGTTAGTGGTTACTGGGAGATAGTCGGGGGTACCAGGAAATTTTGTATACCCTCCGCACCACATGGACGAGCGCTAATTCCCACCACAAGGAATCACTAAAATAGGTTCCCGATACAAAGGAGGGAGGAAAGCGACGACCTTTTCAGATAAATAGAAGAACGTTCTTGGCAAAGTTCAACACGATGTGATTATGAATTTATAGACACCGAGAATTACTTACACTATGATAGTGAGGTGCAAGTGACGAGAGGCATATATGTATCTCCGACGAGATTGCAACGAGGATAAAATGAACGAATGTTTCAAGCTTCTTCTAATAGGGCGCTCAAACCCACATGACCGGATACGCCCACCTCTTGCACGTTTCTAAACTCGCTGAAGTGACGGTCCTTTCTTCCTGTGTGTGGAACATATATACCCCAGGCATTCGTTCCGGCAGCGCGGCGTAGAGCGCATCGCTCCACTTTCGTCATCTCACCTCGCTACATACCGAGATGTTATGAAAAGAGCCCATAGGCTATTGACTCCGAAGTTGTGTACTTGAAGGTTCAAGAAGCTAGGCCTGTCCCTAACAACAACAACATCCATGCGCATGTAAGTACATGTACGTCAGATGCTGTGCCGTGGAGTGAGGGGGAAGTAGGAAGAAGAGGAGAAAGTGGAGACTTGCCATGAGAAATTGGAAGAGGAGGAGAGCCCCTAGCGCGGTTTGTGGCGGATCACGCTTGTCAGCGCAGGAGCATCGTCATCCGCAGGCCATACTTGAGTATCGATCAAACGGTTATCAAGCAAACATTTCCTCTTGGTATCTGGATCCCGTACCAGCTGGGGATAAGTTAACGTTTGGCGTGATTGAATAAGATTCAGAATGATGCCTTCGGGTATAACGCGAACTTTGGGACTGGCGCGTGGGGGGTTCGGTTCAATTTGAAGAGTGGACTAAGTCTTTGGCGCTTTGACTTGAACAAAAAAAGAGTGAACACCCACAAGGGAGTGTGGGTCTGGATCCACAATTAGCTTCAGACCTACACGGTCGTTTTTCAAACCAGAGTAACTCACAAGGGAGTGGGTCTGGATCCACAATTGGGTTTGGACCTACACGGTCATTAGCAGAGTGTGGAAAATCCCACACTTCCATTCATCCAATATTCATATTTCGCTTTCCCAAAAGGCCAATCCAAATCCTATTTATACACCAATAAATCCTACCACAGACACTCCCACAAAAGAACAAAAAGTGCGCACCCATCGGGTAAGTAGGTAGAGACTTGAACCCTCCCTCTATAATCTACAACTACGCGACAGGCGCACACTTCCCTCCTCTCCTTTCAGCCACCGCCGCTTCTTCCAACAGGCTCAGCATGACTTCCGAATACAGCTCATACGCGTCTTTCTCGGCATCATACGCGTCTTCAAGTTCTTGGGTGTCAGACGTATGATGCCACCATCGCCACCTATGCTTGTCCCCACCTAGAGTTGACGTCGCATCACACGACGTACGCCGTTTACCTCGGGTTGACTTATTGATGAGATGCACGCGGTGGTGGTGTCTATGTAAGGGAACAGTAAAATCAGATTGGGGTTCAAGTTCCGTGGGGTGTTGTTCCCGAATCCCCATACAGGGATCCATCCAAAATAGGTAGGGGCGGACGGATCCAGAAAAAAGAAGCAAAGGAAGGGGACTGGGTTGGAACGAACGTACCGTATACGTTCCCAGGCTTTGACAGCTAGCGGTACGTTGTGTTTCCCAGCGAGGTTTAGCGTGACGGCGAGCATTACTCCGTCTTCGATAACTTGGGAGCTGTCGTACGCATTCGTGCTGTGTAGAATAGATAGGATGTTGAGTGACCATGAACAAAAAACAAGGGATAAAGTGATGGCGTGAAATTAAATAATGCCAACGGGAGGTGAGGAGTTGTAAGTCGGGGAAGGAAATCATCTTTCGGACCGAAAGTAGGTGGGGAGTAGGGTAGCAGTGATCAAGAGAGGAGGGTAGTGGCGATATGAGTATGAGGAGTTGTAAGCCGGGGAAGGTAATATCCTTTCGGACCGAAAGCAGGTGGGGGAGTAGGGTAACAGTTGATTGACGGAAGGGTAGTGGCGAAAAAGGGTGGTAGGGTTCGAACAAAAATGACAAATTCGAAATGGACTGGGTGGGGCTAACTCACGATATAAGTGAACCGCCGATAATCAATAATCTGCCGTCGGTCCATGTAGGCAGTAGCGGATCGCTTGATGTTGATTGTACCTTTGACGATGACGATGACGACAGCTTAACGGCGCGTCCAACCATATGCATGTCAGCGGTGGAAAATCGGTTTGCGGCTTCGTCACTTTGACCGAAGGTCAGTGGAGGTAAAGAGGAACCCAGTATTTCTAATACTAACCTGTGTGTGAACGCTTTCCCACTTTGACTTTGACCTGAAGTGTCAAAATGGACGTCTGAACCTAAAACGTGACGGGGTGAGAAGTGATAAGAATTTGGAGGGAGGAGTACATAGATGACGACAAAGGGGGGCACCACACACACCTGTTGTCCATGGATAACCGGTGTCCTCCTTATTATCCAAGAGACGGCGTTTGGAAATATCGTCCCCATGGTCCCGAGTATTAGCTTGAGAGGTGTCGTGTGCGTTCATACTGTGTAGGATAGAATGGATGTTGAGTAACCAAGACAAAAATACAAGGGATCAAGCGATGGCGTGAAATCAAATAATGCAAATGGGAGGTGAGGAGGAGTAACTCGGGGAAGGAAACAATCTTTCGGGCCGAAAGCAGGTGGGGGAGTAGGGTAACAGTTGATTGAGGGAGGGTAGTGGCGGAAAAAGGGTAGGTAGGGTTCGGCAGGGCTGAACTGGAATGAACCGGGTGGGGCTAACTCACGATACCAATGAACCGCCACTGCCGATAATCATCAACCTGCCGTCGGTCCATGTAGGCAGCAGCGGATCGTAGTCGACAAATGATGTTGATTGTGCCTTTAACGATGACGACACGGAGGTGGACGCGTGTGCAACCATATGCATGTCAGCGGTGGAAAGTCGGTCACTTTAGCGAACGAGAGAAAGGTAAAGGGGGGCAGCCAGAATATTTTACTACTACTAACCTGTGTGTGAACGCTTTCCCACTTTGACTTTGACCTGAACTGTCGAAGTGCCAATGGATGTCTGAACCTAAAAACGTGAACGGAGTGAGAAGTCCGTAAGAATTTGGGGGGGGGGGGGAGCACACACACCTGTGCATGGAAAAGCGATGTCCTCCTTGTTTTTGAAGAGACGCCGCTCGGAAATATCGTCTCCATAGTCCAGGGCATCGACGAAACTGGGGTTATTTAATTCCGAGGAGAAAACCTTCGTTTCCAGCGCTCCCTGATTCTAAGGTGTAAGCAAAAGTTGTTTGAACAAAAGGGGCAGCTTTTACGCACCTCCCTTTCAAAGTTGCCGACACAAACGAGCAAGTCCCCTTCGACGCGTTCCCCATTATCAAGTATAACCCCCGCTTTTCGGACGACTTCGTTTTGGCGGTAGGCGATGACGTTGCAGCCCGTACGCATTTCTACGCCTATGGATTGAGCGTGGGCGAGTAAAAGGTCGTGCAGCTGGGTGATGTAGACGTATGAAGAATCTGAATCGTGTTCGGGGTTTGGAAGTGGCTGGGCCTGGACTCCTCCGAGGTGCTTTGGTTGGATTGGATAAGAGTAAGAAGGGTGAAGAAGTTTGAGGTGAGTACGTACCAAGACGTTTGGGATTCTACGTAGAGAGTGAAGTCTACGATAAGATTTTAGTTCGTTGGTGTTCTTCTTCTATTGACTTACTTTTCACCGAGCCCCCATCTTTCGACGAACCTGCCTACTTTTGGTGTGGGAGTTACAACCTGCAGAACGGAATTCGACGTGTGGTCGAGGAAGGAGAGAAGGAAAGAGTCTAAGACTAACATCGTCCGCTGGTTCCAAGTCGTCGGTCAATCTTACGCTCTGAGTCGCTTTCAAAGAACGAACGTACCCAGGCTTTTGAGTTCGCTGTTACACTCAGAGTCAGACTTCTGGAAGACGACGACGACTTTGTGGCCTTTCTGAGTAGACGCAATGGCGCATCCTAATGCTGCTATTCCGCATCCGATAATGATGACCTTGATTCCTGAAAAGTTTGAAGGCAACGAGCTCGAGGGTGCCGATGGATGCATGACAGTTCTGCCACTAGTAGAAACCAGTGGCGTTTAAAAAGGTCTGCATGCGCCCGAAGGTCGCTCTTGGTGCTTCATGTTCGCGTGGATGGGACAGAAACGTTGTCGTCGTTCAGGGTTTTTCGTGCGACTGTCGGATTGGTGTTGTACTGAGGTGCGATTGTCGGACGAGACACGCGAGGTTAGGGGTCACGTTTCTTCCACGTGAATGCAAATTGGGTGATTGACGATTTGGCTGAGGCACAAACACACTCAAAAAAAAAAAAAAAAAAAAAAAAAACGAACAAAAGAACAAAAAGTGCGCGCCGCACCCATCTTCTAAATACGTAGAGACCCCTCCCTCCATTATCTAAAACCACGCAACAGGCGCGCACTTCCCTCCTCCTCCTCTCCTCTCAGCCGCCGCCGCTTCTTCCAACAAGTTCAGCATAACTTCCGAATACAGCTCATGCGCGTCTTTTCTCGGCATCATACGCTAGCCACTCTCGCTTGTCCATGTCCCCACCTGGAGTTGACATAGTACGCCGTTTACCTCGGGTTGACTTATTGATGAGACGCACGCGGTGGTGGTGTCTATGTATAACGGAACAGTGAAATCAGAAAGTTGGGGTTCAAGTTCCGTGGGGTGTTGTTGTACCCCATACAGGGAGGGAGGGAAAACTCCAGCCAAAATAGGTAGGGGCGGACGGATCCAAAAAAAAAAAAAAAAAAAAAAAAGAAGCAAAGAAAGGAAGGGGACTGGGTTGGAACGAACGTACCGTATACGTTCCCAGGCTTTGACAGCTAGCGGTACGTTGTGTTTCCCAGCGAGGTTTAGCGTGACGGCGAGCACTACTCCGGCTTCGATAGCTAGATAGGTGTCGAACACATTCGTGCTGTGTAGAATACTTAGATGGGATGTTGAGTGACCAAACCACAAGGGACGATAGTGAAATGAAATAATGGGAGGTGAGGAGGGGGAAGGAAATAAATATTTCGAATTAATTTCGGACCGAAAGTAGGTGTGGGGAGTAAGTAGTGGTGATAAGGAATAAAAAAATAAAAAAGGTTTGACAGGGCTGAACTAGATGAAAATGATAAATTCAAAGTGGACTGGGGGGGCTCCTGGTGTAGGAATTTGTGAGTGGCCACGAAGCGATGCTTAGTGCCGTATGGCGCGTGAATTTTAATAACGGGAGGTGGGGAAAGGTAAGTCGGGGCAGAAATCATCATTCGGACCGAAAGCAAGTGGGGAGTAGGGAGTGGCGATTTAAGTATGAAAAGCATAGGTATGGTTTTGACAAGGCTGAGACTGGAATGGACTGGAACTGGACTGGGTGGGGCTAAACTCACGATATCAATGAACCGCCGATAATCAATAACCTGCCGTCGGTCCATGTAGGCAGCTGCAGCAGTATCGCTTGATGTTGATTGTGCCTTTGACGATGACGACACGGAGTGTGGACGCGCGTCCAACCATGTCAGCTGGTGGCTTCGTCACTTTAGCCGAACGAACGAAGGTCAGTGGAGGTAAAGGGGAGCGGCCAGAATCTTTTTTTTACTACTGACCTGTGTGTGAACGCTTTCCCACTTTGACCTAAAGTAGTGTTGAAATGGACGTCTGAACCTAAAAACGTGACGGGGTGAAAAGTCCGATGAGGAGAGTCATAAGAATTTGGTATATGGAGGGGGGGGGGAGGAGTAAGTGACGACAAAGGGGGGGCGCTGGCACATACCTGTCCATGGATAAGCGATGTCCTCCTTGTTATTATTATTGAAGAGACGACGTTTGGAAATATCGTCCCCATTGTGCCTGGTTTCAGCTTGGGAGGTGTCGTGCGCTTTCGCGCTATGTAGAGTAGAAGGAGTGTTGAGTGATTTCTCACTTTGACTTTGACCTGAACCGTCGAAGTGCCAATGGGGGTCTGAACCTAAAACGTGAACGTGAACGGAGTGAGAAGTCCGATTAGACGTGATGAGAAGAGGGGAGGGAGGAGTAAATGAAGACACACACCTGTCCATGGCCATGGATAAGCGATGTCCTCTTCATTATCAAAGAGACGACCCGCATAGTCCCGGGTATCAAAGTCATTCCCCTCGGATAAAAGCTCCTTCCCCTGCGCGTTTGTCTCTCCCTGATTCTAAGGTGTAAGTGTTTGAATAAAAGGGGGCAGCTTGTATGTCGGTTACGCACCCCGACACAAAGTACCAAGTCACCTTCTACACGTTCCCCATTATCAAGCACTACCCCCGCTTTTCTTACGACTTCGTTTTGCCGGTAGGCGATGACGATGTGCCCCGTGCGGATTTCGACGCCTAGGACTTGGGCGTGGGATTGGAGGAGGGTGTGGAGGTGTTCGTGGTCGTGTTCTGGAACTTGAGCTTGAAGTCCGAGGTGCTGGGTTGGATGATAGATGAAAGTAAGTAAGTAAGAAGAAGGGAAGGATGAAGGGGAGAAGGTTGAGTACGTACCAAGATATTTGGAATTCTATGAAGAGAGTCAAGTCTGGATAAGGATTTAGTTGGTACTTCTATCGATGTGCATGGCTATTGACTTACTTTTCGCCAAGACCCCATATTTCAACTACTTTTAGGTTTGAGGTGGCCTGCAGATGTGTGTGTCAAGAGAGAAAGAAAGAAAAGAAGGGGGATTAACATCATCTGCTGGTTATGAATAAGTCGTCAGTCCGAGCCACTGGGAAGCTCATTCAAAGAAACGTACATACCCATGCTCTCGACTTCGCCATCACACTCAATGTCAGACCCCCGGAAAACAACAACGACTTTGTGCCCTTTCTGAGTGAGCGCAATGGCGCATCCTAATACTGCTACTCCGCATCCGATAATGATGACCTTGATTCCGGAGGAATCCGAGGGTAGTGGATGCATGGCAAGTGTTGGGCAAGGCTAGAAACCACTGGGGTTTAAAAAGGTCTGCATGCGCCCGAAGGTCGCTCTTGGTGCTTCATGCTCGCGTGGATGGACAGGACGACAACGTTCTTCAGGGTTTTTCCGCTGTGCGACTGTCGGATTCGTGTCTTGATTCGATGATTGAGCGACGGTCGGACACAGACACGCGTGTAATGATTGGAACTTAGGGGTCACGTTTCTTCCACGGGAGTTGATCTGGAGAACAAAATCAACCCACAAGAAAGTGAGTGGGTCTAGCTATAGATCCACAATTAGGTTCAGACCTACACCTGTAGTAACGCATGGAAAATCCCACATTCAATGGCATCCGTATTTCTCTTTCATAAGGGGCCAATCCAAATCCTATTTATACACCATTAAATCCTACCATACAAAAGAAAGTGCGCATCCATCGTCCAAGCAGGTAGAGACGTAATATATAACCTGAGCTGCTGATTCAAATGCAAAGAGCGTGGGGTTCGGGTACTAATTCAACCGGTCCATGCATGTGATTACGTTTTCCTTATAAATCCGGCTTTCGTCTCCTCCACCATCTCCAACCAACCACAACGATGTCAACCCAACAAGCATCCACCTCTTCCGCAAAAGCCGCCATTCTCCAAAAGAACGACAACGACGTCGTCATAGTCTGTGCAGTCCGTTCCGCCATCACAAAGGTTCTTTTCCCTTCCTTCACTTCCCTTCCCATCTCACACAAACACAGGGCAGAAAAGGAGGCTTCAAAGACACCAAACCCGAACTCATCCTCTCACACGTCCTACGCGCAGCATACTCCAAGATAAGCCTCGACCCCAAGCTCATCGAAGACATCTCGGTGGGCAACGTTCTCCCCCCAGGGGGAGGCGCCTCCGCCGCACGCATGGCAGCCCTCCACGCCGGCATCCCAGTCGAAACGTCCATCAATACCGTTAATCGACAGTGTTCGTCGGGCCTTACGGCCATCAACCAGATCGCGAACCAGATTCGCGCGGGTCAGATCGATATTGGTATTGGTGTGTAACCTCCTTCCGTTTCCCCTCCCCCTCCCTCTTCTTCTTCCTCTCATATGTTATGTTATCTACAGGAGCCGGCGTCGAATCAATGACACACGGCTTCGGCTCACGCGCAGCCCCCGAAGTATCCGACGAAGTCCTAACCAACCAAGACGCAGAAGACTGTCTCCTCCCCATGGGCATAACCTCCGAAAACGTTGCGAGCGACTACAACATCCCCCGGTCCGCGCAAGACGCCTTTTCCGCTCTCTCCTTCCAAAAAGCCGCAGCAGCTAATAAAGCAGGCAAATTCAAAGCGGAGATCGTTCCCATCCTTGCAAAATGGATAGACCCAAAGACGGAGGAAGTTAAGGAGGTTTTGGTTAGTGAGGATGATGGGATTAGGGAGGGTGTTACGGCTGAGAGCCTGGCTAAGATTAAACCGGCTTTCAAGAAGGATGGTGTTACTCATGCTGGTACGTCCTTTTCCAACCCCCCCCCCCCCCCCTTTCCCCTTTCCCCTCCTTACCTTTCCTCAACCAGGCAACGCATCCCAAGTCTCAGACGGCGCAGCAGCCATCATCCTCGCCCGTCGCTCCGTCGCTCTCCGCCTCGGTCTCCCAATCCTAGGCAAATTCGTAAACGCAGCAACCATCGGCGTACCCCCCCGCATCATGGGCGTCGGTCCCGCCTATGCCATTCCCCGCGTTCTTAAATTGACAGGGCTTAGTATTGAAGATGTCGATTTCTTTGAGATTAATGAGGCGTTTGCGAGTCAGGCGTTGTTTTCTATTGATACGCTCAAGATTGGGCATGAGAAGGTTAATTTGAATGGGGGTGCTATTGCGTTGGGGCATCCGTTGGGGTGTAGTACGTCTTCTTCTTTCTTTCACTCTTTCCGTCTTTTTCCCTTCCCTTTCCTTTCTTCGTTTCCCTCTTTTCCTCTTCCCTTTTTTGCGATGGTATTGAAGGCTGACGCGACGTTACCTTGTAGCCGGTGCGAGACAGGTAGCCACGGGCCTTAGTATCGCCAAGCAGACGGGTGGAAGGGTCTTCGTGACGAGTATGTGTATTGGGTCTGGGATGGGGATGGCGGCTGTTTTCGTTAGTGAGCAGTAAGCCCTAGGTGGAAAGGATGTATTTTGTTATTTAACAATGTGAATTATTAATGCGGTCAAGGTTTATTCGTCTGAGGAGAGTAAGGTTTCCCTGGGATAAGGACCCGCATTACGATTTTTGTCGTTCCGTCAACATGATCGTTCGGAAAGGATCCAAGTTATTTCCGAGGAAGTGTAAGGGTAAAAGCCGCGCATATACTTCAAGGTCTGAGACGCGCTCTGATGAAGTGCAACAATAGGCGCTTCAAGTTGTGGGAGGGGGCAATTGCTATTGCGTATTCCGTTCAAGGGGTGTAGTACGTACGTACGTCTCTTTCTCCCCTTCTTTTCTTTTTGTACTAGCCTTGATGGTGTGTCGACGCTGCCCCCTTTTTTTTTAGCTGGTACGATGCGAGGTTAACATCGCGAAGCAGACGGGGAGGGGACGAACGTGTTTATCGGTTCGGGTATGGCGGCTGTGTTTGTAAGTGAGAAGTAGCGGGGAAAGGTGTATTTTTTTTGGGCGCGCTGTGAATTGTGACTGTGGTCAAGATTTTATTCCTGTGAGGAGAGTAAGGCTAACTCCAACTGGCACAAAAATACCTGACACGGGGGCCATCACAATTTCGGACAAGGTAATCGTTCCACCAACATACTTTGGAGACCAACACTTTGATACCCATACAATCAATTTCGTTCTGAAATTGCCAACATCGAAAAACTGACAAGCTTGACTTCCTTGGGTTGGAGAGAGTGACGAGGCGAAGTTGTGTCTGCGAAGGATGGTTCGCGGTTGCGATGCATCAATGCAGGTTTGCAGCGGTTCCAGCCTTTCGTATTAAACAGGCAGAGACTGAAAACGCGCCGATGCCTTCGCTCTCGGAAGCCAGACCAATGCGCGCGCATCTATCAGGCTTCACAGCGCCCTGATGTAAGGGTAAAAAATGTTTGAAAACACAGTGCGTACCGGGCATTTAAGGACTGAAAACGCACGAATATCTTGTACCTTGAACATTCGGGGCTCCAAGCGCCTTTCGAATGGGGGGTAAGATAACGGGAAATGTGGCCTGACTGTAGTGGTAGTCAAATCTAGACGATATTGCCTTCAATCCAGTCAATTCTTAGGCCCTGCAGTTGAAAAGCTGTTACAGATCTTGATAAGTCGCATATACTAGTCGAATGCATACCGCGCATATTAAGACCGAGAATGAGCGATTGTCGTTGATCTTGGGCGTCCGACGGTAAGCGCCGAGGTGCCAGTGTATAATAACGCGAAGATTGTCCTACCTATAGTAGTCAAAGATAAAAGGCCTTGATAATTATGAGATTACGCACATATAAGGACCGTAAACGCAAAACGTGCCCTGCGTGAGTGCCCGAGTAGAAGGTATTTATGATGATTGCGTGCCACGCATACAAGCCTTGAAGCACAACTTAAGAAACATGCGGCTTTCCTGTCTTGGGAGTTCGTTCCGTTGGGAAGATTGGAAGTTGGAACTATCTGTCAGTGCTTCAGCTTTTTTCCTAAGAAAATGAAACAAATTGTGGTTATTGAAACAAGCATAGATAGTTCACAACGTCGGCGGATACTTGAGTTGTACTTGAGGGCAGCACGAGTTGGCTTTCAAACTCCGCCGCGACCTCCGAAAGAAGCACAGGTTGATTACAAGTTGACAGGTTCCAACGACATGGCCAGTGCAAAAATACGCGCTTGTGGAATGACTAACAAGTTCAACCACGCAAACCCCGCTCATCCAACAAGCCGTCGCCGCACTTTCAGATGCTGGAGAAGGTTACCCGCTAATGTTCTCATTTTTACAGGTGTGTAGGACGAACTTGGGACGAACGGGATGAGAGATTGGAAGCATACAAGTAAATTGGAGACATTACTGCATACTCAGTACTAAATTTCAATAACATGGAACGTGAAGAAGGTCCAAGGAAGGTATTCTTGAGAACGAAATGTAAACCCCCTAACATTTGGTCAAAAGTTGATGTAGCAACAACAGGACCGCCACTGAGGCAACCCCAGGCTTCATTTGCGACGATGTTGAATGGGTACACAGCTGGCCTTGAAAACCGCGTGGCTGTCTATTCCCATGTACCCCGTAAATTGTATGTTGGAGGAGCGATCGTTTACGTCCTTGATTACGGATTCAAGTCGTACAGCCCCTAAAGTCCAGTCGATTAGAGCCATAATTGGACTTGAAGAACCTGATGCTCACACTGGTAATGTCCCTCAGCCTTGGGTTGAGATTTGGGTCGTTTCTAAGTTGAGGAGAGACCATTAGCTGGACAAAATAGCGCTGTGGATTCAGTAAATACCTTTTCATCGTAGTAAAGCCACACCCATCCACTTGCATTGTAATGAACGGCTCCAGCTCCGGAGCCGGTACATGTCGTCGTCAATAACTGTAATACAAAAATATCAATGGTTGACTCGTAAAATGGATTGAGGATACCTACAGTCGCGGTGCAATTTTCATTGGCTCCCACATTGAATGTCGTGTCAATCCCCCTTTTGCTATCAATCTTGGTTTGAAAGCTGAGTGGAAGAGGTATTACGATCCGACGTGTGACTCGTTTGGAATAAAAACTGTACCTTTTTGAAACCTTATTCTCGAATGTACCAGTGGTAGTCACTCCGGTCGACACGGACATTACAATAGGAATGCCGAGTTGAACAGTCAAGCTTGACCCTATCGCCAAAGAACTTCATTCTAAAAACGGAATCGTCCGAGTGTTTCGTATGATTTGAATGTCTAACTTACCTGTTATAGTCCAGGTTCCAGAACCGTAGTATATGTGTCTATATGGGACAAAGTTACGCTTCCTGTTGTTCCAGTTATGGAGCCTGCAACAGTGTCGTTTCTTGTCGAGCAACTGGAGGCTCCTTGCATTGAAATAAGTAGTAGTTGTTCTTGATCTGTACAGACCACCGCCTGATAATCAGGTTGCTAATTGATAGTAAAAATCAGACGTCTTAAATTTTTAAAATTGGAGTGCTACGGACCCCCGGTGGGTTCACTTTATAGGTCAAGCCATCATCACCATAGGTATCCTTGGCATATTGCACGATTTGGGGCCAACCCGGTACTAAAAACGTGTCAAGCTGGCGTCGGAAATAATAACAATAGCAGGATAAGGTATGGGCGTACATGCTTTTGCCTGAGCCAGCGTCAACTGTGAGCAACTTGATGCCCCTTTGGGGCACCAAAAAATTTGTAAGACATGAAAAAGCTTCATGGTTGAAATCTGCTTACCCGTCTCTAGCGCTGTAGAGCAGTTCATTGGGGGTCACAACGGTTCCTGGCAAAGCAGAGATCAAACATGCCCCGAGGATAAGCGCGAGAAGCTAGGAATGCAAAAAAGAATGAGAGACATTCTATCTCGTGAAGAATAGATACTGACTGTGTTTCCGAATGCCATCGTGGCGTGGTGAGAAGTGGTGTATCAGGAAGTCTTTCAGGTTTCGTCACCAATGCCATTGTAGTACCCGCTCGGCTTTATAGCTTCAAAATTAGCGCCCTTCATCTCTCAGTTCACCGCAACTCGTCTTCGGTGCCGTGCGGTCAGTGCAATTACAGGGAATAATGCCAAACCCGCGAATGCTGCGCAATAATGCCAAGCCCGCTATTGCTGCGCGACCACATTTTTTACTGCTTGCCCTGCACCTGGGATGTGAAGATTAGGTTCTTGTGACTGAGATTGCAGCGCTACTTGTCACGGAAGTTCAAACGTCCGACGTGGCTGTCCAGAAGGAAAGTTTGTTTGACATTCATCCAAGCGCTTGGGGTGAGTCCGGGGTGTCAACAAACAGAAACCTTGCCATGCGGTTGCTGGGTACCAGAAGTGAAAACTTGTTCGTTGAGTAATCTATAATCTTCGGCAGAAGACGCTGAATACCAGCTATGTGGTATTTAGAGTCGTGAAGGGTGAGGAAGGAACTGTGCAGGAGGTGTGGGCAGCATCGGTCGTCGTTTTCAGACACTGCCTCACTAAACGCGTGGTGGGTATTCGTGCATCATGTACAGCGTGCATAAGAGAGCTGCCCCAAATCGGATGGGTGCGTCGTCAAATTAGACTTGAGTTACGAAATTTTGGAGAAGGTGTAGGGTCCTGATCGACGTCGTCCAGAAAGGCTGTATTCTGATGGCCTTCATCCTGTAAAATTTTTGCACACCATGAATCTCAACGGAGGAGAACCTGTTCTCACAAAGAGTCCTTTAGGGCCACACTGCTCATTGCCTCCGGTCCTTACCGGTCTGAAGGTTACAATCCTGACCGGTCTGAAGGTTACAATCCTGACCGGTCTGAAGGTTACAATCCTGACCAGTCTGGAGGGGACAATCCTTACCAGTCTGGAGGGGACAATTCTTACCGGTTTGAAGGGTCCCATCCTTACCGGTTGAAGGGGACAGGGGACAATGGCGCAATGCGCAGCCTGTAAAAGATAAGCGACCCCAGGTTACTAATGAGGAACGAAACCAGAAGGCGGAGGTTCCATGGTGTGTCATCAACTCTTGAACTAATCGGAAACCCCGAGCCCTTAATCAGTTGAACCACATGATAAAAGCGTCCATGACCATCCGAATCATCAAAAACGTCCCGATGTCGTCTTGAGCTCCATGCACACCGGATTTGTTCGCGCCTCAATCACGTATGGCTTTCCTCGATAGTGAGGGGAGATCCAGCTCAATGTTACGATTTCCCAAAAGAGAACGTATCGTACTACACATATTCTCTAGGATCCTAAGAGATGAATGGCGTCAGGACATTCATATTCCTGGCAGAATGGGATCACATTACCAGACCCACGCGCCACACCTCCACCCTCATCCTCCCTCGCCTTGACTTTATTCTTTCTTCTTCGTCTCGACCGAGTATTCGAGCCTCCTTCCTCATCGTCACGACCATCCATCTCATCATCAAGCCGCGCCAGAGGAACGTACGTCGCCCCTCCCCCAATAAGGTTCTCCCATGGCCGCGCGGGACCAGGGCGCGTCTTTGCATATGCAACCTCGTCCGGTGGGGGCGGAACCCTCACGGGTTCGGGCTCCGCAGGCGATTCAGCCCTCGATGGTGGTGATGGTTGAGGTGTACTGGTGTATGAGGAAACGACGACTTTGTTATTCTTTCCCTTCTGGGTTAAAGACATGACTTTGTAAGTAGAGGGTTTGTTGTTGGGTGGGGTTGGTGCGGGCGAGGGCAAGGGTGAGGAAAAGGAGGGCATTGCACCGGAGAGAACGGGGAAAGCACCAGCGGCTTTCTTAGCTTCTTCAGCTGCGCGTTCTGCATCTGCGATTTCCTTCGCGATTCTCGCAGCCAACTCCCCGTCAATCTGGGATATAATCGATGACCTCTGGGCGCGTGTCCATAGGGGTTTGGAACAAGATGGACAGGAGTATTGTGGGAGATTGATGGAGCACAGTATAAAGCCACAGGAAAAACATATGGGTGTGTACGTTGACACTGGGTGTTCTCTGGCTATTTTACGGTAAGTAAAACAATTTCGGAATTGAAGAAAGTGACACACCTAAACAAAAACACCCTCCCTTCGGATCCTTCTCGTTGCCCACTGAGTTCTGCACGCTACCGAGCAACGATTCTAGCCTCCGGATTTCTTTGCTTTTGGGGGGTTCGCGGACGGGTTGCTTTCCTTTGACTTTGGAGGATACTTGCTGTGACCTGGAATTTGTAGGTTTGATACGATCGGAAGGTAAGGAAGATGCTTTCTTGGCCCAAGATGAATGCATGACGGGTGGTGAGCGCGATAAAGTTGTGTAGAATCAACAATCGTCAACATCATCGTTGTAACTGCCATCACCGTCAACAACTTGAAATTTTATGAACTCGAGTCTCGAGTAGGTCCATTGCGAGCTGATGTTCAAGGTTTTACTCATGACCCTCTTATTGAAATTTAAGCTCAGCTACTAGGAATCATATGTCCGTGTCGGACGCTCAACGTTCAGATGGTGTCTTCAAGTTCTATTGGAGATTGCAAGCTCCAGGTGGTTTGCCACCGTGGATTTGGGCATTCGAGGATCGTGGCGTGAGGTGGGCTGTTCTACTAACAGTAACTAACACCACCTCTACATCGTGGATCAAGCGAAATCCAGTTTTTTTCGCAGGACTGCGAATATACCGAACTGTTTTCGTCTTTTTTCAACAACCCAATTGATAACGTCAGGCTGCGGTGATGATCCCCACATTTACATCTCTACGGGGTCAGACGAGCATATCGTTTGCGAGGTGTGACCGCAAACAACTCATCATATCTAACCTGGAATGCTAGATCGTCTTTTTTTTTTTCATGATGATGCGGAGGTCGCGGAATAGTTGGTACAACAGGAGTTGTGAAGCTGCGAAATCAGTGGTAACAACTACGGAACTCAGCTAAGTATTAGACACTTATTCCACTTTTCTCAGGTCCATAAATATGACTGCTCTCTCAAGAGTCAAAAGCGCTGTCTCTCCTGCAATGCATCCCGAGTTTGCCCCCGTCGCTTTCATCGCGGCCTTCCTGCTTGCCATACCTCTGATATGGCATTGGAAATCCGGAAATATTGGTATCCTTTCCATTATCGGATGGCTCTTCGTTACGGACATGATCTACGCCGTAGATGCTGAGAGAATGTCACATCACCTGGTGGGTGTACCCTGCCTGCACGTTCATCTGTGTTGTTTTCTTGTCCCTTGGCCAGGACGCGATCGAAGATTACAAGAAGTGCATTTCCTGGTGTAGAACCCACATTCTTAGGCACAATTCGTGAGGTGGCGAATTCCATCATCCGTTGTTGTTTTATTACCCTCTTTTTTCGAAATTCTCAACGGATAGTTTAGTGCTCCTCTATTTCCTTCCCATTGTTGACTTTAAGGTCAATCTTAAAGTCAACGATCTTTTTCGACTGCCAATATACTTTTGTGTATTAACAGCATATTGCGTGGAAAATGTCATTACTACCCATCCTGAAGCTGATATATTCTCGGGCTAGAGGCCCTGAACGAATTCGAATAAGAGATACCATTTGTCGGAGACAACAGTCCTAAATGATGAACAAGTTCCGCTTACAGGCACACCCAGCAAGCCCTCAGGCTTCAAGGGTCAACTTATTTCATTTCCGGAGCATTTCCTGTCGATCTGTTTTTTCTGCATTCACATTGATAACGTCGTAACGAAGATGAACTACAAAAAAGGAAAAAGTAACAAGGGAAGAAAAGTCAAGGGGTAATGAAGGATCAAAGGAGGGAAAGTAACCAGTGGCTGATGATCACTTTTTGCGGAATGTGGCGCAGAGCCGTCCTCAAGGAATACTTGATATTACCCGGGAGGCTGGAAAAATATCTCCTTTCCCATGCCTTCCTTCATTCGAACGATTCTGTGGAGTAACGTGCCTGGCGTTTACAACAAATTCTAGTAGGCTTTGTAATTGGTAAAGTCCGAGTCGTTGATTTTGTGACCAGCGTTCGATAAATTGAATGTTGACGCTGCCAGGAGATAACAAAACGTCCCCTTACGCTGCCGACCTTATGGGCTCACCATAACATATTAAAGACGAGATTCGGATTGTTTTTCCATTCTCTACAGTGTTTTATTCCACATCGCGTATCGCAGGCCTAGTTCAACCTTGACAAACTCGTCCTCGACCACCTCTCGTCTCCGTAATAATAATTAATTTCACGGACGACCTGAGGGTCGCCTTGAGCCCAACACCACATCTACCCGACATTACCCCCGCAATAGCATGTCCCATCTGAAAATCCAAGTCACAGCGTCGACGTCAGAAAAGGTGATGTTTACTCCCCAATCACGATGAGTAGGAGGACTCACCAGGCGCACAAGCCCATGTATGTATAAGTTTGCAATGAACGACGCCACACGACCAGAAGTTGCAGGCCTTGGCAAGTTGTATGGGCATGATGCAAAGGAGGATGGCGACTATGATCCAGAGTCGGAATTGCGAAGTTGGAGGGTGCATCCCAATTGACGATCTGAGGCTGTTTCTGCTTGGGGTATGTGCTGGTGAGGACGTTGAAACTTGAGAAATACTGGGGTTACATGGATGAGGTTTTATACGGAAAGCTAAAGCCTCCTTCCACCGGAGTCAATGTACACGAACGTTGAAAGTGAATCACATGAATCTAGAAATCCCCGTTTATTTGCCCTGATTTTCCCGGTCAAATGATTTCTCGAAGATGCTCCGACGATAGTTGCAATGGAAACGAGTCGTATAGATGAAGATAAAATTCTGCCCTCATAAAATACCCTTTGTCAAGGTTTATTATGGTTATTGTGGCCGTGAAGGTGCTTCTTTTGATACGGACCTGGAATTAGAGGGCAGTTATATGCTCCGTTGTTGCTCCGTTGATAAAAAAAAACATCCGATCGAGAAGAAGGATCCATATTCCAACGTCCTTTACCCCCCCTCCAAGTTTCCTACTGGTCGTTGCGACTTGTAGTGTAGGTAACACCGACTTCCAGCCTTTTCCCCGACTCACTTTTCTTTGGATCTTGAAATTTCAAATCAGAGGGCATGTGCTACACCGTTGATAAAAATAATCCGACGAGTCGCGAGAAGAAGGATGGCTGGACCACCATTTATACTCCAACGTGCTCTACCCCCATCCCTTCATACTATGTGCAGTGTATGAAGGCCGTCTGTGGACAAAACTGTTTTTTTTTGAGAGGAACCCAATTTTCAAGGAATATTGTTGACAAAAGTCAATGATTGTTAACAATCTTTGACAATCTTCAGCTTTTGTCAAAGATTTTCAATGTTTTTGAACAATTGTCAATGTAGTTACGTTTTTTTTTGGTAACAATTGTTGACAATCTATAACTATCTTTCAACTTCAACAATGTCCAAGTTTCTTCCACTTTCTTGCATAAAATTGACAAATGTCAACAATCTTTGCTTTCTCTTACTTTTTCTGACTTTCTCCAACTTTCTCTGACTTTTTCTGACTTTCTCTGGCTTTTTTTACTTTCTTTGCAACTTGCATCTATAAAGGAATAATGAATGATCTTCAACAATCTTTGATATTGTATTTGACAGATTTCTACATTTGATATATTCTCTCTCCAGATCTTGTCAATGATTGTTGAATAACTTCAACTTGGTGCCTGCCCAGTACCAGGACTGGCATCAGCATATCCATGATCAGGGAGGTGTTGTCGTTCCTGTGACTTCAAGGCTATTTTGAGCCATGACAGAGGACCCCTGAAAGTTGTGCAAAATGTTGGATACCAAAAACACTGTCTGTTGAAACAACAGTGTACCACTGGGGTGGTCAGACATCTGTCTCTTTTTGGCAACCAGTCTTCTGTGCTCCAAGATTCATTTCATACTTATCACCAGAGGGCTTGAGTGGTCTTTGAAATGTTGCAGAACCAAGAGGGTCAACCCCACTTATGATGGTCAACCTCCCTTAACGCCTTGGATCCAGGCTAGTTCCATCCCACCTTTCATTCAATATATTCCTGCCTTTGCAAGCATCCCAGTAAGGTTGGCCAGCCTTAATCCATGCTGGCATCCAACTTGGCCTTGATGACTCTGTGCATGGTGAATGAGTTGCTGTTTACTGTGGATGTCTCGATTGAGAGCACACTCTCAATCAGTCTCTCCAAGAAGGGATACCTCACTCATGACCACCTGGCTCCCAAACCTAGAACTCATAGCGACAATGTGATGCCATAGAGGCTGATACTTCCCTGATAACCACTGTGCTCAACCTTACCTTGGCTGAGTCAGTAAATCAACCTTGTCATTGATTCAGCACAAAAGACATTGTGTTCTGCTTCAACCATCCCTCCATCCCTTTTTGTATTGACTGGAGCTCTGCCATGTCATGTGGATTTGGCTTGATTTAAGCCTGTCCAATGTATGTCAATATCAAGTCGAACATAAAAAGGAAAATGGGTTTCAAACATCTAAAAATTGTCTGCAATAGTCAAGATCATAGACATTAGGGATTGCTCCTCTCTCAATGCTATTGATGATGATGTCCCAGTGATCCTCAAGAGTCAACACAGCATTGTAAAAGACTGATGTAAAGCTCGCATGCATGCAAGGGGGTGGTGGAACATGGATCCCAAACACTGGCTGGGAGGGAGGGGGGTCTGGTGGAAGGCTGAAAAAAAATAGTGACCTGGTCTATTTTTGTTGCAGATTGCCCAAGCAACAGAATAAAAGCATCTGTTTGAGAGCCAGGCAGGTACTTATGATGTCTGCAATGGTGAAGGGAGTGTAGGCCATCAGAATGCCCATGGATGCCGTGATGGGTTGCACATAAGTATAGAGGATGAGGTGGAGTGCAGGAACTTTCTTTTTTCCTTACAGACATTTTACTCCAATTTTACTCACCAAAATTGTGTTCAGGCCATACTCAAAGCTCCAAACGAACTCCTTATGAGAGAAAGAATTTACTACATAAAGGCTCTTGTTGACAAAAGGGGAGACAAAGCCGCTTTGTACACCATGGCTGAGCTGAACATAAATTTGTTTGAATGAGTTTTTCTATGTCACATTTTCACATGGAAATATGCTTTTGCCAGTTTGTAAAACTCACTGCTTTCTTGACATAATCTATGTTCCTCCATGCCAAGATTTGTATGCAAAGCATTTTTAACTTTGAGTTGAAGGTTTGTGAGTTTCCAGTGACTGGCAGGCTGCAGACCAGCTTTCCTAGAAGCTGGGACCATGTGACAAAAGAAAAAAATTAAAAAAACATCAGAACTCAGAAAAACATACCTTACATAGTAGCAGGGGGAGGGATGTCAGCCAAATCCATGAAAGAAAAATAGGGAGTGTTGGTACATTTTCCATGTTCTGCCACCCCCTTGCATGCATGAGGACAAGTGATGGATCCATAACAGAAAAGAGCATAGTCATTAAGAGGTTTCCCAAGAAACTTGGGATGTACCAAACTGCGAAGGGACAGGGGAGAGGGGGGCTGTGGATAAGGCAGCACTTCAGTGTTCATGATCCAATGGCAACAGCTCAGTTGAAAAAAAGGCTTACAGGTCTCTGTTATAGCTTTTTCATCATCTTTCACTGCAACACCCATGTGTCTCCTCATATTTCCGCTTGCAATGTTGGTAAGAAACACTTCCTTCTGCAATTCTCCCAGCTTGTTAGTGTTTAAAAGTCTGGTTAGGTTAGGTTATTGGGTGCCCAGGGGCTCTAACCGAGACCGAGACTGGTTAGGGTTCGTTCCCAGACCCAAAATAACCTAACTGGACTGAAGATAACTGACCATAACAGGTTAGTTGCAGTTACTAACCAGTTAGGACTGAAAGAATAGAAAATCGATTAAAACAGCATATATTTCTCATCTTTCCTGCAGTAAACATTATTACCATGCATTGTAGCTTTAAAACAAGCCCAAGAACGCTAAATTTGGTGAAGAATTGACGATTTTATGATAATATTCTTGAAAGTCTACTCTTTTTGCCAATATTTTAAAGATTTGACCATAACTCTGTCAGACTTTTAGTGTTTCTTATGCTTTTAGATGTGTTTTGAAGGGGTATAATAGGGTCGGTTGTAACTGGTTATAATCGGTTTTTTAACAGTTAGTTAACTGCAAAATAACTGGTTATTTCATTTTCAGAATTGACTAACCACTAACTGCGGTCCAGTCTTTTTGCAGTTAGGTCTGGTCTGGTCTCGGTTATTTTCCAGTTAGCTGACCTAACCTTCAAACACTTCAGCTTGTTAACGATTTTCATGGTCAGGCCACAGAAGCAGAAAGTGCTGGATATGCATAGTGTTTGGAAGTCCGGTCTCATGACTGGAAAAAGACCGTAACCAGACCGGACCAAGACCGCAAAAAACCGGACCTGCGGTTACGGTTTTTTATTTTTGAGAACTAAAGACCGCAAAAAAAACCGGTCTAAATGGACCGGTCTTTTGTAGCCTCTTAAATACCCTTCAAAACGCACCCAAGCACGTATTAATTGGTTCAGAATTGACAAAGATATAAATAAAAATGTAAAATTTCGTTAAAAATAGTAGATGTACACGACCTTTTTTATAGAAACACCAATTCTCAACGGAATTTAACGTTCTTGGGCTCTTTTTAAAGCTACGAAACACGTTAACAAATTTACCGATTCATAATTTTAAAATATTGGCCAGAAAACCGGTCTTAAACCGGTTAAAACCGAAGAAGACCAAGACCGGTCTATAGACCGCAAAAAGATGCAGACCGTGGTTTTTTGCGGTCCGGTTCGGTCTTTTGACTTTTGGGAAAAATGCGGACTGGTTACGGTTACGGTTAAGGCCCAGAGGCATCAAAAAACCGGACCAGACCGGACTTTTAAACACTAGATATGCAGAACCTGCCTTCAAAAGTGCAGTCAATATTCTCCATTACAGGATATCTTGGGAATGATTTGAAGGTCAACCCCAATGTCCCAGATGTTTGAGCAATGAAATTGGGGAAATCAGGGAGAGCAAACCACGAATGGTGGAGGAAGGGCAAGGTGACTTGTCAAAAAAGCAGGAGATGAACAGCTGATACATGTTGTAGAGAGAAAGGGGAATGGTCTCATAAAATGTCTGTTCCAAGTATTGATCATGAATGGCCACAGGCCAGCATCAACATTCACAACTGCTTTTGGCATTAGGGGGGAAAAAACACTGAGACAATCATGAAATGCTGATAATAGAGCATACAGCCAGAATGACAAGACACAGTCTTTCGCAAATGGAGATGGTGCATACTGGGCATTTCTTTTAAGTCCAAGAACAGATGAAATGGATAAAAACTCACTGCTAAGTGAAATGCTCCCCCTGGGCATAAAAATTTGACATACAGCCAGAACAACAAAACGCGGTCTTTCGAAAATAGAGATGGTGATTCGTTCGTACTGAGCGTTTCTTTTAAGCCCAAGAACAGGTGAAACAAATGAAAACTCAATGCTAAGTGAAATTCTCCCCTTGGGCATAGAAAATCAGCATACAGCCAGAACAACAAAACACAGTCTTTCGCAAATGGAGATGGAGATTTCCTCGTACTGCGCGTTTTTTTTAAGCCCAAGAACAGGTGAAAGGGATGAAAACTCACTGCTAAGTGAAATTCTCCCCCTGGGCATAGAAAATTAACATACAGCCAGAACGACAAAACGCGGTCTTTTGCAAATGGAGATGGAGATCTGTTCGTACTGTGCATTTTTTTTAAGCCGAAACGGATGAAAACTCACTGCTAAGTGAAATTCTCCCCCTGGGCATAAAAGTCTGACATACAGCCAGAAGGACAAAACATGGTCTTTTGCAAATGGAGATGGAGATTCTTTCGTACTGAGTGTTTCTTTTAAGCCCAAGAACAGGTGAAAGGGATGAAAACTCACCGCTAAATGAAATGCTTCCTTGGGCATAAAACTTTAACATACAGCCAAAACAACAAAACACGGTCTTTCGCAAATAAAGGTGGCGATTCCCTCATACTGGATGATTTTTTTAAGCCCAACAACAGGCGAAACGGATGAAAACTCACTTCGAAACAATGGTGATATAGTATTTTCCCACCTTCGAGGACCAAAATCCGGTCCATTCGGACACCGAATGGACCGGATTTTGGTCCTCAAAGGTGGGAAACATGACATCATCTCTCTTGTGATGCTTATCAGCGGCAGCGGTCACAACAATTGTTGAAGTTTGTAGATAGGGTCAATTCCTTGGTTCCTAACAATTGTTGAAGATTGTTGAAGATCCCTCAATTGTGGGATTGAGGGAAAGCTGAGAATCTGGAAGATTATGGGGGATTTTCCAAGATTATTCAGTCTCAATTTTGCTCGTGTACCAAACGTACAGACCTACAAAATGCAAGATTGCCAAAGATCTCAGGTTGTAAATAGAACCAAAGCCTAACTGTAATTGAAAGATTGTTGAAGATTCCGCAAGATTGTTGAAGATTGTTCGCAAAATTTGGCTTTCTTCCTTCACATGTTTCTGTAATGGAACAATCTTTGACAATCTTCAACAATCTTTGGCTATCTTTGACAATCTTTGACAATTGCCAGCTTTATTTCATGAAAAGTATGTAGGTAGAAAAAAAAAGTGAGTTTTGTCCACAGACGGCCGTCAAAGCAGTGTATATATTAATAGGCTTTGATCTTAGTGTCACAACGAGCGTAACAGAGTGACAACAAAGTGACAACTGTTAAGTACTATCATCTATGTTTGTTCAGGTGTTTGAAACTTTTTCACCGCTACGCGATTTTTGCCTCACCACTTCATCGAATTCTTTAAATTTTTGACAAGCCAATAATCTTTTTTCTCTTCTATATGATTATTTACTTTTTTTTGGTATAAATGTGTTGTGTTCGCTGTCGGAGGCGTTCCGGTGTTCAGGGTTCAGATATATCAGGAGATTGAAACTCGTGTCACACTAGGTGACTGATGGATGATGTGCGAATGTCACGCAAATGTCACGTTTTTCGAGCTGTTTCACAGCGGAATTTGGTCTTTTGCCCTTCCTAAAACGACAACTTCACCTCGCTATCTACTTTTTTAAATTTGAACTTAAGTATGCCATTTAAATGCAATTGGAAAGTTTTAGAATAAACAGTCAAGCCGATCTGGAGGGATCTGAGAGAACATTCCATTACTTTTGTTTGTCTGGTGTAATGAAAACCACAAATCCATGTCCCCAAACCACAAATCTTTGACTCTCGTTCTAAAATTTTGAGACAATAAATGTAATACATAAATACACCTCCTGTGAAAATTCTAAGGCCCCAAGGCATGTGGAAGGTGAAATAATCCACAGTTTCAAACACCTGATGGGTTTCAAACACCTGAACAAACATAGTACTTTGGTACGACCATACTTACAGACCTCAAGGCCCCAGTAATCAGTGCTCAGTGCTCAGCGCTCAGCGCTCGATGGTGGTGGCTGAGGGGTACTAGTGTATGAGGAAACCACGACTTTGTTGTTCTTCTTCTTCTGAGTCAAAGACATGACTTTGTAACTGGACGGCTTGTTGTTGGGTGGGGTTGGAACTGGCGAGGGCGAGGGCGAGGGGAAGGAGGGTATTGGACCGGAGAGGGAGAGAACGGGGAAAGCCCCAGCGGCTTTCTTAGCTTCTTCAGCTGCGCGTTCTGCGTCTTCGATTTCTTTGGTGATCCTCGCAGCTAATTCCCCGTCAATCTGGGATATAATCGATTACCGCTGGGCGTGTGGCCATAGGGGTTTGAGACAGGAAGGACAGGAGTATTGTGGAAGATTGATGGAGCAGAGTATAAAGCCGCAGGAAAAACATATGGGTGCTCTCTGGCTATTTTACGCCAATCAAAACGTGTTTTTTTGGGGGAAAAGAAGGTGACACACCTAAACAAAAACACCCTGCCTTCGGATCCTTCTTGCCAACCAAGTTCTGCACGCTATCGAGCAGCAATTCTAATCTCCAGATTTCTTTGCTTTTGGGGGGTTCGCGGACGGGTTGTTTTCCTTTGACCTTTGAAGATACTTGCTGTGACTTGGCATTTGAAGGTTTGATACGGTCGGAAGGTAGGGAAGATGCTTTCTTGGCCCAAGATGAATGCATGATGGGTGGTGACTGCGATAAAGTTGTGTAGAATCAACAATCGTCAACATCATCGTTGTAACTGCCATCACCGTCAACAACTTGAAATTTTATGAACTCGAGTTTCGAGTAGGTCCATTGCCAGCTGATGTTCAAGGTTTTACTCATGACCCTCTTATTGAAATTTAAGCTCAGCTACAAGGAATCATATGTCCGTGTCGGACTTGTTCAACGTTCAGATGGTGTCTTCAAGTTCTATTGGAGATTGCAAACTCCAGGTGGTTTGCCACCGTGGATTTGGGCATTCGGGGATCATGGCGTGAGGTGGGCTGTTCTACTAACAGTACTCTTCATCGTGTATGAAGCGAAGTTCAGATTTTTTTCCTGCGAGTATACCGAACTGTTTTCGTCTTTTTTCAACAACCCAATTGATAACGTCAGGCTGCGGTGATGATCCCCACATTTACATCTCTACGGGGTCAGACGAGCATATCGTTTGCGAGGTGTGAGCGCAAACAACTCATCATATCTAAACCTTCACAACCTGGAATGCTAGATCGTTTTTTTTTTCATGATGATGCGGAGGTCGCGGAATAACTGGTACAACAGGAGTTGTGAAGCTGCGAAATCAGTGGTAACAACTACGGAACCAAGCTAAGTATTAGACCCTTATCTCACTTTCCTCAGGTTCATAAATATGAGCTCTCTCAAGGTTCGAAGGCGCCGTCGCTATTGTAATGCATCCCGAGTTTGCCCCCGTCGCTTTCATCGCTGCCTTCCTGCTTGCCATACCTTTGATATGGCATTGGAAATCCGGAAATATTGGTATCCTTTCCATTATCGGATGGCTCTTCGTTACGGACATGATCTACGCCGTAGATGCTATTGTATGGGCAGGCAACGTTGACATCCGAGCGCCCGTCTGGTGCGATATTTGTGAGCTCCGATCCTCGGTTGTCTACTCTCCTGAACGTTTTTAACCTGCGTCTTCAGCGACCAAACTTATTGTCGGCGCCAGTATTGCGGTTCCTGCAGGCTGTCTTCGCCTTTGCGCCAATCTCGTGCAGGCGTCCTCCATGAGCCAAGTTCACCCGAGTGCATCGGACAAACGCCGTCGGCAATATTTCGACGCCTTCTTCTGTTTCGGCCTTCCAATAATCTACATGATTCTTCGTATGTCCTAACTCACCTCTATCATGCTGAGATACCAATGAGGAATTAGATTTCATTGTTCAAGGCCACCGCTTCGACATAGTCGAAAACTATGGCTGTAGACCAACCGTTTACTACTCTATTCCCTCGCTGTTCCTAGTCTCTATTCCTCCTATGGTTGTGGAAATTATGTCCTTAGGCTATGCAGGTGAGCCAGTCCCCCTTTCCCTCTAAGTTCAAACTATCGCTCAACGGCTTCCCGAAGTTATTGCTGTCAAGAATTTCATGCGCGGCCGCAAGTCGTTTGCTGATACTCTCAAAGGATCCGGTCTCACACCAATCCACTATCTACGTTTGATCAGCATGTCTATCTTCCAAATGCTTCTTATGATGACCCTCACCGCCATCGAGCTCGGCTTTAACCTCATGAGGTACCCCCTTCAGCCGTGGACCACCTATGTTGATGTCCATCACAACTTTTCCTATATTGGCCTCTACCCCTTCGAGACTGGTCCCCTGAGAGAATGCCACATCACCTGGTGGGTGTACCCTGCCTGCACGTTCATCTGTGTTGTGTTCTTGTCCCTTGGCCAGGACGCGATCCAAGATTACAAGAAGTGCGTTTCCTGGTGCAGAACCCACATTCTTAGGCGCAATTCGTGAGCTGGCGAATTCCATCATCCGTTGTCGTTTTATTACCCTCTTTTTTTCACAATTCTCAGTGTATATTCTAGTGCTCCTCCATCTCTACTATTTCCTTCCCATTGTTGACTTTAAGGTCAATCTTAAAGTCAACGATCTTTTTCGACTGTCATGTCCCCCGATATACTTTTGTGTATTAACAGCATATTACTTGGAAAATGTCATTACTACCCATCCTGAAGCTGATATATTCTCGGGCTAGAGGCCCTGAATGAATTCGAATAAGAAATACCATTTGTCGCAGACAACAGTCCTAAATGATGAACAAGTTCCGCTCCTTGCAAACACACCTGGGCCTAGCAAGCCCTTCAAGGTTCAAGTTATTTCATTTTCCGGAGCATTTCCTGTCGATCTGTTTCGGGTGTCGTAGAAAGTTTATGAATAACTGTTTCTGCTTCGCGTTGATTTGTGAGTCTCGTTTAGTCAAATGACGCCGATAAATTGAATGTTGACGCAGCCAGGAGATAAAAAAACGTCCCCTAACGCTGCTGACCTTAAGGGCTCACCATCACATATTACTTAAGGACAAAATTCGGTTCGTTTTTCCATTCTCTACAGTGATTTAATTCCACATCGCGTATCGCAGGCCTAGGTTCAACCTTGACAAACTCGTCCTCGACCACCTCTCGTCTCCGTAATAATAAGTAATTTCACGGACGACCTGAGGGTTGCCTTGAGCCCAACACCACACCCGACATCTACCCGACATGACCCCCACAATAGCATGTCCCATCTGAAAACCCAAGTCACAGCGTCGACGTCAGAAAAGGTGATGTTTACTTCCCAATCGCGATGAGTAGGAGGACTCACCCCCTGCACAACGCCATGTATGTATAAATTTGCAATGAACGACGCCACACGTCCAGAAGTTGCAGGCCTTGGCAAGTTGTGGCATGATGCAAAGGAGGATGACAACCATGATCCAGAGTCGGAATTGCGAAGTTGGAAGGTGCATCTTGAATTGATGATCTGAGGCTGTTTCTGCTTGCGGTATGCGCTGGTGACGACGTTGCGGGAACTTGAGAAATACTGGGGCTACTTGATGAGGTTTTATACGGATCGCCAAAGCCTCCTTCCACGGAGTCAATGTACACGGTGAATTACATGAACCTAAAAATCCCCGTTTATTTGTCCTGATTTTCCCGGTCAGACGCTTTCTCGAAGCATACTAGTTGCAATGGAAACAAGTCGTATAGATGAAGATAAAATTCTGACCTCATGAAACATCCTTTGTCAAGGTCTATTACGGTTATTGTGGCCGTGAAGGTGCCCTTTTGGGCAGTTATATGCTCCGTTGATAAAAAAACATCCGAAGAAGGATCCAGACTCCAACTTCGTCCTTTACTTACCCCCCTCCAAGTTTCCTACTCGTCATTGCAATTTGTATTGTAGATAACACCGACTTCTATCCTTTTCCCCGACTAACTTTTCTTTGGATCCGGACTTGAAATCAGAGGGCATGTGCTAGACCGCTGATAAAAACAATCCGACGAGTCGCGAGAAAAAGGACAGTGGCTGGACCACCATTTATACTCCAACGTGCTCTACCCCCCGTCCCTTCATACCGCCATTGCGACTTGCAGTGTATATATTAATAAAATGACGCCAACTTCTAGCTTTTTCTGCAACTAACGACTAGCCCTCCTTTATAATTCAATTGGAGAGAGGCAGGCGACGATTTGATCTTAGTGTCACAATAAACATGCTTACATCTCTTGAACATCCAGACTCCTCGTTTGGTGGTGGTGGCACTCTCACGGGCTCGGCCTCCGCAGGCGATTCAGTCCTCGATGGTGGCGCACTGGTGTATGAGGAAACGACAACTTTGTTGTTCTTCTTCTGAGTCAAGGAGATGACCTTGTAACTGGACGGCGTGTTGTTGGGTGGGGTGGGTGAGGGCGAGGGTAATCAGACTATTGTCCCGGAGAGTACAGGGAAAGCCCCAGCAGCCTTCCTGGCTTCTTCAGCTGCACGTTCTGCATCTGCGATTTCCTTCGCGAGGCTTGCAGCCAATTCCCCGTCGATCTGGGAGATAATTCCAGACCTCTGGGCATCTGTCCATAGCGGTTTGAAACAGGATGGACAGGAATATTGTGGAAGATTCATGGAGCACAGTATAAAGCCGCAGGAAAAACATATGGGTGTGTACGTAGACAATGGGTGCTCTCTGGCTATTTAACAGTAATCAAAACGTTTTTTTTTGGGGGGAAAAGGTGACACACCTAAGCAAAAACACCCTCCTTTCGGATCCTTCTCGCCGCTCATTGAGTTCTGCACGCTATCGAGCAGCGATTCTAACCTCTGGATTTTTTTTGCTTTTGGAGGGTTCACGGGCGGGTTGCCCTTTGACCTTAACAGATACTTGCTGCGACCTGGAATTTGAAGGTTTGATACGATCGGAAGGTAAGGAAGATGCTTTCTTAGCCCAAGATGAATGAGGATGAATGCATGACGGTGAGTCGATAAAGTTCTGTAGAATCAACAATCGTCAACATCATCGTGGCGTTTCGGCTGTCACCGTCAATTGACCGTCAACAACCACAACATGAATGAACTCAAGTAGGGAGTAAAGCACTTTGGAGAGTTGTAATGCAAGCAAGTACGTCTTCTCCCTGGCTCATGAGTCGTTCCTGGCCTCAGATGAACTATAAAGGAGTATTGGAACTACTGTAGCACCGAAACGGGCATCCATATGTTTGCCATTTGGCCTTGCTCACGCCATTCTTGGCAATGCGTTCCTGACCTCAGATAAACTTTAAGAGGTATCGGAATTATCGTAGCACCGGAACGGGATCCATATGTTTTGCCTTGCTCACAGCGCTCAACATCGCGTCAGAAGCTGCTTTGATTTTCCAAGCTGTCTGTCATAGACCCGCGACACAGTCTAGATGTAAGCATGTTTATTTCACTAGTTGGCGTGTTGGCTCAAAAAGGTGTAACGTTCTCAGAACCGAAGCAGGAGAAAACAACCCCGATTTCCCTTATAAATACGGCTGGAAACTTACTTGAACCCCGAAGTTTTTCATCAGTGAAGCATCTAGCAACCGAACTCAATAACACTTTAACTCATAAAACCATTCTACTATCATGAGTCCATCGTATCTCTCTCTGCACCACATGTGAATTGACCGCCATCCTAGATCATGGTTTTAGTCGCTATTCAATCCGTTAAATTTCCCGACCGCTACGTTTCCCTCGACGGACGTGGTGTCACTAGCTTTACTGGCCCTGGTGGTGGCAAAGTTGCTACATAAACCTACATCGGCACCTGGGAAACTTTCACCCTTGTCGAGAATAACGACAACACTGTGTCCTTCAACTCCACAGTCTTCGACAACGTCTTCCTCCGCCTTGACGGGGCTGGCGTTGCCCAAGGCGAGACCCTTGCCAACGGAGGGGGCGTTGTCAACGCCCAGTACACGGCCAACACCTTGGAGAAATTCAGGATTCAGAAGAAGGTCGATGGTTCTGGAAAACACTACGGCATTGTTGGCATTGAGTCCCTTTCCTACGTTTGGAGATATTTGAGATTGGATGGTGCGGCGAATAAGGTCAATGTGCAGGGTGTGTTCGGGACCAACGAGGAGTTTAGAATTTTGGTCGTTGGTAAATAGGTTGATATGTGTAGCTTTGGACTTCTATGAAATTTGTGTATGTGCCTCACTGCGTGGGAGTGATTTGTATAGACCGCATATTTCATCTCAGCCTCGGCTTTCCTCCCCTTTGTAGTTTCTTTTCATTTCCTGAATGCTAAGAATCCCAGAGTCGAACTTCAATCCTCCGCAAAACGGGACTGCCCCGCACCGTTCCGTGCTCCCTAACAACTGCCTGTCGCGAAAGTCGACGTGGGTGAATTGCACCATCGTGAATGCATCCATCCAATTGAATTATAAAGAATGCTTGTCGAAAGCAAGTCGGGGAAAAGATTAATATTATCCCCGCGGTGCTCCACAATTGTCGAGACTTGTGAAGCATTGCGGAGTTTTTCAAGCACTGTTTGTCGAACTGGTGATAAGAAAAACCCAACACTAAACAAACGAGAAAAGAACACATCGTCTTGCAGATCATTCTGTGGAGCAAGTTAGAAGCCAACTTAATCGGCTCGAGGTTGGAGGCATCCAAGATTTAGGCTAGAATTGGAACGCCTGTCCTCCCGAGCACATTCTAAAAGACTTATCCATGGAGCAAACAAGAACATTCGTTACATTCGTCCGAATTAATTCCACTCGAAGGACACGTCATCACCCAACATACTGTCTTCGTCCCCTTCTGCATCTGAAAGAACCACCATGAGCTCATTGAACACCAATCACACTCAGAAGAGGTCACGCTCACCTAACAAATCGAACTGACTAGTGTCCGCATGCAGCAGGATATCGCGGAGGGTCACGCTCGGAGGGTCATCTCCATCCCACTCATCATCAACGCCGTCGTCGTCACCAAGCCAGGAAGCCGCACTGTCCCTTCGTGCGAACGTCGGTGTCACGGCATTCAAATCCCCATCCTCGTCCCCATGCAAAAGGGACGAGGTAAGGAGCGAGGGCAACGACATCGCGGGCTCGATGAGGAGAGCAGCCATCGGGAATGAGTCCCTAGGAGTACCCTTCTTCGCTGTCGACTTGGGCTTGGCACTGCCGACCGTCCAGATCCTGTTGACGGGTTGCTTCCTCTTTGGCGTCTGCATCTCACTACTTGGTTCTTCTGTCGAATCGTCTTGCGTCCCGTGTACGATCTAGTTTAGCGACACATGGATTAGGGGAATGCAGGGCAACTCAAAAGAGGATAAGAGACTAACCCAATCGACTTCATCGTTCATCACGTTCTGGAAAAGTGTAGGCCGCCTTGTCCTAGCCAGGGAGAATCGCACCGATGTTTTGCCACTCTGGAGATACGCTGATGGAGGCTTGACGCTGCCTGGTGGAGTAGATGTGAAAAGCCCTCCCCGAGGCGGCGAGCCGAAGAGGCCCACGCTCTGGACTGATACTGACGTTGACGGCACGTTCGGTTGAGAGTCCGCCGCAAGCAGCCTCGGTGCTGTCATATCTGGAACGGGAGGATAAGGCGGTAACACCCTTTCTCTCAGGTCGTCCATTCGGTCCTCAATGCCTCCTTTAGGGTCAGATATATCCAACCCAAAAGAGGATAGAAGCCCAACCGTCGGCTCGGTCTGTAGAGTGATCAGGATAGTCCGTGGGTTGAAGCATATGAAACATACATTCAAGTTAAAACTCTCCCGAGTCTCGATGGTTGGTGTCCAGAGATCAAGTTTGGGGCCCGGCAGATCCTCGACCGATGGCAAGACTGCCATCTGTTGAGCCAGGCTTTTAGATACCTTCTTCACCGTGATGAGTGCCTCAGCCAGTGTAATGTACATGTTCTTCTCTGCATTGAGAGAGTCGGAGAGGATGAGTTGGGCTTGTGTAGTGCGCTCGGCATCCTTGGTTTTAGCATTGTTGAAGATCGGCTTCCGAAGTTTTCGTAGATTTGACGGGTGGTGAGCGGCCGCAATGGGAAGTGGAGGTGGGGGTGTCACCTAAGCTGAATTGTAAGCGTCGAAGAGAGGTTTAGGCTTGAAAAAACTGACCCTGTCGGTTTTGCTTAAACTCGTCATCTGGATAGAATCTGATGACAGCTGAGTGCATGGCGTCATCAATTTCAGGCCGGCCATTTCAATGAAGGCATGGAAAACTTGGCGACCTTCTTCGCCACTCCAGGATGAATTCGCCAAATCGTTGAACTTCGACTCGGATAAGGAGACCAGCTTTTGCGTGGTAAGCGAGTCGTATCGTGACGTGACTTCGCCAGCATGCGAATTGAGATTGTGCTGTCAAAAGATACCATCAATTGGATGAGGCAACGGCAAGACAATAACTCACGCGCAATGATTTTAGATCACTCTGTCGTCGCATGAAAAGTGACGCGTTTCGAAGCCACAAATGTCGACTTGACTGGCACTTGGCCAAGATATCGGTGTAGATCGACGGCTGGCTGCGAAAGACAGCCTTGGTGGGATCATCAGATGGCTTTAAACAGGGAGGGTGTTCGAGGCGAACCTACGCTCATTCTTTCGGGTGGTATGGTTGAGGAGCCTCTCAACAGCACATGCGTGGAAACAGATAGCAAAAGGCGTTCAAACCTATCCAGAAGAGATTAGACAAAGGGTGTTGGCAGAAAAAGACGCGTACTTTTCACCGGAACATTCTTCTAGCAGAGACTTGCGCACCACAACGTCCCTCCACCACCAATCAGTCGCCAAACTTTCAGCCTCAGTAATCCATTCCTTCGCTTTTACTTTCCCCCCGCTAGCACCCAGAGAGGTTTTCAGCGAAGGATACAGCGAGTGATGCCTCAAGGTCTCAAAATACTTTGACAAAGACGTCCGAAATGCCACAGTTTCCGAAGGTTGCAAACACGGATACATCGGTAGAATCTAGTGACCTACGCGTGTCAAGAACTAAAACACACTACCAAAAAGTGTTTAAACTCACAGTCTTGGCACCATCTCGTCCACCCTCTAGCTTTCCGACCAAAAAATAACAGACGTCCTCCATGAGCTTCGTCCGGTCTCGCAAGCCCCGCACACGCGGGTTGAAGACATTGTGGTCGTACTCTGGCTTGTTCGCGTGAGGGTACTCAAGAATGTGGAGGTGAACTAGGAGAATTAGAGGAAGAGGCAGAGATATGATAGATATCGACATAGCGAAGGAAGAAAGGTTAAATTATTATTATTATTATTATTTCATTATTCTTAGCTCGAACCTCGTTCTTCACCTCAAGACTCTGCGTTGCTCTTTTCTCATAAGCGAGTTTAGATACGGCGGCCCGGCGCTCGTGCTGGTGAGCGGTAGGAAGTAGCGGAGATGGGCAAATTTGACCTATCTTGGACGATCATATCAACATGAGTTTTAATGAAAGATTGCCAGATCAAAGAACTTTCCGTGTAGGTCCTTTGGGAATGGTTGGACTCGCACCCTTGCTAACCTTTCTCATAAGTATTTCTGATGAGATCCGCAGGCTCGGCCCACTTGGCTACCCGTTCTCACTTTCAATCATCCTCAGGAGGCAAAGGTGACAGTTGTGGGTATTCAGGACTCGCAGGAACGTGGAAGTGCAAACGTCAGTCCACAATTATATCCACACAATCGATAGCATTTTTTAACGAGTTCCATGCTGACTCGTTGAGCCAGCTTGAATTTCCCCACCCAGTGTTGCCGAATCATCAGCGGCTATGGCAAGGCTTTTGCTCAAGTTGGCAAACATGTGTATGTTTGACAAACATCTTCTTGTCACCCAATAATGATAAGCCGGGGCCCGAGCATTTTCACAGATAGTACATAACTGCACAGCACATTTTTGTTCCGGACACCCTTTGGTTCGACGGACCTCGGTGAGTCTAATTTTATTTGACTCTCTACGGGCCGTTAACGCTTCTCTCAACCACCAGCATGGGATCTATGGGGATTCTTTTCGTGCTATTTATTTTCCTCTTCATCATCGCAATAGCGTCGAAACCCTCACCACAAAGAACGCTTTTCTTCCCTGTGCTCGCCGCTTTATATGCCTACCTTTTCGTCTTTCCCAAAGAAGAAAAGGGATTCCAGATCGCTATCTGCACAACAGCTCTCCTCGGATATGCATCGGACTTGATCCTCTTCAGCGAGCCTCAGATTTCCTTCAGGCGCGAGGGACAACGAAAGCCCGTATGCGAAATGGCTCTTTTCGAGCGTCTATACTGGGCAGCTTCACTCGCTTTTGATTGGCGGGGTGTTCAATGGTCTTGCCAAATTTCAAACCTTCAACGCTCCCACTTACCCAGATGGGCTTTCGTCCGATCCAAGCTCTACAGGGTTATCACCGTCTACCTCCTCCGCGACATCGTATTCTTTTGCTTGCACCGTAATCCCGCATTCAATAGAATCGACGGGGAGCGCTTTGGAGCGCACGGATTCCTTTGGCAGACTTGGAATGTTTTGTTATTCTGGTTCTGCGTGGGGGCAAGTTTGTACATAGCCCATTCGGTAGCTTCTGCAATTGCAGTTGCGGTGGGTCTTTCGGAACCACGAGATTGGCCAGATTTTTTCGGTCCCTGGTTGAGAACTACTTCTATGCGCCAATTCTGGGGGTGTGTACTGCTATCTCCTAGATTGATTTGTGACACTCACAGATTTGGAACAGGAAAACATGGCATCAAATGATGCGACGCGTAAGTCACCCACACGTAGTTTCAGTTCACCAAGTACTCACACTGTTGAATTTTTGTTTAGCCTGTTACAGGTGCAGGAAAATACCTCGCACGAAACGTCCTGAAATTTCGAGCTGGAAGCGCACTCTCATCTTACACACAGCTCTACGTCGCCTTCGTATTATCAGGGATCATCCATGCCGCAGGGGACTGGATGGTGATGAGAAACATTACGTCTGCACGATTGAATATTCAATTTTTTATCATGCAAGCCATGATAATCACTGTCGAAGACATGGTGATTGCTGCTGCCAAAAAATTCGGGATCACTCGCATCCCGTTCTTTGTGTCCTACGCTTGGGTAATATGTTGGATGGCATGGAGCGGTCCGATGTGGTTAGAAACTGTGATCCAAGCGGAGTTTTCTGAGGGCATGCCTTCGGTTTTTCTATTCCAGAGGCTTTTAAACCTGTTGCACATCAACCGCCTAGTGGGTTCCGCAATTTAAGCTTTTGCTTTTCCATAGCGCTTATGACTATTCTGGCCACGGCATCGACGTCTTTTCATTCCGCCTCCTTAAACTTCCCCACTTGCGTTATCATCTGCTCTGCTTTTATATCATATCTATAATTGTTATACCCGTTATCACAGCTAATTGTTTTAGTTTATCTCTGGTTTCCTTTAGTGTCCAAAAGGAGATTACAGAGCGTTTTCAGACTGTCTAGCTCAACAACTGGGTTAATAGAGTAAGGAAAGCATATCCATATCGGAAACCACATTCCTATAATACTTCGGAATTAATATCAAAAAAGCTGCAAATACACTCCGTGATCTTACATATTTGTAGAAAATGTAGAAGAGGGGGAACGGGAGGTTCCTGATCAAAGCGAACAGAAGATTTTCGGTTCTGCACCCCCTATTGAGTGCTGAATGACAGGATCCACAAAACGACCCAACGGTAATTCGGTTATTAATGTCCGCCAACGTTTGTCGGCATGACAAAGTGTGAATCATCACAATTTGTGAAGAGCTGGTTGGAGAGCCTGACGTAACCAAAAATAGTTCAATATCGGGAGGCGCAGCCAAACACAACCACATGAACGGATACGGCTTTACTCTTTGCCACGATCACCTCAAATTTTTGACATACTACTCATCGGAAAAAATAAAGGTGGCCTACGTAAAAACCTCGACGGCGACATTATTCAGCACTCCGGCTTAGAGATTTTGACGGCAACATGATTCAGCAACTTCGTAGGTCTTTTATTTAAAACACAATTCCGCCAAGTGTGCTAGCACATTATCACCCTCACTGGCAGCTAATCACAAGGTCGCGCATCTACCATGACTGTCACTTCCAAACCCTCAAGGTTGTTTCTTCCAGTCGCCGTCGGGTCTAGAGCTCTCCAACATCGGGTAGTCCTTGCCCCACTCACCCGCTTCCGAGCGACCAAGAAGACGCACGTCCCAATTAACCCGCTTGTGAAAACGTACTACTCCCAACGTTCCAGCACACCCGGAACGCTACTCATCACAGAGGCTACCGTCATCGCACCTCAGGCAGGAGGGTACGATAATGTGCCCGGAATCTGGAGTCAAGAACAGGTTGCAGCGTGGAAAGAGGTCAGTTACTTTGTTTTCTTTTCCATCTCAATTCTCAAATTTAAAATGTTCCATAGATAACAACTGCAGTTCACGCCAACGGATCCTCCATTTTTTTGCAACTTTGGGCCCTTGGACGCGCAGCCAACCCTTCGGTGCTCTCTGATGACTCCCTCCCTTACGTCGCCCCCTCCCCTATCCCTCTCTCCGACCGTCCCGCCGAATCTCCCACGCCCCGCGCACTTACCACGTCCGAAATAAAGGAATTTATTAACCTCTACGCTGTCGCCGCTAAGAACGCCGTGCACGAAGCAGGGTTCGACGGTGTCGAGATTCACGGTGCCAATGGGTACCTCATCGATCAGTTCTTACAAGACGTGAGTAATCACCGAACGGACGAATATGGCGGGAGTGTCGAAGGACGGAGTCGGTTTGGTTTAGAGGTTGTAAAGGCTGTAGTCGATGCCGTTGGTGCGGAGAGGACGGGTATTCGGGTGAGCCCATGGAGCAAATTCCAAGGTACTCTATATTCATGTTCACGCTAATATATGATCGTTTACTCAAACCTTGTCTTTCAGATATGGGGATGACGGACCCAATACCCCAATTCACGCACTTCGTCTCCTCAATCAAATCCGCCCACCTAGACCTCGCGTATCTGCACGCCGTAGAAGGACTCGCGAGCACGGGCGCTGCGGACGGCTGGCACCTCACGGGGGAATCAATCGACTTCCTCCGTGATATTTGGGGACGGAAGCCTTTCATCAGCGCCGGTGGATACACGCGCGAGAGCGCAATTGCGCGCGCTGACAAGGACGGTGAGGCGCTGGTAGCGTTTGGGAGGCATTTTATTTCGAATGTAAGCCTTCTCTCGTACTTTTCAAAGTCGCAACGTTAACGATGGATTATTTTCTTTAGCCTGACCTTCCAACACGCCTACGCAAGGATATTCCTCTGACCCACTATAACCGGAAGACGTTCTATATACCTGGAGATCAGCCTGGTGCTGAGGTTGGATACGTTGATTACCCATTCGCTCAGGATACACAAAATGTGGAATCTCAGGTTTGATCATGACAATACACGTTTAAACTAGATGTAAAGCAGTCATGGAATGGAAGTCGTTCAAATAATTATAATTTCGGAGAGTCAAGGAGCAAGATGCAATCAAGCCCACCAACTTGGTGAATCAATCATATCACAATAACGCCGGCCCGACGTTGATAACCGACACCCGGCGCGCGCTTGCTCAATCCCTCCTCTCTCAACTCCCACCTTCGTTCTAACATTCACCACCAAGTTTCTGCGAATGGCTACTGATTTGGATGAAAAGTATGTGGTTCCGGTTTTCAATCGCAATGCATCATCTTCCACGCTGTGCAACCTCTTGAATTCTGAAACTTCTGCCTTGCGCTAGATGCTTGTTTTGCTCGATTGTCAAAGGTGAAGCCGACCCTCTGCAACAGATTCTTTGTTAAAATTCTATCAGGAACAATCCCGAGCTTCAAGGTCATCGAAACTGACCATAGGTAATGGAGACGATCCTGATCTATCTGAAATCTGACCGCATCAACTCCGAATCAGCCTTGCCTTCCTCGACATTAGTCCTGTCTCCGAAGGCCACACGCAAGTCATTCCCAAATGTGACACACCTTGGTTGTGTTAATTCTCCTCTCGCTGACCAAAGATAAATCAGATCATGCAAGAACTCTTGGTGAACTGCCAGATGAATATTTACGTGATATCGGTCCTCTCATAAAGAAGGTCGCACTGTCGACTGGTGTGGAACAGTACAATGTTATGCAGGTTTGTCAACTTTTATATATCAATTCTTCCCTGAGAGATGACTGAACTTTGGCGTTAGAATAACGGCAAACTGGCATTCCAGGTAAGCTGAATTTTATGGTTGTACCTGCCAGGTGTCTCCATTAAAGCGCCCAATCAGCATATCGATCATGTCCATTTTCATGTCATTCCGAAACCCAATGAAAGGGAAGGACTGGTTCTGAATCTTGATGATAATTGGCCAATGAGGAGAGCTGCGCAAGAGGATCTGGCCAAGACTTTGGAAAAGATGAAGGGTAGAATCTGACGGAGATTTCAATGCATTGAGCACCTCAGGGAAGCGCGGGACAAGTCCTAGGACGAATAAATCACTTTTGCTTGTTGTTTACGTGTCTATCAGCTATCGATGACGGATCCTGTATTTCACAATTATTTCAATCCATTCAAAGATTTGTCCGCAATATCTCTCAAGCTTGAGTCCGAATCCACATTGACGATGATACCTTCATCGACGTAAACGGTGGAGACGCGAAGGCTGTAGGCCGAGTCGGGGACTTGCCAGCGAGGAGAGGGCGAGGACGGGAAAAGGGATGAAATGCAAATGAAATTTTCAAGGTCACAAAGCAAGGCAAAATAGTCTGCAGTTTCAAACTCCTGATGGGTTTCAAGCACATGAACAAACGTAGGAAGAAGTGCTTTGGCTTTGGCTAGAGTTGATTCGGAGGAGACATATATTTGTCGATAATTGTAGCGAAGTGTGATGACAAGCAGAAACAATCAACTTAAATTTATGTACGTCTTGTTCCTCGGACAGTGATTCTGAGAAGATCAGCCTTATCCCTCCAACAGCTGAACTCGTTGATCAAGGTGAGAGAGGAATTTGCAATTCGATATATTTAGTGGCTTCTGTGTCTAATTTCTGCTGGTTTGTTAGACTTAGGCCGCAGTGCGCTTGAAAGAGAGAAATAGGACTTGGAACTTCATGATAGGCGGAGCGCTACGAATTTGAAGAAGCCAGTAATATCTCAAGGATTCAAAGTTTCGACGTAATTGACGTGATGAGTCGACGTGAGACTTGAGTCAGTTGTGCGCTTATTTTTGACAGCACACAGGGTTGAAAGCCTATAATTTAGGCGCCAAAATAACAGCTTTTGCTGTTGCTGGACAATGCTGTAAAGTCTTTGTCTTTCAATCACCATGTCTTCCTCCCCGCGAGAAGACCTTGACGCTTCCCTTCGTGCGACGGCGGGCGTCGTTTCCGTTCTGCGCACCTTGGAACTGGGTCTCGAGCTTGGCAAACCTTCTCATCAAGCTCGTGTTGGATCCCAAATTCAATACAACTACCGAAGGACGCACATACATACTTTGGATGCCATCGCCACCGTTCTTGCCACCGAAAACGCGAGAATAGCGGTCACATTCGCTGGACCATTCTTGCAGGACGACACGTTGACTGTGGAGTTGGCTGCTTGCAGTGCTCCAAATGTTTCTCATCAAAACAAGGCGGAATCGATAGACGGTTGTGCTGAAGTCTCACTAGAGAGTTCCCGGTGCTCGATAGAGACAATGGCTGGTGATTCGTTGGACGTGGTATGGAGAACTGGGTACGACCTCATTGATCACGTTGACTACCTCTAATACTCACCTTCAAACAGCCGCTCCCTGCCCCTTCAACATCACATTCACACATTGAACGAAAGTGTGGACTCTTTCCTGTCGTCGCCAGACGAAAAAGCTCGTATGAAAGTCTGGAAGCGAGTCATGAAGTATGTTATTGCTTCAAGCTGCCGCAAGATGCATCGTCGGGTCACATCTTCATTCTCCTTAACATTTCTCAACAATATCTTGGCACTTCCCAAACCCTCATCTATCAGCGCTCCTTTTCGCCAACCTCGGTGTCCTGACGGCTTCCAAAAAGCAAGAGATCTTCTTTTCCTCGCCAGGTTCCATGATCCCGTGTTTGTCCGCAAGCTTGGCTCCCTTCAATTTCCGAATTTGACGAAATTGGGGCACGCTGTCTTTTCCAAACCATCTGCACTTTTCACACTTTATAACCAACGGACATGCGATGAGATACATGGCCTCCTTTGCTTCCTCATCGGCCCCGATGGATTTGTCGGTCGTCTTGACAGACTCGTTGCACTGATGGAAGACCACTCCCAAGCCATTCGTGATTCCCCCTCTGAATCCGTTACAGCCTCTCCCGAACTGTCCAAGGCGTGCTCGTCCGTCACGACGTTAGGGATGGTTCTCCGCGACCTCATATATTCTTCCGCGTTTGAGGAGCACACAACTCGCATGTTGCCACACCTCCAAATATCATTACCGGGTCTGAAGGACTCGAAATCCGCCGAGGGGAAGGAGGGGAACATTCTGGATGAAGATGAAGCAGAAGCTGAGCTGCTCAACATCTATTTCAACCTTGATGTTCAGCAAATCTATATCAAGTGGGCCCAGCTGCAAGTTTCCTTCTTCGAGGCGCTGTACACCATTCGTGCAGCCCTTGGAGATATATTAAATTCAGCTGTGAAGGGTGGTCGTAAATGCAAGGTCTCCATCAAAACTTTGATAACACCGCCCTGGCAGTGTGGGAGTGAAGGGGGCGAGTTACGAATAGACACCTGGCGCCGGGTCTTTCAAGACTGCTTACCCTCCGTGGCCACCGATTACAGCGGCGACTTCAGCAGTAGCAACGCCATCAAACTCTTCGAACATTTGCTTGAGGAAGGTGCACTCCTCGACGAGCTTGGGGATAACAGCCCACTTTCTAAAGGAGTTGCGACTTTTTACGGTCGTGTTCATTCCGAGGCGTGCTTAGCAAGTCTCATGCACAGGCCAGACTCTAACGGGTGGGACCAGTTGTTCGTGAGCATTGTTCTCTTCAATGATTCGACCATAGGTTTACGTGCCGCAGCATTGTACTTCCAGTGCCATTGGGTTATCTCAATCATGCTGCAACATTTGCAGTGCATTCTTGAGCACTCTCAACGGCCATGAGGGACGGAAAATCAAAGTTCGTCCTCCGCAAAAGGTCAGCGGGCCACCATGTAACCTGCCGCCTTGGGTGCCCGACCATCTAGTCACGGAGACGCTGCTACATCTTCGCAGAGAGGTTTTCTGCAGCCTCCAGGCATTCTTCACTCACCATATATCCAGCCCTTACGCTTCAGATGCCTCTGGCGCTGGTTTATCTGACGATGACTCCTCGCCCGAGTTTGATTCGGATGACTCTTGATCTTGATGAACCTTACTCACGTACTAATCCTGTAAGATTACCGATACTCAAGGACTTCACATTGGAGGTCGACAACATATGTATGTACTTTAGATTCAAGGGGCAAAAGTACAAGAATACTATTATGTAATAGGAAGCGTGTTCTACACAACCTCGATACAATATGTAACAGTGATAAGTGGAGTGGGGCGACAGCAAGCAAGACGAGACAAGACGAAAGCAAGCGAGGGGGGTGGGGGGAAGGAGCTATATACATAGGAGAAAAGAGGGAAGTACTAGAGGGCGGCTGGTAGATAGTTAACTTGAAGGTAGGGGGGACAAAAGATAGATATTCCGATAATGGGATCGGTCCTTTTGTGAACGATCCCTCCGCCCGAGATATAAGGTTGCAGACGAGATAAAGACATAATGAGGCGAGGTCGGGGCGTACATATTAGCATAATGCCTGTAAGGCGCGAAGTGCAGGGCCAAGAGGAAGCATGAGACGAATCCGAATTAAGAGGGGGCGACTGCGAGGGGAAAGTTTGAAGTCCGTATAAGAAGGGCGCTAAAATAGAAAAAGAAAGATCAAAGCTCCTCAGTCACGAGTAGAAGTCGGTTCAGTAACCGGCCACACACTATCCCTTCGGTCTTCCCGGTTGGAACTGCTACTGCCCCTAGCAAGCGGTACAGACGCACCGCCCGCAGCAGGCAAAGAATGGCCAGTTTGAGAAAGACCGGCCTGACCAGGATTGACGGTGGTCGAAGCCGCCAAAGGGGAAGGTTGGCGAGGAGGAGACGACGACAGCCTCAATCCCTTCATCTCATCAATAGTCCTCTTCACACCCGCCATAATCCTATCCGTCCTATCCATCATCTCCTCCCAGCTCTTCTTGTGCTCATTCAGCTCAAAGTAATGCCGCTCCAGATCAGCCAAGGTGGGAGGCATGCCCAGCCCTCCAATCGCAGCACCAGCCGCCAAACCGAGGTGCATCAAGTTGGCTAGATCCCCTGGAGGGGGAGGTCCACCGGGGTAGTAGCCAGTGAGGACATGCGGAGGGGGCAAGATGTACCCCCCAGCAACTCCAGGATTCAACGGCGAATGCGTCCTACTCGGTGCGTTCGACCCAGACCTCATATAGCTCGACTGAGTAGCAGCCGCAAAATCAGGTCTCGCAGTCAAAAAAGCAGCAGCAGCGCCATTACTCAGCGCCGCAAGCGGTGGCAACTCAAACGGATGGGGAGAACCACCCGTAAACGAATGCGGTGGTGCACCCCGTGAAAGATGGGCAGCGTAGTCTTGATTCCTAGAAGAAGCACGATGTGACGGAGATGCCGAACGCGCAGCAGCGTCTGGTCCCCACCCATTAACAGCTGGCCTCTTCCGCTCACGCACACTGGGTTCACTATCCTCCCCCATATCATCGTCCTCCCTGGAAGCAGCAGCAGCAGCCGACGCACGAGTCGTCTTGCCACCACCCGCAGCGCCCCGTTTAGCGCGCTTCCTCTTCGGCTGTTCAGCCTCCCCATCACTCTCTTCAGCAGTGGCGGTTCCATTCCCGTTCCCTCCACCAACACCGCCCGCGCGACCGACGGCAACTAGGGCTTCAGCAGCCGCTTGGTCAGACATGCGACCTGCCGCTGCTGCACCTGAGGCAGCTGGGACGCGTTTCCGACGCTTGATCACGGTTTTCTTCATCGAATTGGGTCGGTGTGTACCGTGCAACTTGAAAAACAGCCCTACACGGGGAAAAAGAGGGGGGAAAAGTCAGTCGTGTTATCAAGGCAGATATAGAAATAACCAATGAGAGATAACAAGACAAGGGGTGAAAAAAAAAAACGGCTCCATTGAGGGAGGGAATCGGGTGAGGCAATAAGCCAAGCGTCAACGTATTAATCCCTGGTAGCAGAGAGATCGCGGCGAGTGGTTGACAAGGCAGATCATATGACACGCATAGTGATGATGGTATCTGATAAGATGTAGAAAATGATCGCCCTTGCCAGCAAAGCGATTTGCTCCCGAAAAGGGCAAATTCAACAAATATAGGCAAGCGTCCAAGAGAAATGAAACGACGATGAATGAAAAAAAAAAAAAGGCAAGACGAAAAGATCCAAACAAAACACAAGAAGAAGAAAAACTCACCACACGCATTACAAATATTATTCCCAACATCATCCCTCCTCCAAAGCGGAGTCGTGCTCGTCCCGCAATTGGCGCAGCTAAGCGCACCAACAGCGGCACGCACCTTCCTTCCAGCACCAGCGCCATGGCTGCTGCTGACATCGCCATCGTTCGCAGTACCAGGCGAGGCAGCCGCCGTATCCTTGGGCGATCCAGTTTGCGGGGACCCAGTATTTTCCACGCCGACCATGTCCGCCTCACTCTGCTGTTGCTGCTTTTGTTGTTCTTCCAGACGAGCAGAGACGGACAGAGCGTTGTTGTACGTAGGACACCCAGAACACGACGACGATCCTCCGGTGCCGTCACAACGCCCGTCGCCGGGGCATGTTCCACCCGTGCTGGTGGTATGCGTCTTCGCTGTGGTAGGCGAGGCGTTGCTAGTCAAGGGTGCAGGTGCTTGATGTGACTGTTGTTGTAGAAGCTTTTGCATGGTTTGTGGCGATGGTGGCTTCCCGAGAGGTGCAGGGACAGCGTTGGAGGTGTTCAGGGAGCTGGGGGCAAATGGGGAAGGCCCGATTGCCGAAGAGGCTGTGGTGGTTGGTGGAGCCGTTGGAGTGGGTGCAACTGCTGTAGCAGGAGCAGATGGTGGAGGAGTACGGGCAAGAGATGAAGGACGGGGCATGTGTCGCGATTTTTGATAGAGCCCTGAAGATGAGGATGAGTGCATTTGTTAACTTTAGATGATGCGAAAAAAATAGATGAGACTATTAAGATGGGATTGTAGAGGAGATCTAACAGGGAGGAAGGAAGCGGAGTAGTTGCATGGGAAGAGGGGAAGGGAGAGTCGTGGACATGGAGCGAACGAGATGAGAAGCTCCTTGATGTCAAGTGGTGATACGATTCAACAGCATCCAGACAGCAATCGCATCGGGCAACCTCGAAACGAGGAGACGATACATGCTGCAGGGATGAAGAACCAAAAAAGAGGTGTGGCATTGGCGAAAAAGGGCAGCAGCCATAGATGGGGATTGACAAGCCTTGTGGCATAGGGCATCTGTTATGATCTTCGGAGATTGCATTATCACATAAAGGGAGCAGACGAGGAAACGGAAACGTGGTGTGCGACGGGTCTGTTGTTAGCTCAAGTGTTTGAGAACAGTCAGCCAGCCCAATGACGTGTGGTTGCACGCCCCTGTCCTCGCATGCGTCGCGGTGCTTGATTCATGATCACCCCCTCCACACGGAAGGAGGACGTACACAAGAAAGAAAGATAATGGCACGCGAGCAAAGACCACCAACATCATATATCGCCGCGAGTCAAAGCCACGTGTCTACAACTGCGCTCCCTCGTTGCACGACCGAGACCAGATAAAAATGGGGAAAGGGCATACAAAGGGCAAGGGGTCCCGATAACTGATAAATGATGACTTACCACAAGCGTTGCAGATAGAGTTGCCGTCTGCGTCGCGCCTCCATAAAGGTGTATCTGTGGTACCGCAGTTGACGCATGGACCGCGACTTTGCGACGGCAACGCTGCTGGAGACGACGAGAAGCTAAACTCGTCCGGGGCACCTGGATGAACAAAACAACGGGCGTTAGTCTAGATTGAAAAGTTGCACCCGTGCCGCTCTCACCTGACCGCTGATCTGGCAAAGTGTTTGGGTTGAACTGCTGCAGGTGCGCCATGGGTGAATGGTGGATGCTCAGCACGGGCGATTCAAGTACGACCGGAGACATTTTTTCAGGTATAGTCGATGAGGGCGGGTATCGACTGTAGCTAAGTTGTCAGTAGGTCCGTGAAGTCAGGGGAAGATGACGGGAGCTACGAGGTGCACGGCAATAAGGAGGGGCGGTGAGCAGTGAGGTCAATGGTACGCACGATGACCGATGTCGGGAGCTCGTCGTGGCCAACGACGAGGAGGAAAGGTGCTTGATGGGAAATGGGGGGATACGAAACAAGGAAAGAAGGCCAGCGAGACCTTTGAGATAACTGATAACAAATAACTGATAACAACGTGGCTTACGTACAGCCAATAGAAATCGACCTGTTTGTCCTACAAACCTTAGATAACCGTTATAATCACCGCTATCACGCCGGGCATTTCCCAGGCATGCTAAAAGCCTCACTCTCGCCTCGTATCAGATTACCACCAGTTTTTTACGTTCTTCAAAGGGATCCAACTTTTTATTTCTTTTTCAAGATCCTACCGAGGTGCAACGTTCATGGAATTTGCGCGATTGACAGACAAACGACACTCTCAGGGCAGACGGAACATTCTTACACGTTCACCAGGTTCACACAGCTTGGCTAAAGGGCCGTGTCCCCACGGACCCCCAAGTCGTCGTAAAAAATTTCGTCGTTGCCGTGATGCGTCGTGCCGGAATACTTACGGCTATCGGCGTAATTAGATCTATTTATCACGCTCGTCGCTTACCTCTGGTTTTGGTCTTGCGCTTCAAAAGACAGAACAAGCACAACCTTCTTCGGTCAATCATCTTTACCTAATAGATAAGTTTTCATCTAATCTCTTTCCGTATATCACACCATTCCAGCGCCATTCAAGTAAAGACTCACTGAACCCTCCGTCAACCCAGCAGACTCGGAAGCGATGCTTCAAATTCGTCCATGCATTCTTATTCCCCGAAGCAGACTCACGTCTCCATCAAGTGGCCGTCGCACAAATCAAACTTCAACATTTTCACACCATTGATCCCGTCACCAGTCCAGCGGAGATAAGACAAGCTAAGGGCTCCGATCTCCCAACGTTGTGCCACGTATCATATCATATCTCTCACCCCCAAGCGCTCACCCACAAGTTTCCATCGACTTCACACTCCTCATTTCATAGATAACATCTTATCCTATCTTCCAATGAAAAGCGGATTCAAAACTTCATTTTGCTCCCGCCCCAACAACCCATTGCATATTTTCAATTGATCTCATTCACAGGAGTCCACAGGGTAAAAGATCGAAAATAAGGGCCCGTCCCATCAGGTTTCAACGTTTCATAGTCATCTGGCATCCCTCTCGCAATTACCAACCCAACGCACAACAAAAAAATTCAAGGGTATCTGTTATTCGAAATGTCGTGCCGATTCCGAACTTGGGAGCATACATTTCTTTCCTCTCCTTTAGAAGTTCAAAAGAACGTTAGCAACATCGGAGCGCCCATATAAGTGGCATACCAACCGGAACTTCCTTCCGGTACTGTGACCAAATCAATCGACGGCATTTTCCGGAGCTTCATCTTAGAATAGATAAGATTCTTCATGCCCCAGCAGCCCCACATCTTATCCGATAAGATAGACACCGCACCAATTTCGGAAGCATGAAAGAGGCAGGTGACAAAAACCAATGCTTCCTCGCTTCATCTGCGCTCACAAAGGAAGTACCCAAGTAACCGAGAAGATCAAATATGTTGTTGAAGTTGGTCCCGAGGTCATGCTTGGGTCCTGCTAACCAAGTTCGTAAACACAATTTGTCGTTGCCGGATGCGGGGTCCTCTTGGCTTCCCTCTCCTTCATTTTAATACGTATGAGCGAGGATACTCATGAAACAAGAACGAGTAGCAGGGCAAGAGGGTATTCCTGCAGGTAAAACGTCAGCCAGTTTCCACATGGCCATGGTTGTCTTTTCGCCTCTTCAAATCGGACGGACAGAAGAAAAGCCGTATTGCATCGCGCATTCGCAAAATCCACACATTATTCGAAAGAAGAAAGATGACGGAACGCATAGCATAGAGCATGTTTATTTTTCGTGCAGTGCAGTACGACTTTGAGCCTAGAAGGAATGGATGGCGGCGGATGGGAGGCGACATAGTCGTAAGTTTATGCGTCAGATGTAACCTTGACCCTCTTCTTCGCCACCGTGTTTTCTCTGAAAATATATATTCAGCATGAGTTTATCGCGGTAGGAAAGAAAAAGAAGGAAAAGCGACAAAGCAAAGGGTGGCAAAAAGACCTACCTGAATCCATTCTTGAACCTCCTCGACACATCCTTGAGGTACCTCATCCGTCCAGTCCCAGTCGTCTTTCTGCGCTTGGCCTTCTGGCCCCACTCATACGACCTCAACTTAGCAGAGGGGTATCCGCATTGTGCGCAAGCTAAGATACCAATCAGCCCACTGATAACAATGAAGCAGCTACACGAAAACGCACTTTTGTGTTGCCTGTGGAAGGCGCGGTTCCCGCAGCGCCGGCAGAGCGTGTGGGACTTGGTGTGTCGCTTACTGTGAGTGAAGATGGGCTGATCAGTGGTAGGTTCTGGAGGGAGGGAATGGGAGAGACGTACCCAAAGGACGAAGTACCTGCACGGAAAGGAAAGAGAGGTAGTCAGGAAAGAAGATTCCAATCGGGCTGTAGATAGAGAGAGAGACACACCTTTCGTCTAATAAAAAAACCGATCCGCGCACAACGAGGGGGGAAGAACACATTCAGTCAGCATAAGACCTTTTGAGAATCAAGTCACAGAAAAGCGAAGAATCATCCTCCCCGCCATCTGTGCACCAAAAATTCCAACCACACCGAAAATTCCAACACATCATCCAAACCATACCCCGCGCATCCACCCCTCTCCATCGCCCCTCCGCTCCAAAAACACGTTTACCCGCCCATAGACCTTCGTATAAACGTATAGGAGGAATGAGGACTCACCATCTCGTCGTACTCTTGAGGATTCTTGGATGGTTGGTGGTTGACTTGCTCTTGCGCACGGACGCTAAATTGGGAGTGTGGGAAAGTTGGGTTGTTTTGCACGTTTGCCTTTTTTGGCCAGAGACAGCTAAAATTCCTCAGATTTATCGGATCTGTGAGTGAAGACAACGATTACAGCTGAAAGCAGAACGATAGGCCACGGCAGATCGACACATGCTCAGGGCGGACTCCCAAATTTTCGAAGCGACGTGATGGCTGGGGCCGCTGAGTTCTCACAACGTGTTAAATTTCAACCTCCGAATTGATGTCACGCTAGTACCACAGTAAAAGTTGAGAGTCCGCCCTATGTATGCGTCGATCTGGCATGGCCTATCGTTCTGCTTTCAGCTGTAAAAGATCAAAATTCCGATGGTGAGTTGAGGTGTTCCTCGGTTCATCAATTCACTGAAAGTAATATTCGGGAATTCACTGCTTTCTTGCTGAAATGTGCGTCTGCCTTCATCTCTCCTCACCATGTTGTCATAGCCTCTTCATTAAGCGAATGTGGTCTTGTGAGTAAAGCCTTACTTCGATCATGTTTGAGCCCAGTCTCATCCCTGGACCAGTGGCAAATAAGAAGAACTACATTCTTGCCATCGGAGTCCGCAACCGTTCAAGCGGAGATAAAACCACGTGCCGATTGGAATTGGCATCGATGATAACTAGCGTAAAACCCCCAACTTGAGGAAACTCTCAGTGCACAGCAACTCGGTACCTTGAGTTATCCAGATTTATGAGTGGGTTATTGTCGCTACCTACGGAGCTTCTCCAAGAAATAGGTGCTGAGGTGTGTTGGCTTTCAGTTCTACGGAAATCCAACTTCCAGCCGCCATTCTCACTCAGGTTTCTTGGGTAGGCGGCCGACAAGACTCTCCGTTTAGTATGTAAACGAATTAATCTCGCTTTGGAGCAACAAATTCTGTCGGAGATCGTTTTATCTTCGACACGTCTTTCGTCTCAAGTCGAGAGTCTGGTTGCAACGCAACCAAAGCCAACTTCTGCCTCGAAATATGCAACCAAGCTCAGGATAGGTCCCCTATGGCCCTCATCACATCAAAACGGAGTTACGTCTTTGGAAGAAGTCAAGATTAGGTCGTTCCTGCTGCCCGCTATTGGTTCCCTTGTTGGGGTTCGTCAAATACTGTGAGTCAAGTCCCAGGATTCAGAGAATACATTAACTCCTCAATTATCCACTAGATGGGAACTGGATTCCGACCCAGAGTGGGCAACTCTTCTAGTCTTAGATGCCCTTGCCTCACTCCCGGTTCTGGAGGACCTTCATTTGCGTGTTCTGTGGCATCTAAATTTTCCTGTGCCATTCCAGCGGCTGTCAAACCTGAAAAAACTCACCCTTAACTCCTGCTGCAATAATCGCACCTCAGTAATCCGCACCGTCGCAGGACTTATTGGACGGAATCAGCCGGAGTTGACGAGTCTCATAATTGTTGATACTAGTTATGGCGGGCACGCGCTAACCCTCCAAGACTTTCTCGCGGAGACCAGTTCAGTTTGCTTGAAAATCACACATCTCCATTTGAACGGCCTACTTGTGAAATTCGATGCTAGCGCACTACGCCATTTGAGATCGTTGATCTCACTCACCATTGCAGACATGGGTCCCGAATCTTTGGCACAAAAAATTTGGTCAACTTTGCGATCAGAGAAAATTCATTTACAAGAACTTGTCACGGACGACGTCCAGCCTGCCTTGGTTGAATACTTAACATCATTTTCTGGTCTTCGGCGTCTCAGGCTTATTTGGACATCATCGTATCGCACACCTCTATTGGTGTCCAATCAGCTTGCGATCCGCTTTTATGAACAAGGTCTCGATAATCATATCTCTTTTCTGGAGTCTCTTCAAGTCCGTTCAAGTTATGAAGGGAAGTGGTGTTTTGGAAACCATTGTTCCAACGTTATCAAAAGAGGCACACGCCTCACCCTTCTCAAACTATCCATAAACTCAGAGGATATTCCGAGAGGAGAAGAGGAGGTCCGTGATTATGCGGAGAGTCCATCCCCTATCAGAGAAAATGCAATCGTATGTCTTTCCATTTACATAAAACTAGTCGAACGCTGTTAAACTTAAAATTCAGTGGTCGCTTTTGGACATATGCGCAACTCTACCTATCTTGAAAAGTCTAACGATGCGAAGCGTCCTTTCCGAACACAGTCGTGGGAACGGGGCTAATATGCAGGGTGCGATGAGGGTATGGATCGCGCAGAATTTGGAAAGTTATGGGCCAATCACCCCCAATCACGTGTTCCATGTTTCTACGCCTGGGAGTGGGACAGAATATGCGGTACGGCGTGACAATTTGGGTGCGAACCTAGGGTACCGACCCATCGCACGAATTCAAGAAGACTGATCATGCATAATGCGAGTATGTTGACGTGAAGGGAGAACTTGGTAAAGAAGGTTTGTCTATCGAGGAGACTTTGCGAAGGTGATGTCGTGAGCCTGAGTCGACCAGGAATTGAGGCAGGTGCATTGATGGTCTGTAAATAAGATCCGTCAGTGTTTGCGTTTGTCTTTTTTTTCCTTCGCCGATTTGGCTTGGATTTGGCCACTCTCCAAAGTCGTGGTGGCTACGTGTCAAGATGTTATCTTCTGATTCTCATCGATCATGCACCTCCAGAGGCTCCGACAACCTCATTTTCAACTACCACCTCGAACCTCCCAGACACGACGCTGGGTCGATTTCGTTCAAGAAAGATGTCGTCTTCCGCGTCCCTCCTCCATCGATTTTACACGATGTTCAAGCGCCGAGGACCCGACCTAGCTAACCATTCAAATGAGTGGAATATACCACTTCCCCCAGATCCAATGTTTCACATCATTGACACCTACCTCGCCACATCCACGATCAAGCGCCGAGGACCCGACCTAGCTAACCATTCAAATGAGTGGAATATACCACTTCCCCCAGATCTAATGTATCACATCATTGACACCTACCTCGCCACATCCACGATCATGGCTTTGTGCGCTGCCTTCCCAGTTCTCTGGTCATATTGTCACCCCCACACATACCAACACATCACTGTCTACATTTACGAAGGCCGATTACCTGAAAAGCTTTTCATTAGGATTCAATTATCCCAATGTCCTCCTGCCCTAGGCAACTCCATATCCCTTTCGAATCTGGATGACTTCGGCTATGCTGGCGCAGAAAAAGCGCACGGCGTCCTTTCCCTGGTTAGCGATCTAACGCATGACCTAACATCAATCAGTCTGCACATCGGAGTAAGATGGGATGAACTTGATAAATACGTGAAGCTCTACGTCTTCGCTCTTCTGCAACGCAGCGGCTTACGCTCAGTCACACTGAACAAGTGCGACATACCCGTAAACCGATTGAGGGTGCTAAATAATCTCCAGACACTCGACGTGGGTACGTCTCTGGGGCGTCCCGACAAGCATTCTTTGTCGGGAATGAGAGGAAGGGTGTGCGTCGAAGAAGTTCGCCTCCGTGGCGGTCTCCAGTATTGCCTCATTGGCCCCGGAACGCCGTTTAATTGGTCCAGGTTGAGGACGATTGGGTATACCGGATGTCGGGGTGGTCCACAAGGGCTACTTAAGTTGTGTTCCTCCTCTCTTCAAGTGTTAGAACTCGAGATTGATGGCGAAGATGGTGAGCAGTTGTTTATCCCTCATTCACCCTAAACTCATATGAAGTTTTCGTACTCCCAGGATATATCGACCTCGACCTTGGCATTCTTACCGACCTCCGTCAGATCACAATATCCATAAAACTTACCTATTTCTTTGAACAGACAATGTATGAGAATTCCGGAACCTACTTCTCAGTCATGCCGTTCCGGTGGGTCCGCTACGTATTGGCGTCCTGCAACAAGCGCAACACTGTGGAGAAGATTGTGCTCATAATGAGTACGGTAGGCCATCGATTTGAAGATTTGAGACAGTGTGACTGGCTCTCCGTGGATAAAATCTTCGAGAGAGAGGGGACATGGATGTCGCTGAAGGAGGTGCTGGTCGTGAATTGTGACGTCAACAAGAATTGCAACTATCGCGAACTGCGACCCGATCAGTTGGAGTATATTGAAGCTATTCCGACGCCTTCTCTTCAGGCAAGGGGGGTAATAAAGTGGTGTCGGTACGTTAAAGATAGCACGTAACTTTGTTCAACAAGCATTATAGTACAATTCCTTGCGAGTGGTTCATCAAATAAAAACCTCTGATTTCTTTTCCAATTTTATGGATTGATTCTGTTAATGAGGTAACCGATTACGAGGATCTTTCATGTCGTGCTAAATTTTCCTCTTGATCCTTGGAAAGTTAGGCGGAAATTGCTATTGAGTAGGGGAAGTCAGAATACCCGGTTTTGGGCTGGTGGTTCTGCGTCTCGTTGGCTCTGCGTTTTAATCCGCGAGAAAAAGAAGAACAAGCAGAACCAGAACCAGAATCAATGCAAAAACTAATAATGCAGAATCTCCTCCTCGCGAGGAGGTTCTAAATGGTTTTACCGGCCAAAGCTCTCCAAATCAAACCGAATGTGATTTTTTCAGTTGACCACCTCAGTTCCCGTCCAGTTCTGCTCTGAGAACCGTCCTAAAACCGACGACAGAACCGACTCAGAACCGACCCTAGAGACCACCCTGAGCCCCTAATCCCATATTAATCCAGGTAAGCTCGCATCTTGAATGAAGGGTTCAATTGCAAACAAGGGTCTGACCGTCTGACCATCTGTGGAATGTTGAAGGCCTCCTTCGAGTTTCTTGCCAACGTGATCCCTCAGTCCCATCGGAGAAAGCCGAGGTTCTGCTTTTTTTTTGGAAAAGAAAATTGGACGAGATCGACGTCGTCGTTGAAGTCATTACTGTATACTTATGAATAGTATGTGAGTCATAGTAAATGAGTGATGCAATGACGGTGCGGTTGAGTGTGGTGGTGGTGGTGGTGCTGTAGAAGGGGAGATCGGGTTTAGCCGAGCTCGAACCTGCGAACTCGTTCTACAGTTCAGCTCAGTGATGGTCAGTGATTCGCTGCTAAAACTGGAGAACGCTTTTTTAACTCCACTGAGCTTCTTGCAGATGAATCTCAGCGAAGCGAACCACTCCACTGTCATTCTGATTGAAGTTAGGAATTTTTTAATGCACCTGCTGTGCGTACCTGAGGTCGACGGTAACTTCAACGTTCAACGTTCAACACCCATCTACCTCGTCTCACTTCAACGTCCTGTTAGTGTAGGTGCTTACACACGCACTACGGTTACGCTACTGCCATCGCGTCCATCAAAATAAATTATTCGCGAAAGCTAGGTTCGATTCCCTGATGGTAGACTTAATGGAGTAACTTGTCAATTTTTTTGGCGGCTTCTCCTTAGCGCAGTATCCACTTCACGTTCCAGGTTCTAGATTCTATGTTCCACCCAAACGAAAAACAACAAATGTTTTTATTATGTGAAGTACTTCACTTTAGTAAATTCCCATCCCCTCTGTGCCCGGACTTAGATTAGTTGCACACAAAAACCAGCTAAATCCAACTTCTTTGTTGGTATATCGGTCAATACTGGGTTTAATTCCCAGGCAAAGATTGCGAAGTGTTGAGGCTCGGTTCATCAACTTTTTTTTTTCTGGTGTAAGTATGCACGTCCCCATGGCGGCAACGTTCTGCATCAACGCTTCCTAGCTGGTCATAATTGCACATATTGAATCCATTTGATACTTGACGTATCTCAGGCTGCGGAGTACGAGCACCTGTTGGATGACGAAATTAAGTATTTGCGTGGTGCGAAACAAGGATGGAACCGAGTGATCAGGTCGACTCGATGACGGACAAATTAAAATCAGATTAAGACGGGATGTATTCGGAAAAGTGTCCCCTTTTGTGAAATCCGACTCTTTCATGTACTATCGATTCACGTACTTTGTGTGTATCCAAAGCAGAGCGTGAACGAGCAGTATTGATTGACATCTGAATAAAATATTCGTGAGAGGCGCAAAAGGCGCGTTCTTCCTGCCATATTTGAAAAATGCCTTCATCGGATCCTGTGCTTTAGAATAAGAGAAGGATTGCTAATTCTACAGTGGTGGCTGACGAAACTATTATTGGAACCAGGGCCTGTGCGTGGGAGATATCTTCCGGCGTTTATACATAAAGGGTTGACGCGCTTTACGCACCTGAACGCATCACTTTGACCCTGACTATCACGACCATTATGACTATACCCCGCCGTTCTTTACTTTCCACGCTCCTTTTCTTCGCGTTGGGCGTCGCCGCCAACCCCGCCGTCATCAATCAATCGCCAATAAAGCTTGCGCTATTCAGACAGCATAACTTCACCAGCGCCCACAACCTCGTCACTCATGATCAAGCTCGCGCGCAGCAGTTGAAAAATCGCGCATCCAAGGGGAATGCTGGTGTTCTTGTCAACACGCCGATCACGAATCAAGCTGTCACTTACACCGCGTCGGTTGGCGTCGGCAACCCGCCTACAACTTGTGCGCATATATCTTGTTGTAATCTATGGTTTCTAATGTACTACCCGCCGTGTTTAGATTCGCTTCTCATCGACACAGGAAGGTTAGAGCTTCCTATTACACGTTGTATCTCGCTCACGGCATGCAAATAGTTCCAATACCTGGGTCGGCGCCGACAAACGATACCAGATCAGCACAACCACCCGACCTACCTTAAATTTAGTTGTGAGTTACGATCACTATCAACGCCGTCTCGGAGCTGACTAAACGAAATGCAGACGGTTACCTATGGATCAGGATCTTTCAAAGGGCTTGAGGTGACCGACTCCCTCACAATTTCTCCAAACGCAGTTATCAAGTCTCAATCGATCGGTGCTGCATTCACGGTAAGTCTCAGGCCATCCAAAATGCTTCGTTCTGATAGCGCCCTTTAGTCTCAAGGGTTCAACGGTGTAGATGGCATTCTCGGGTAAGAGGATTATTCTATTGGTTGCGTTCCTATTTATTTATGCAACGCAGCATCGGCCCAGTCGACCTGACAGAAGGTAATTCCAAGACAAAGTCTTCCTCCCCACGTCCTCACTCTGACGCGCATATAGACACTTTGTTTCCCGCGACAAGCGCAACAGTCTCGACGGTGACAGACAATTTATTCAGCCAAGGCCTCATCCCTGCCAACCAGGTTGGTATCTATTTTGCGCCAACTACTCAACAATCGGTTCAGAACGGGGAGCTTACCTATGGTACCTTCATTCTTACACAATTACTGGCCTCACGCTCACAACGCCGTTCAGGTGGAACCGATAGCACCAAGTACACAGGCACGATTAGCTACACACCGGTAACGTCGACCTCACCCGCTAGCAATTACTGGGGAATCAATCAGTCTATTCGTTATGGATCTTCGACGAACATTCTTTCGACAACTGCCGGTATCGTCGACACCGGTTCGTCCTCTTTTATTTCCAAGCTTTGACAGCACGTCCTCATGTGGGTGTCAATACAGGAACTACCCTGATCCTGATCGCCAGTGACGCTTTCAGCAGATACATGTCAGCCACCGGTGCCGTTCCTGACTCGAACACTGGTCTCCTTCGCATCACCACCGCCCAGTATGCAAACCTGCAAAGTCTATATTTCACCACGGGCGGCGTAGGTTTTTCCCCAACTCTTAGCACAATTCATAGCTCAGGAAGATGAAACAGGTCACGTATACCCTCACAGCCAATGCTCAGCTGTTTCCCCGTTCTCTCAACACGCTTATTGGCGGCACGGCCGGCAAGATTTACCTCATTGTCGCCAATCTTGGATCCCCAAGTGGCCAGGGACTCGATTTCATCAACGGTTACGCGTTCCTTGAGCGGTTCTACTCTGTCTTTGACACGACCAACAAGCGAGTTGGATTCGCCACTACTGCTTACACAACGGCGACTACCAATTAAGCGTACACACCATGGTCGTTTTTTTTTCTTTTGGGTTCTTGGGACAGGTGGGATGATTTTTTTATTTGGGTATGAGCTGGATGAATTAATGCGACGGCGGTTTCGGATACCATATACTATTCTACATAATCACTAATCTGACATGAATTCACGCACGATGGACACCATTCGCACTGTTGCTTCGCGGAAACAGTTGCTTCGAATCTTACTTGATTTCAAGGGTTCGACTAGCTGAGTATCTGACAGAGCGCGGACTCGTCGAAGAGATATCGTATCAGAAATCGATCGGCCAGTGACTCGTACGCGTAAACCGACCAACACGAAGAATGTCGGAAGTCGTCTTTGCCACATCCTTTTGTACTTGCCTTTTGAAGCATGCCATGTTGTTTTTTGTTTTACACGGTTTCTGCCTCAAGCTTCAGGCTCGGGACCATCTCAGACACAAACCAGATCGGTTGCTTCACACGTTGTAGAGTTACATCAAGGAATTTTATGCCACAGCTGAGGGACCAATTACGCGTACCATCGTCGGTTTTTTCTGGATAGGTGGGAATTTGGGTATGCAACGACGGCGGTTTCGCATACCACGTACTTTTCTACATAATCACTAATTTTATATGAATTCATGCACGATGGACACCACTCACACTGATTACCTTACAGAGCGCGGACTAATTGAAGAGATATCGCATCAGAACTCGACCGGCCAGTGAGACGTACACCGCGGTACGCGTAAGGACCTGAAGATTCCCATACCGACGAACGCGAATGTCGGAAGTCGTCTCTGCCAGATCCTTTTGTACTTGCCTTTTAAAGCCAGGATATGTGTTTGACACGGTTTCTGTTTTAAGCTTCAGGCTCGAGCTCCATGAAGTATCCATCAAGGGATTAGAAAACCACAGCATGCCACTCCGCCAAGTCTAAGTAGAAGCTTGAGCAGGCATGCAAGGTTTTGTTATCGTCGTTTATCGTCGTTCTACAGGGAGGCTCATGTCGCATGGAACAATTATATATATACTGTACCGCAGAGAAAAAAATGAGAGAAACGAAAGAAAAACGGTGCACGAATTTTGAGTCCAACGTATTGTATTGTGACCCTGCCAAATTTGGGGCGCCAATCTCATCTCGTTCCCTGGCTTATTTGAATTTCAAATTCTTGACCCTAGTGACCTTTTTTTTGATGAGCGGGAGCAGAGGGAGCGGGTCAGGACTCCGGAAAGGACGATCTGTGCGGACACGTGGACGATTGATCCGGACTGTGAACCGAATTTTACTCCGAAGCTTGCAACTCATTACTAGCATACACCATATAACCATGATACCTCCAAATTACGAGTCGTCTTCAAACCCCCGACGACGACTATATTGCATCGTGCATTCCAAGTAGGCCGCACTCAGCCGCACTCGCACCAAACTCGCACGAATCGCTGACCAGTAAGCCTCCGTCGGCTTCCGCAACGTCACAATTAAAAAATTAAAAAAATGGATTCATGTTCATGAGATACCTACAACTTGACAAAATTTGGAGGCTGAGTGTAGCGGTTGTGGTAGGATGTAGCCAAAGGTCAAATTCCGACCACTGGCAGTCTGCAAAGCACTGTACCCGAAGGACATTTGCGTTGGATTTTTTGTGGAAACCACGTGGATATCCAGTAATTGAGTCGCTTATCTTACTCTGACCTCGATCGAGGATCAATTGAATCCTATTGAATCAGATCACTGCAAGTTGCCGGAGGCATTTGATTTTGAGCTACGCGACCAATTCTAAGCAGTTCCTGTCATGAACTTTACTTATTAAAAGGTTGCCCTTCATCGAATTTTCTCGAATGCGAACTTGTTAAGTACTGCAGGCTCTAGCATCAAGCTATGCCCCATCATGAAATTTCGGAAGTTGCCACTTGACCCCAATGACCCCAGGCACTTCGTGTCTCTTGAACCTCCCTTGGCAAAGCACAATCCAGAAATATCCAGTAGTGGGCCGACTAAGTGTCTAGCCGTAAGTAGTTTGGATCTGGTGAGAGACGATTGACTGGCAATTGGTGCAACAGGTACTTCTGGTCTTGATGTTCGCATCGCAGCTCTCAGCCTGAAGCTCCCTGAGACCTGAAGGGTCAACCAACCACACCAGCTCGGAATGTTGCGAAAATTCCAAATTGATGTCATTGGCTCGTCGACAAAATTTTGAGGGCTCTCATCAAGCTCACATTGTATGTACTAATGTATACTAGGGCTGAGAAAAGGTACCGGGATTGGTTCTCGGCCAATGCCGCAATATGGCCGCCACTTTTACAACCCATGACCATCGCACCCCATGGACTCAAAACATTCGGTATTGAGTGATCCGAAAGGAACCCTCTGAAATGATAAGAAGCAGATTTTGAAATACAGGGAATACAGGATCGACGTCAGGGTTAGCTCTGGGAGGTAACATAAAAGCGATTTGCGCAAACGTTTCATCGCCAACGGATAGCTTGCCCCACTTAAGACCTTCTCAGTTCAAGAGGTTTGTAAAATATGGCAGATGCTTCTGGGCCACCACGTCTCGTTCTCGACAACACGTGCGTTTGATTCATTTTGGCAATTTTTGCTTGCCTCATCGTCAGTTACAGATTCGGCGCAGCTTTTATTGGAGTTGTTGTGGCGGGATGGTTCGTGTTTGTTTGCTTTTTGACCATCATGATCTGACGTTTGAACAGCTTATACGGAGGTCTGTCATTTCGCCGCCTTCCACCTATCATTTCGCCGAGATTACTTTAGTATCTTGCGTTCAAGCGTGGTACTACTTTACCCACCAAAGCGATCGATGGCATCTCAAGCTTCTGGTAAATAACATTTTAATATTAAATTTCCCTCCTGCTCACACTCAAACGTAGGTCACCGCGGCGATGATGTTCGATACGATACACCAAGGCCTTATCATACACACTGGTATGGGCATCCCGTATTTTGTGAATTTCTTCATAATTAAGTGTTGTTCAAGTTTACAAATATGTCATTTCAAACTGGGGCAACATGGCTATTCTAGGAGAACTTGTTCCGTACGCACCCTTCAAGTTCGCCTCCCATTCTCATTTTCTGAATCGACTTCAAAATTTAGGACTCTTTTAATTGAAGTCTTATTCAACGTGCGTCTTCACATTACTTCTTTCTGCCACGGCTTCTGAATTTCCGGTGAAGGGGTTGACTGCGTTTCTCGTTCAAAGGTTCGTTTATTCGATTTCGCTGAAAATGATAGGTTTATTCTGTTTCAGTTTCCTCGCATACCGCGCTTGGCATTGTAAGCCCACCCCTCGTAATTTTTACTCCCTCAAATCCGATTCTCACCTCATTCACAGTAAGCAACCGAAATATTTATATCACGGGCCTCATCGTGTGTTCCCTCTCCTTAAATGCAACTCAACGTCTCATACAACATCACAGGGTATTCTCGTACTTGGAGAGTTTGGTATGTGTCCCTTCATTCTGTCTTATCCATTTTTTCCTGACTCGACTTCTATGATTCAGTCTGCATCCTCGGTTCTTCCCTTTGTTTTTTCCCCGCTTCAATTCGCTCACTTATTGATTCCATCAAGTATATACCGCCATCTCGTAGGTCGCCGTTCCTTTATTTGTGATGGGGTGTTGACCATCGGGATGCAGGTTGCAATACAAGACTTTCGCTCAGCTGACACAGCTCAAAGTAAATTCCATCCTCCGATTCTGTACATTTTTTTCTATTAAAAAAACACTTTTTGTAGACCCTATCAATCACAGTCAATGTACTGGCGGCAGCAGGGGACGTTCTCATCGCTGGCACGCTATGCACCCTTTTGCATTTCTCTCGCACTGGCTTCCATCGGTTTTTGTTTCTCTTCCCTATATTCGGTTACCAACTAATTAACGTTTCTTATCCAGAACTGATACCATCATCAATAAACTTGTAATAATCTGGCGTGTTCCCTTGTATCGTTTTTCTGACTTAATCGTTCTAGATTATTTTCTCAGTAAACACAGGTCTCATTACCAGGTACGAACACTACTGTCGCTTCAAGAACTCGTCTCTACTAAAATGAATTTAGCCTGTGTGCCGTAGCGTCCCTGGTTTCCGTACGTTCTTTTCTTACTATTGGGCAATCTGGTGATAATGCCCTATGACAGATCCTCGCTGCCGGCCAGACGTTTATTTACATCGCCTTCTTCTTCTGCATGGGCCGTCGTAAGCCTGCCTTTCCCTCCAACTTCTCCAGCCAAATAACATCACATAACAAAAGTTTACACAAACTCCCTTCTTGCAACACTAAACGCGCGCAAGAGTATCCGTCAAGCTTCCGATGAGATTCGCAGCACCAGCGCAAGCGAGAGCCATGCCGTATCCCTGAAACCACTAAGCAGATTTAATCCTAATACAGTGTCCAAAGAAAAGGTGAGTTCTCTAAATTCAACGCGCACTTCCTCTACGCAATGATTTCTAATGGGAGACTGGTTTGACAGCAGCAGACAAATATATCGATCAAGATTGATACCCAGACAGAGTTTTCTGGGGACGAGATGGAGAAAAAATGCTCAACGGTAAGGGTACGTCCGAGATTTCTCAACTATGAGATATTGATCTAAAGTCGGCGCTCAGAGCCCCGATTATATCAAGGAAAAGGGACTCGGAAGTGAAGACGTTTAAATAGTGTTCTTACCTTATTACTGTTGTGTTACTGCTTAACTTCTATGAAGTAAAGATTCGAAAGATAATTTTTTTGGCGTATACGATCGCAACTTCGGGGCCATGTTTCAAATTGTTTGGCAATCGATGAAGACTGTGGCACAGCCACCACCTTCCTGGGCCACCTCACACTCAATCATACTGGGAATTCTCAATATCGGTAACTGCACTCAGTCACTGCGTTACACCTAATTCTCAACGAGTTTGCAACAGAAAACTTCACAAGAGAAAACCGCAGTTCAAACCATTTTCATCATCAGTTCCTCAAGCGCCTTCAAGTTTGGGTTCGATATCCTTTACAGCGGCATCTACTTTTCATGTAAAGTTCATGGAGACACCAATATCAATAGCCAGTTGTACCACTACTATTCAGCTGGATCAATCGCGAAGAATCAACGTGGGTTCAGGGTAGAACGTTAGGTATGTATTTTGCAATAAAGATTGGCTCCACAGTTCATTGAGAGCCAACTTTTAAACACAGAAATCTTGGCATTGTCAGAGGGTTGCCATCCTGGGTGCAACTAGGCATATTTGGTGCTGGTATCTGTGGCAGAAGGTTCGACAAAGTTCGAAATATCAGGGCACAATATCCGCCCACTATCTGCACCTCTCCGCGATGGGCACCCAAGCAAATGACGACCAGCACCGACACTGCGGTACCTCTTCAGTGTCCAACCCCTACATTTCCGGTCTCTACCATCTACGATCATGACGGCGCTTCTCCACCCATTTACATTTCCCCGTTATAGAGACAACGCAAGCCACGTATCAGATCGAAGCATTGACCCCAGCCAGCGAGATGTCCCCCTCACCTTAACAAAATAGAATGACCGACCGACAAACCGAGGGGACAAGGATCGTGGAATCCGGCTTCTGGTCAAACATTTATCAATGGAGCACAGTCGCAAGCACCAGCCCCCACCGCTTACTGTTGTTCGGACTTCCCCTGGGCATCACGACGTTCCCTCATGTCCCGCGCATCGAAAGCATCTGTTAGTCTTGCTGCAAGCCCACTTTCCTCGTTAGACCTTGAACAGGCGACTGCGACTTAACAAGAGCCGACAGTTTTTACGACTTGGCTTACCTTCCCCGCGTTGCTGCAACCGAGATGGTTCGCGCTCCTACTCGACGTGAAATTCAGCTGCAGGCGCCGATAGCTGCTTTGCCTCAACCATAAACTCCATGGAGATTCTCATGTGAGTGTTACGGCGGAAGTTCAACGCGAAGCTTAGTTCAACCCCCTAACTAATAGATGTTTACAGTCACCTCCGACAGCCCCGGCGTCTCGATCAGGGTTTCAAGCCGCAACGCCACATGGGCTACGCCCTTTCAGTCAACGACGAACTTGCAACAATTCTATCACTCTCGATTCACATTACTCTCTCGTATGAAGCTCTCAATCATGCAACCAAGACCCTTCGAACAATGAGCTCAGGCACAGTGCCAATCCAATCTACTTCCAACACCCGCGCCTCCTCTCATCGTCTTTCCTGTTTCCCTTTTTTGGCCCGGGTGAAAGATGCAATGATTCGTTTGAATGACCCGGAATGCATCGGTCATCTCCCAGCCATCCACCACAAACAATTAGTTTGCAAGAGTTCTCGTCTGCTCGAACTATAATTAGGTACGAAAAATGTCAAGTTCCGGAATTTCAAAGAAAACTGGGTCGTCTTCAAATCTCATGTCAGCCACAAAAGCCCCTTTACAAAATCGCACTGTCACAGTTCTCGCAGCCATCCTCCTTCTCCTTTTTTCCAATAATGGCTGATAGTCTTGACATGGAGACGCTGCTAGACATGGCGTCGACAGACAGGAGTACGATTCCCGCCGTCTTTTCTTCAGACCCGGATATTGCTCGCTTTATGGAACCTGCGTTCTTACCACCACCGTCGAGGCTGGCGGACTCCTCGACCAGTCATAATTCTATGGTACCATCAACGGTCGACGCACAGCAGGTGGCGATCATGCCTTGGGAAGAGGAGAAGTTGACTACGTATGCGCCAAGTCATCAACAGGACTACTCTGCGAGCGCCAAGTTTACCGACGTTGGTATTCCTTCTTCCGTTCATCCTTCCTCTTTCTCGTCCGGACAGGTGGACCTTGCATTGGGGCTAGAGCACACGATGGTCTCCACTGCTTCATCCCAAGACGATAATCAGTGGCAGATGTACTTGAACACCTCGAACTCTCACTCAGGTTCGATCCCTAGCTCCACTTCTTGGGTCGACGGCCTCAACTGCGTTACGCCGTCTTCAAGCATCGCAAGCATGACCTATCCTGTAGAGGAACCTGCGTTCGACTTATCTCATCTAGCTCTCCCTCCCCCGACTTTTACCGTTGCTGAACCCACTCAGTCAGTCGCCCATTCGATCCCGATGTACTCAAATCATCACCACGAGCTTGAGGGCGTCATGTCGCATCTCTCTGTCGGTCCTGGCCATACCCATCAATTCATAACGCCTTCTCGAACTCAGTACACAAAAGTTCAACGAGAAGCTAACGAACGGGCTTATCTCTCGAAATTAACGGCTCCTTACCTTCATTGCAGTTCTTCTCATCTTTCGCCCTTCCCAGCACGTCTCGAGCCCCTCGCGCAGTCGACTCCCTACCAGTCACCCAATTCCTCACCGTCTCGAGGTCGATCGCCAATCTTGGGTCCAAAAATGCATTTTGCGCCTCAGCCGATTCGGAAGGGTCGGGGTCTTTCAGGCTGGGGACAAACTAGTCCCGTCGAGTTCCCGACATTAGGCTCTGACGCGAAGCTTGCGTCCCACATCTCTCCACTTCCATCGCCGGCCCTTCCGTCGTCGTTCAAGCTTTCTGATACTGCCATCTCAAGCGCTAGCAGTGAAGGCAGCACTAGGCATATGAGACCCACCAGGCGTAGTCGTAGATCCGCGATTTCCCTCACTCTGCCCGGGCACATGGGCAAGGGGGATACTTACGACTCGGAAGAAGATGACGACGGCGGGGACGACGACCATTCGGATTTCTATCAACCATCCCGATCCCCTTCTGTTGATCTCTCCAAGTCTGAGTCGCTCCCTTCGTCGCCATTCATTTTCCCGGACTTTGCTCCTATGAATACGTTACCGAAGAATGGCAGGAGGAGAACTAGAAGGGGGAAGGGGAAAGCCAAAGGCAGCGCAGCTCTTGCTTTGGCGGTCGTCACCCAGATGAGTGCCAAGGAGAGCGGTAGCCTAGGTATTGGGAGCCAAGGCTCGGTGGAAGCGGACGAAGAATCTTTGGATGAAGATGGGCGAAATTCGAGAGGTATCCAGGCGGGCAGGAAACGCAAGAATAATCCCATTCCGCTTCCCGTTCCTGTGCCGCACCTTATCAAGAAGAGTAGAGGAAGGAAGGTCCCTTACGTCGCCCCTGACAAGGTTACAGCTGAGAGCGATGCTATCAAGGTGGATGTCTCGAGTGGTGGGTCTCCTGCTGGTCAAGACGAAAAATCAAACGAGATGGATGATGACGGTGAGACCTTCAAGCCGTCGGTGCGTGGGGGTCGAAAAAAAAGCACCACGTTATACAGTCTAGGCGAGGGAGGGAAAAGGACGTATGTCTGCGTTGTCCCTGGTTGCGGCAAGTGTTTCGTTCGCGGCGAACACTTGAAGCGCCATGTTAGGAGTATTCATACACACGACAAGCGTGAGTTCTTCGTTGCTGTTGACATGCCCGTTTCTCAACGTTGTTTTACCAGCGCATCCCTGTCCTTACAAGGGTTGCGACAAGTCTTTTAGCCGTCGCGATAACCTTGGTCAACACGTTCGCATTCATCTTGAGTCGTGATATAATCCCGGATACAATACCGCTTACGTCCACAGTTTTTTCTTCTTGTTTGGATCGATACTGTTTTCTTCTTCTTTTCTTTCATCTTTACGTGTCCTAAAAAGTATTAGCTATGTTATAAATAATCGTTGACACATTGCCAAAGCACCTATATTTGCTTTCCGAAAATCTGACCAGGAGAGCTAATCACCAAATAAGGATTACAAAAAGGTGAGAGTCCTCGCTACAGCCCGTTCCGGCGCGTTGCCTCCCGATTTTCTTGCAGTTGAATAACAAAAAGGAGCTTACACCCGACGGGAATCGAACCCGTGCCGCTTGCTGCGCTCCGAATTTAGTGTTCAAAGTGGAAGGCAAGCATGATAACCACTTCACCACAGGTGTTTTCAAAAAAGTACACTAGTTAAACTACACATACAAACATTTGAGCCACTCAACTGGTCAAAACAAACAGTGCTTGCACATTACAATGAGAATCACTTTTTTTTTCTTGTGATTTCCTGATTGGGAATTCTCCTAAGCTTCCTCAGAGATTTAAAGAAAGCCATGTTATTGTGCACAAAAGAAGTTGCATCTTGCATGCAAAGGAAAAAGGAACTTCCTTCCATTCTGTCTGATGGATTTGTCACACAAACGTGAAGGTGTTGCAGGGCGAGTGCCGATTGAGGACACAGGTTTTGCCAGGAATCACCCAACTGACCTTCCCACCATCCTGACCTTTCGTCAGGCATAAATTGTCACACTAAAGGCATAGCGTAAAGCACAAAAATTTTGAGCATTATGAATCTATTCATTGTATTGTCATTGCAGAATTTTGTTTTAAGTATTCAAATGGTGTTGGGGCACATTCATTGCCCAAGCCAAATAGGGTAAGCTGCGAAGAAAGAAAATGGGGTTTTCATTATAATCTGGAAGTGCTGTAAACACAGAGGCCCACATTAGTTATGTTGATCAGTGACACATTGACAAAGCACCTACAATACCTTTCCAAAAATCTGAGCAATGTTGTCTTTGTGGAATCACAGAAAATAATAGAGGATCCTAGAAGGGTGAGTGAGTACTTGAGTTTTTGTGCTACAGCAAATTTTCAGATGACAATCATCCCCATTTTCCTTGTTTCTAACACATTCAGGTCCATAGAATAATAAAAAAGATTTTACACTGATGGGAATTGAACAAATTGGAAGTTACAGCATGATTCTGGTGGGAATTACAGTGAGCAGTCATGTGACCAGGAGATTCAGTGTGTCACTCACAGTCCTAGTGACATGCTGCAGAGCTGCGAATGTCTTTTGACAGTCATGTTTTCTTGTGATCTCATAGGTGACAGCCACCATAGATGCAACAGCCATGGCAACAATGATTTCCACAGGATCTGTGGGTGCTTCTGCCACATTTTTGACCCAGATGGCCAGAACAACTGTTCTTTTCTGTACACTAGGGAACCCCACAGGCAATTATTTCCAGAAAAAACCACCAATTGCAGTTGTGGAGAGTATCTTCAAACCCAGGACACATACTTGGAGATTATACCCAATACTAAGACCACTGTGACAAAAGTGCTTGAGCTTGTGATAGATAGTTGTGAAGTGATCTGAAATGAACCTATTCATGTCAAGAAGCCCAAGTAATTTGTTCAATGTGGAAGTGCCAGATGTTCCATTCACGGCACTCCCGTTATTCTTTCATTTTAAATGTGCTTTGATTTTTATGATTCTTTTTATTTGATTTTAGCTTCTTTTATGTTTTTTAGATTCTAGATGGGTCTTCAAACTGTCTCTTTCAACATACACAGGTATGTGTCAACACTTGGGATGATTAGCACATTCCTCAAATCAGATGATGTCATCTCTGGTGACTTACTGCAAACACTCTCAAGGATGATGTCATTGCTGGCTACTTCTTTGATCACCATTTCCTCTCCTCAACTTGAAGGATTCTGGATTTGAGGACTCATTTTTGGATGCACAATTTTCGTATATTCTTCATTTTATTTTGTTCTGCTACTTCTAATGTCTTCTCATGAGACTGATATTTTTTGTGAGGGTTGGATGGTAGGGTAGAGTTCTCAACCACTGGGGCACTCACATTGAGGGTGGCGATGCACATGTAAATAAGCTTCCCCAGTGTCATTCAATTCCCCAAGTAATCCCCAGCTTGAAGATTTGGTTGAGGAATCATACAGGAGGCATAAGTTTTATTATCTTTCATTTGTTTACTTTTATTTTTTGACACCTTTCATCTTCTTTCTAAAATTAGAATCTTTGGGGATATGCAACACAAGAGAACATGTTGAATGCCTTGTGATTATTATTTGTGTATAAAAGGTGTCCTCCCACCTGTTGAATGGAGTATTCTTCCCTTTCCCCACTCTTTTGACATTGTCCCCTCTCTCTAAGTCGACGTGTGCCAAGGCACAACATTCCTCAAGTCTGAACACACTGAACACATTGAAAAACTCATGCCTCAAGCCTCTAGCATGTCAATTACTCTCACCACGGCCTTTAGGGTTTCAAGATTTTAAAGATGTTAAGTGCTCTTTATTCTATAGCCTTGAGCCCTCTACCTCTATCTTATCTTCTTGATTATTCTACTCATCCTTTATTTTTCTGTGGCAAATGACCAGTGACCCAATCCCATCCTTGAACTTTTGTTCTTCCACACCAAAAACCAGTCTGGGTGGTGATATATTGAGGCAGTAATATAGATAATATAACAAAGTCAACCACAAGATGCTGTGAGGTCTGTTGGAGGAGAAGAAGGCAGGAAGTGCCAGAGATGGTAGTCCACTACCTGTTTGAATGCCAAGAGTACATGGCGGAATGTTATGATATGGATAGGGTGTTGGGCCACCACTCAACAGATCTCCAAGTGATCCTGGCAAGTTTGGACCATATAAAGGAGTTGCTCAAGTTTGTAGGAAGGACAGCCAGGTTCAAGAAGACCCTCAGGGACTCCATAGGTGACTTGTCTCACTTGGAATCCTGAGGAAGTTGACAGATAGCACTATCATTCTAGGAAACATGCAAATGACACAAGACACAAGGCATTTGAAAGGCAAACTGGTGCTATGGCCAGCAGGTCCACCCACCACACACCCTCTCTCTTTTACCCACAACTCAGCCAGCAGACTTAAGCATAAAAATCACATTGCAAGCTGTAAACATGCATATTCAAATGAAGGATGACAGTAACAAAATTATACATTCCTGCATTGCTTATCCCATTCTCAGCTGTACCTATTGCTATGTGATCAGATACTTAGAAGACAAAACACCACCTAGACGGACTGCAACATTAAGCAGAAGATGAGACTACCCTGCTCACCAACAAGACACACCTCTAAATGGTGTTTCCATGCTGGACTGGGAGGGGGAATAATCACCATGGGTGTTCCCTCTCCAGTGCAAAAGGTGGTTCTTAAGGGGTCAGGAATTATAGGCATTAGGGGCCTTAGGTAGTCTACTAAGTTGTAAGGACTGACTTGGGGCCCCATAGACTATGAAACACTTTTGACTAGCTGATATGTCACTTGTTACTATACCAATTTTTACAAAACAAATTGCAACATGTAGTCAAAGCTCATATCTACCATTCTACAAAATTTGGATGCAATCAAGGCAGCATTGATGATGCTGTGGAGTTTTTAAAATGGACTGTTTTTTGGAAATAGCTGAAAAACAGTCACACCCATTGATGATACACCCATAATCTTAGTTTTTTTTCGTATTCAAACACTCCGAAATTTAGTACAGCCATAGAAGGGCATTTATCTAAAATCTTCATGTAGTTTTTGTGGTGAAAGGTTGTGCCCAAATTTGTTGAAGCTAATTTCTCAATTTCACCATATCATTAGCAGGTGGATGACTGTAGCCAGTCTTTGTTCCAGAGTAGTATGAGGGCATGACTGGGAAGCAAATTATTTGAATGACATTCATGTCATTCAACTGGGAGATTTCATTGCTGGTGTTGAAGAGAAGAAGGAAATTTCATTGACAAAAGTGGCTATCTGTTTTAGGGGTCAAACTTTCATGTTGCCAATTCACAGGAGCTTTCAATTTTAGGCAAATCACATGTAGACCCTTGTCCAAAATTGCAGATTTGAGGCCCAATATTGTAGGTTTTTGCAGACAAGAAATGACATGAGCTTGTGGGAAAATGTCTTTTTGGGCAGGTACTCATGCCCACCAAAGGTGATGCAACAACACAACCAAACAATGTGTGGTGTCTGTTGAAAGACCAGTACATTTCTCAGGTCCTCGATGCTCACCTCAAGGGTTTTTATGATGAAATAGAACTGGAGAGTCCCAGAGTAGTTTTTCAGCAAGACAGAGCACCCAGTCATACTGCAAAATTGACAGAGACATGGTTTACCAACAACAATGTTGCACTCTTCCCCACCCACCAAACTCTCCTGATCTTAATCCCATCAAGTCAGTTTGGCATGAGCTCAAGAAACTTATCAGAGCCTGACCACACCTTCCTTCATCCATTCTACAACACATTTCTGCAATTCACAATGCCTGGGACCAGCTACCACAGGAGGACATTGACAAGCACATCAGGACCATGCCCGAAAGAGTGCAGGCTGTCCCAAAGGCAAAGGGGGGTCATACATGATTTTAACTTGATATTGCAGTTCAAAATACATCTAACTACATTTGAGTAAAGCACCATGTATCTAGTGTTTGAAAGTTAGGTTAGTTAACCGGAAAATAACCGGAAAATAACCAGACCTAACCGCAACACTAACCTAACCGCGGTTAGGGTTAGTTGATTTTCGAAAATGGAATAACCAGTTATTTTGCGGTTAACTAACTGTTAAATAACCGGTTATAACCAGCCCTATTATACACCTTCAAAACGCACTTGAGAACGTCGAAAACGCTTAAAATTTGACTAAGTTACGGTCAAATCTCTGAAATATCACTCAAATGTGTAGACTTTCAAGGATAATTGCATAAATATGTCAATTCTTCACCGATTTTAGCGTTCTTGGGCTCGTTTTAAAGCTAGAATATGCAGAAATAATATCTATCAAGATACATATGAGCATATTTGCCTTGTTATAACCGATTCTTTATTTTTCGGTCCTAACCAGTTAGTAACTGCAAATAACCAACCGTAACCGGTTAGTTGTGGTCCGGTTAGGTTATTTTAGGTTTCGGGACAAAGGCTAACCGGTCCCGGTCTCGGTTAGAGCCCCTGGGCACCCAATAACCGGACCTAACCGGACTTTCAAACACTACTAGTGTTTGGAAGTCCGGTCTCGTGACTGGAAAAAGACCGTAACCAGACCGGACCAAGACCGCAAAAGACCGGACCTGTGGTTACAGTCTTTTATTTTTGAAATGTAAAGACCGCAAAAAAACCGGTTAACGTGAACCGGTCTTTTGTAGCCCCTTAAATACCCTTTAAAACGCACCCAAGAACGTATGATTTGGTAAAAAAACGAGAGAGATATGAATTAAAATGTAAATTACTTTTGGGAATAATAGATGTGCCAGACTTATTTTATAGAAGCACCAATTCCTAACGGAATTTAACGTTCTTGGGCTCGTTTTGAAGCTATTAGAAATGTTAATAAATTTACCGATTCATAATGTTAAAATATTGGCCTAAAGACCGGTCATAAACCGGTTAAAACCGATGCAGACCGAAACCAGTCTATAGACCGCAAAAAACCGCGGTCTGCGGTCTTTTTGCGGTCCGGTCTGGTCTTTTGACTTCTGGGGAAAAGGCAGACTGGTTACAGTTAACACCCCTGGGCATCAAAAAACCGGACTGAACCAGACTTTCAAACACTAGTTCATGCAATTATGCAAATGACTGTAAATGTTGGTGATATTAAACACAAGATGGTCAAAGTCATAGATGTCTAGCCACTTGACAGTCAGTCCCTTAAGACCCCTTCTCAAGTATTAGTTATGGTAATTATTGACACATTGCCAAAGCACCTACATTACAATCAGGAGGGCTAATGAAGAGTACCTGAGTTTTTATGCTAGAGCAAATTTTCAGATAACAATCATCCATTCTTTTTGTTTTGTACCCATCCTGGTCCATCAAATATAAAAAGGATATTAACTTTAAAGAATTGCAGAAAACAATAAAACATTCCAAAAGAGTGAGATATTGGTGCTTCAGCAAATTTCCATATAAAAGTCATTCCCACCTCATAATGTAACTGAAAAGATTCAGATGGTGGAAGAGGTAGAGTTATGCACAATTAGTGTTTAAAGGTTCAGTCCATAGGACCACAAAAAACCGGTGGACCAAACTGAACTGGACCATGGACTGGTCTTTTTTTCAGTTGCAGTTGCTCAAATTTGGGGTTGGTCTGGTTGCCAGTTGCCTCATTTCAAAAATCTTTTAAAACTGTTCAAAGACTGGTTTTAATTAGTTGCAACCAGTTAAACAGTCACGTGCATTACATACCCTTGTAACCATGTTTATTACCTTTAATTGGGTTTTTGGTTCATCAAAAATGGTTAAGAACTGAGAAAGATATAACCAAATCCACTTTGGTATAAATATTTGTTTGTGCAACTTGTACCAGAATGACTTTAATTCTAATTCACTCAACTTCAATTTTTGGATATTGAAACTACAAGTATGAAAATATGCTTACCATGTATCAATGTATGGTATGCATCAAATAATTTACAGTTGCCACATTAAATTTTGCCCGAGTCTTTAGAAGATGTAATTCAATTTCAGTCGTAGCTATGTCAAAGCTTCATTAAATATCTTACAAATTGGTAGAATGACGGATATTTACATGCTTTACTATGTTGTATAACCCATTTATTTTTCAGAGTAATAATGGCTGAGATATAACTGGTTTATATTGGTATGACAAATTATATGCAAAAAAACCGGTCTGGATCGGTCTGAACCAGTTCCATGGACCGCAAAAAACTGGTCCTAGGTGGTTCGGTTCAGTTCCCACAATATCTGAGTCAGTCCTAGACCAGTTGCAGGCCATGGTTGCACATTTTAGGGGCAAAAAACCGGACTGAACTGAACCTTTAAACACTATGCACAATGCACATTGCACATTGCAACATGAGCAGAGCAGGGTCATATGTCACCAAACAAATCCCAAATACTTTTTTCTCTCTCAACAGTTGTGGTTTGTTTTGTTGGTGTTGGAAGAAGAAGGAGCCATGCATGACAATTCACTACAAGTACGTGTGTAATAATATGCATTCCTGTGAAATTCTGTGCATTGCTGTGAAGTACTGTGCATAAATCTCTGCTCTTTCCATAATTGGACATGCTGGATGCACATGTTATGCATGCATATTATTCTAACTACAAAGTATCAGCTACAGAAGAAATTCTTAAGGACTACTTGCAATGCTTAATACTTATGCAAGCTTGACTAGTTGAGCTCTTGATCATTGAGTTTCAACCACTGAAGCCATTCTCTCAGTGTTCTCAAATTTGAGTGCCAAGACTGCACCCTTCAAAGAACAGTAATGTACCTCCATTTATTTTGATGTCCACTGATTATTGTCCAGGTTATCAGCAATACATGTAACAATGCATAAACCCAAAAAAGCACAGGATAACCTGGCAAGTCCAACTCCATTAGTGAGTGTTTTTTCTGATAGTAGTAGCAGGCTGAGAATTGGGTGCCAGATAGTAGTGATGAGGTTGAGGTCATGGTGAGTATTGCCACTACCATCTCATTTACTGCAGTTTACCAAGTTCTCCATAATCTCCAGGGAGAGCATCATCATCATCATCTTGGAAAGAGACCTCTTGGCCAACAAGAGCAACAAAGAATCTCAAAACAAAGGTGCCAAGCATTTACACCGCTTTATTGGAGGATAGAAATCATGCCTTGGCCAACCCTACTGATGACAGCCCTGGAATCACTGGAACGAGTTCCTCTGATACTCAAAAAACAAGGGGTATACACATGACACCAACAAGAGCACCTTCAGGGGTGCAAATGACAATGTCAAAGAATCCAAACACCCAAGTTCAGTAGATATATGGTTTCCACTCCAGAAACAAAGGTACATGCTCGCATACCACCTAACACAACTAATGCCTTTCAGGCTGCTGCAAAACCAAGGGTCTCCAAGGTCTACACTATAGTGAGTCTCCATATTGATCACTTTATCTTTACTAACTGTTCTTAGATGGAGGTGAGTCCATATATTCACCAAAGTATCGCTTTACACCAGCACATTTCAGTTCAACTCCAGTTGCATGCATTATCTCTCTCTGCATTCAAAAGGAGTGAAACTCATAGCATTATTTTAACAAGGACTATTCTGACAAGCTTCGAAAAGCAATCTACCTTTGAGGTCCCCTGCCTGACAATTCTATTGTGGCTCAACTACACATCCGAGGATATGAAGTAGTCATCTGCAAAGAAGAGATATCTGTGCAATGGGAAACTAATGGACCCAAAACACAAAGATTAGAACTACAACTACAACTTGCCATTCAAGTCCACCAACACCAACAAGTGGTGGAACATATGCCAATGAAAAAAGGATTGCCAATCAAAAGTTGAGGCTTATGACTGAACATACTTAGATTATGTGATATATGACTTTGTTTGAACATTAATGCCACTGTTTTCAAGTCCTTCTCATCCATCAACATTCCCAAGGCCTCACATAGAGATGTGGATTGGGTGAAGAATATCCAAGACTTGCCATGGTGAATTTGTTTGAGTCATGGGAGGAGTCCAATATCTTGATTGGGTCTGAACACACCAAAGCAGACTGTGTCAACATCGCCAAAAAGTATGGGAAATGAATGGAACTGGGGTGGGGATGGTTCATAGTTTATGAGTAAGTCCTTGACTTTCTTTGCCTTGCTTTGCACCCTCATCCCCTTATATTGTTGGCAGTCATTTTTTTTCATTGTGTCACATGTTCGAAAGGAAGGTCTACACTATAGTGAGTCTCCATATCGATCACTTTATCTTTACTAACTGTTCTTAGATGGAGGTGAGTCCATATATTCACCAAAACATCGCTTCACACCAGCACATTTCAGTTCAACTCCAATTATGTGCGTTACCTCTCTGTGCGTTCAAAGTGAGAGAAACTGATAGCATTAGTTCATTGAGGACTATGCCGACAAGCTTCGAAAAGTGATCTACCTCCAAGGTTCCCTGCCTGATGATTCTATCACAACTCAACTGCACATCTGAGGATATGAAGTAGTCATCTGCAAAGAAGAGATATATGTCCAGAAGGAAACTAACAAACTCAAAAAATGAAAATTAGAACTGCAAGAACAAGAACTTCAGCTCGCCATTCAAGTCCACCAACAAGTGGTGGAACAACATTTTGAAGAAAAAAGGATTGCCAGTAAGAAGTTGAGGCTTATGACTGAATGTACCTAATTATGTAATATGTGCTTGGTTTGAACATTGACGCTGCTGTTTTCAAGTCTTTCTTATCCATCAGCATGCCCAAGGCCCAACATCATAGATGTGGATTGGGCAGAGAACATTCAAGACCTTGCCATGGTGAAATTATTCAAGTCATGGGAGGATTCCAACATTTTAATTGGGTCTGCACACACCAAAGCAGACCATGCCAACATCACCAAAAGTATGGGGAATTCGTTCAAATTCAATACCCTGTGGCCATTGGAAATGAATGGAGCTGGGGTGTGGACAGTTCAGAGTTTATGAGTTGGTACTTGACATTCTTTGCACTCTCCTTCGTGACTCATCCCCTTAGATTGTTGGCGATTGTTTTTTTCTTCATCATGTTGCATGTTCAAAAGGCAAAAAGAGCAGGTTGATGACTTATAGTAGCATACTTAGACTCAGATGGGATTGCCTTTTCCTTGTATAACAACATCATTTCATTCCATGTGTCTATTGATCAATTTCTTTCAAGATGATTGAATTTATGGACTCATCAGGCACTGAGAGGAGAACCACAATGACTCACACAACATTTCTTGTGTGTATACTTTCTTATTTTCAATTTGGTCAAGTTGATCCTCTATAGTGGATAAAACAGGCTCAGCAAAACTTCAAACTGGATACCAATCTGACAATCAAGTCATACATTGGTCCAGATGAGGTAAAGCTGCTGATTGCTGGGGCTATGATGGATGCCCTGTGCTATGATAATACAAGTGTCTTCTTGTTATCTGTAGATACATTCTATTAACCCAAATCCAGTTAACTCAACATACCATCATAATCATTTTGGAGCTCGAAATGGGCATTGAGCCCTCTTCAGCTTTTGCTGTATGCAATTATGGTGACTGCTACATAAGGTTCAAAGTGAGTTTTTCCTTAGCACTGTTACTGCACTACACATTCTGATTGTTTAGCAGAACATAAAAATCTTCTGTGATGTGGATTCTCCTGGTCACTTTGGATCATATATGTTACAATCAATGGTAGCTGAACACCTCAACTTGACTTGAAGATTGGATGTTATCTTGTGGCACATGAAAGCCACCATGGATTGTTCAAGCACCGCAGCACCCTCAAAAGTCTTGTAGCTGGCACTAAACACTAAATTCAATACAAGGACAAAATACTTGAAGATGCTTTTTTTGTCCAATCAATGAAGTGAAATCTTGCTATTGATCCTACCAAACCAATGCATGACAACAACCACAGGGAGTTCATGCAATGCATTGGCATATTGGTTGGATTGGGTGGTAAGAAACTGGATCCATCTTGCCACTGAGATTTTCTTCCCCCTGGATTCAAGTAGTGAAAGCAGTGTGATGTTGTGGGCTTGTATGATGATATCTGACAAACTGACTTTGTCGTTCTCATTTTAGGTGAAACAGTAGAGTCTGCATGGAACATGGGACACCACTAAATGATTTACATCTTTGATAATGATATGGGGACCATCAATTCTGCCTTGGATTGATGATTTAGGAAGCTCATAGAGAACACCTGCAGTTGGGCACTCAACTGCCCTACTAAATCTCACCTTCAATTCTCCAGCATTCCACAAGCTTGAAGCCACTTCCCTTCACTCTATGCTTCCTCAGGCTCACAACCCACTGTCCAGAGCAAAACACTGCCCATGCTGTATCCTCCTTCCAATTGCTTCATTATACAAAGTTGCATGATAGTAAAGAGCTAGTGTTTTCATTATTGGGGTGGCAGGTTCTTGTTGTGAGAATTATGTCAATTTGTTTATTGTGCCAGCCTGAAAGGATGCTCATGATTCATCAGTAACAGTACTTTACTATTTCATTCAATTCAGCAGAGCCTGTGATGCTCAGTAAATAGCAAAGTCATACTTTAGTCACGAGAAAGTCAGCAATTAGAATGTGTTTGACTAAATGTCGTTTTTTTTAAGTGTTTCTGACTACACTCATACTACAATAGTCATACATTAATCCCACACTGCAAATCACTCAGTCATGTACTAGTCATATAATAGTCATGTCTCAGTCATTGATGCTCAGGCTCAATTCAGGTTAGGAAATGGGCTTTAAAAATTTATATTTGACTACTTAAGAGAATACCTGAAGTGGGCTTAGAGTCTAAGTATAGTATGAGGGAAGAACACCCAGGTCCTGCATACTGGCATAAAAATCCATTCACTATCTAATTGCTAATGTTGCACCTGGATTTCATATCAGAAGGGTAATGGGGGAGAAGGGCACTGACTTACCAGGGCTGGTATAAGGTTGTGAAATGGATGACATTGAACAATGGCCATCTGTTGTCATTTGTTGTCTGGCCACTTCACCATCGGTGACGTGGCACCTGGATTTCACATCAGGCGATGAAGTGCAGGGGAGAGGCTGCTGGCTCACCTGAGCTTGCAGAAGGCAGCTTGGGACAATGGCAACATTGTGCATATGGTGATCATAGTCATGTTGTGGACTTATGATGGTGGTGTTGTGGTAGTGTCGTGTCATGGTTGTCGTGTCACGCCATGGTTGTGGTGGTCAGTAAATAAATGAAAATGACTGTTGCCAGGCCATGCACCTGGTTTGTGGTCACTCCTCACACTTTCCTTGACTTGGTTAGTGTACAGGTGGGCAGGCAAGCATGAGGCACTCACCCAGCAACCCATTCCCTGCACTTCCATTGAGGATGCAAAATGGTGGGTCATCGGGTGTGGCAAGATTCTGGAGAGCAACAAGTTTTGTGGTTTGTTTGGCATCAATGTCATCCTCTGGCAGAGTTTGAATGGACTTGTACCCAGAATCAAAATAGCATGTTCAAGTTCAAAGTGATGTGTATAGAATGTACTTATGACAATCTCGATACTAATTGAGCACTAATCTATGACTAAATTCACCTCTCATTTGATGCCAAGGGAAAGCTGATGTGAAAAACACAGATGTGTGACAGATGGCTGACTGACCTCTGACTTCATGTGATTTTCCTTGACTTCACTTTTTACTGAGTGTGATGTGTTACCACCCAGCCAAAATTTTGGTTTCAGCAGAATTTGGCCATGACAAGGCCAAAAATTCGGCAGTACAGCACTGCAGGCCACAAAATTTTGCTATGTTAAGACTGTTACCACAAAACAGTTTCGGCATGGGAAAAATTTACCTGTTACAAGCATTACATTTCAGTGATTTTGAATGCTCTGTGATGTGTTACTGCCAAATTGAATGAAATAGTACAGTAATGAATATAGGAAAACCAACAAAATACCTTCACAAGAGGTTGTGCAGGCAAACCTGGCAAGCTCCTGTAGGTAGTCATTGTAAAGTTGGAGAGCCTGAATGACAAGCACAAAATCAGGACAAACAGACACCAAACATCAGTTTGTTTGGTTTCTGCCTAAATAGTAAAAATAAGGTGACTTCCCCTTTTGGGATTAGAGTTTGAGGCAGAATCTTAAAAGTGATTTTTTTCCATTTCTAAACTCATCCTGGTCCATAAAAGATTAAAAAGGATATTACCTTTCTGGAATCACATAAAAATGATAAAAGATTCCAAAAAGGTGAGTGAGTACTTGAGTTTTATGCTACAGCAAATTTCTATATACTGTCCTTTGGATAATTCCATGAACATGCTGATTTCTTTTTCGGATGCATGATGTGACCATGCACATGAAATATTGACACCAAATGACATCTTCATAGCAATTTTTAAGTCAATTCTGAGTAGATTCAATATATCAGGCCTTCTTATTGACCTACCACCTTTGACTCGAGATCATCAGAGATTAGTAACAAGAAGATGACATGCAGAATCATATTTTTATTGATTAGATATTTGTAGGACATGTGTACAATCATGGTAGGTACATCACACCACATCTTGGAAAAAAATCCGCATTGTTCACAAAATCATGCAGAAGGCAGTAACAATCATGCCCATTTTCCAATCCATAAATGAAAAAAAAATATTACACCCGACGGGAATCGAACCCGTGCCGCTTAACTTAACATTATGGGTTCAGTGACGGTTGGTGGAAGAGAGAACACACAACGCGTCGCCAAACAAATACCAAATAGTTTCTTTTTTCTCAACAGTTGTGGTTTATTTGTAGCTGTTCACTACCGTCCATTGCTGCGAAGGTACTGTGTGAAATACTGTGCATTACCTTCGTCGTGTGACATGAGTTGAGGTGTCGCCAAACAAATACCAAATAGTTTCTTTTTTCTCAACAGTTGTGGCTTGTTTGCCATCATTGGCATTCAAGTAGGTGTGCAATAATGCGCATTACTGCGTGTTCACTGCCTCGAGTCCATCATTTGTGGCATATGTGTGTATGCTCATTGAGGGACTTTATTAGTGGCGGGATCAAGGCAGGATCAATGATTCGCCTCGCCACATGCCTTGCTGTCTTTGATAGGCATGGCAAAGACGCTGACAAGTTCGGTTTCACCGATCCTTTACCCAACCCGCCACCTCCTCCCATCGGTCAAAGTCATGACTAACAGCATAGTATCGCAGTCGTTCATGCTGTGAAATTACAAAACGCGTGCATGGCAGAATTTTCATTAGAATTGGTACATTGAATAACGGCAGCCAAGTGGCGGCCTTGAAGCTTTGAATATTTGAGTGGAATTTCCTGTGATGCAGCTGACAAATCCATCTGCCGTCCGGTGGACGCTCGGAAATTCCAAATCCGAGATTCTTTGACAAATGTGGTATTCAGAATTTTGAACCCAAACATTTTCTGCAACACCATTCTACCTGCATTGACTTAAATTTGGAGGAACAGGTTGCATGGTAAGAAATTACATGGGTGTTGACTGTTGCACATTTTTTTGTCTCACATTTATAGCAGAATATAATGCAAGAATTTTAGACTGTTTCTATCTCACTCAATAGTGGTGCCAACAACCTCATCCTTGGCAGAAACTCAACACCTAAAACCGCTACCAATACAGTAGATATTCTCACAATGCATAATGCCGGTCCCCGACTTTTTCTATGCATTGTGAGATTTATGCAAGATGAAATATGTCACAAAATGTGACTATTTGTGACCTCAGCCAAAAAATGTCATGCTTCGAAATGTCCTTTATGTAGTGAGATGAAAACTGGAAAGACTGGATATTTACAGGCTATCGACATCCATGGGAGAGAGGTTACTACTGAAAAAAGAGTTGAGAGTAGTTTGTCAGGCTGATTTCACTTGAACAACATGAAGATGAGCCCTCAATTTGCGCAATTCTTGTTGCAAAAGCAGTGTTGACACGCCGCGAGCCTCTGAGTGGATGACACACCAAATGCTCGCACAGCTCCATCCCCTCTGCGAGGTGCATAGGGCTTGTGCCCGTCTTGAGGTTTCCGCTTCTTCTCCTCAGCAGCTGGCATAGAATGATAGAAAAGTGTTGGCAAAATTGGATACTACTCTCGAGCAGTGTATTCGTGGCACACAGGGTATATTAGGGTAGACTTTGGTCCTGAAAAACTCAGGTACAATGAGGTGAACAGGTAAATACCCGGTAAATCTGTAGATCTGGTAATGCATAATGCCAAAATATGATATGCATTATTCAATATGACGTTCCATGCATAAATCCCTGCGTACCAAGTTGGTCCCCTGAAAATGTCATGCATTATGAGATTTATGCATTACGAGTATATGCATTGTGAGAATATCTACTGTACCACTTCTCTCATCCTTGGTGGAAACTCAACACCTAAAACCGCTACCAATACCACCTCTCTCATGCTTGGCGGAAATTCAACACCTAAAACTGCTACCAATACCACCTCTCTCATGCTGGGTGGAAACTCAACACCTCAAACCACTACCAATATTTTGATCATTTCTCCACAACCTAAACATCTCTGCATACAACTACCATCTCATCCTTGACAATCACTGTAAATGATCATGTTTCTGCATATAAATATATAAGCAATAAGATTCTAATCAAAGTTATCATAAGTGAATATCAGGGAAAGTAAAAGGAAAAAGAAATAAAAGTCTAGTGTAAAAAATTGAAAGCTTTGAGGTAGCCAGAATGGATGTTGATGATGGCATTCCTTCAAGAGGGGTAGCTGGAATGCATCTCAATGATGTTATCCTTCCCGAGCATTCATACTTGGTTATGTTTGCACCGGATAGCCAGAAGATGCCCAACCAATCGCTTGCACAAACAGCACATAGCAACTGCGCCCAGAAGGTGCCTACCATGCAACTTCTCCATTTACTGTGAAATTTTGCACAATTGCGTGCAGCAGTCACATGCGGTAGTGACATCTGCATACTGGTGTCCAACAGTCCTAACTCGACCCATTTCCATGGACCTGCCGCTATTCAGGTCACAGCGATATCTCCCCCAGAGGTAGGGCAATTTCCAAAGAAAAAGTCTTCCAGGTGTTTTTTGCCTAATGTGATCTCAAGAAAGCATATGACTGCAAGAAAACAAGAAAGGCAAATATGAATGTTTTAATAGCACAAGAAAGTCAAATGCGAATGTTTTGATAACATTTACGATTCCAGGCCTTCATCCCCATGCCCATCACCCAAATCTCTGATTACATTGCTAAGCATCTCTTCGTATTTCATTTCGCTGTCGCAAAACACGTTCCAGACGGAGGGTAGTTGGTTTGGGGTAACGATCGCGATGCCTGTTTGAAGGAATTCAGGGTTAAGATTTCTAGGGTTCAGGTCTTGGAGGCTAGTTCCATGCACGTCAGATGGGATCCAAACGACAAGAGTATTGGGGGCAGCCTGAATGCGCATCTTGTATGATCCTATGTAGAAATGACCTCTGGCATCAGGAGGGTGATCTCTGTGTACTGTCCAAGCTATGGCGAACTTGTGAGGTTGGTGTTCAAAATGCATTGATCTGGTTTGCTGTCAGTCTGGGCAAAGCAAGGAAAGAAGAAAATGCTTACCGAGCATAATTCTGAGCACAGACACCAGCAGGGGGTGCCATTTCAGCATTGCTGAATACAAACTCAGTATCACCAACTTGAACCATGTAATCACCCCGTGTGGTGTTCTTGGCAATAAACGATTTCGCAGCACCCTTCTCAGAGGACATCTGCACCATGTTAAATTGATCGAAAAAATTGTTGAAGTCATCCATAATCTCTCTAGGTAAGAGATCACAGCAGAGATTCCAAAAGAGTGCGAAGATTGAACTGGATCGGTAATCCATTTCATCTACGACACCCTTCAGAAGTTTGCAGTTGGTGATATTGCGTACCCAGTCGAACTGGGGTGCACTGCAAGACCCTGTGGAAAACCCCATTTGGATGATGCTTCCTGGATCTTCCATCTAAAAACGAAGAACATATTTGATAAGAAGCAAGGGAGAAAAGGAAAAGAAGAGCAACTTACGCGAATATTTTGTCGCTCAGCAACTGTTTCGCGGACAACTTTATGAATGGCTGAAGGAACATCGCCGTTGGGACAAAAGTTCCAGATGACCAAGGCAAAAAGATGGCCGTCGCCGGCGTTGTGGAAGGTACCACTGTTGGTGGCATGAACGTCGAGTGCAAGCTTCTTGAGGTTTACCTGCATCATCGGGAGCCACAGCCTGCGCTTGTCTGGTTGCCGCCCATACTCTAAATGGTTTCTTCATCGCCTTCCGATCGCGGTGGTCTCATACACCCAAGTCTTCAGTGGGGGATATGCTTTTTTATTTGAGAACCTTTTCAAAAAGGTCTGCGGAAGATTCACCAGCTTTGTGGCACCAGCAGCGCGGGCACGAGAGGTGAAACCAAGTGATTGACTAAATCGTTTTTTCAAAGATTTTCGCTGGCATTGTTGTTTCTGCCGGTCTTCATTGGCCCGTTTCAAGCATTTGGGAACAACCGAACCGCGCGCAGTGCAAACACCACTGAGGTGTGCGATCCAATCAACTGTAACTGGGTCCTTCTGCATGGCAAAAATACGTAAGTGGGATTGAACGATGAGATGGATGCTAACCTTTCTGCTGCGATATTGACTGTTAACCATGCGAATTGCCTTGGTTCAATGAGCCCTAGAAAAACTTTGTGCTGCCCAAACCCCACAGGTGAGTTTACTTAATTTGGCGGCGTACATGATGCTGATGCTACCCCATTAGATCTTCCAATGTACGCTGCAGTGTGAGTGCCGCATATAGCCTTCAGTGCTTTGCTCTCCTGGGTTGTTCCATCACCTGGTAAGTTTGAACCAGATGCTTACCTGGGCCTTGTTTCTCACAGCGCCTCTCAAGCTCAATACACGTTTCGACTTCCAAGAAATCATGCAGGTACACAAATTCGAGCAGGCTTGAGCTCCAAATGCCCAATCACGCTGGCCACGGTTTCTGGAGTGCCTGGCCTAGGGGAGAAGTTGTCTGTTGCTGTATGTTCTCCTCCATTGGCGCGCATGGACCCACCACTGATCTGGCATCCCAGCGAGATGAACAAGTGGGTGTGTATGGGTTCGCATTTTTCTGAGACAATGCATGGGTCACCACTGTGATCGACGAGTAAGCACGTTTCTTCGTTACTTACAACGTTCTAAAGCCTCGCTTTCACAGCATGTTGTTCACACGCGTTCCCAAATATGAGGAACTCAAAGTGAGCGAACAGGAGCTGTACCATTTCAGCAAAGACCTCTATAATGAGTCTGCACGCAAGGATGGCAAGTCATTGTATTTCGCCAAATCAGGCACGTCAGGGGAGACCTGGGTCCCTCTCATCGAAAAGGCCTACGCCAAATTACACAGCAACTATTCGCATCTGGTTGCTGCTCTGGCTCCCTTGGCAGCCAGCCAATTGCATCATTGTTTGCCTCTGCACCACTAACCCACTCTTTCACCATTTTCAGCTGGCCTTAGCACCCGAGATTTAAGATTGGCCGCTCCCCTGCTCAGGGCATGCAACCCGAGTACTCTGCACCCTCCAATCCAAGTGCTTGTATCGTTTCTGTATACTATCTTATACCAATCTTGTTTTGCATTGCTTTCGTTTATTGACAATTTCATGGATTCCTTATAATTGATGTTATGCGCATGCGTGTGGTTGCAGGGTGGCATCTATGCATCATATGTGCCATGGTCAATTTTTCTGCGCCAATGTATTGATCATGTTTGCCTCATCGAAGGAGTTGGTAAATAAAGATAAATATGCTAGATATAACATCCAGCCTGTGCGATTGACCGTAACCCCCGCTCATTCCCTGACCATCACAGTCAATGGGGAAGGGATCCATCAACAGCATTCACAGATTGCCTGTCCCTGTTGTCGACGCCCAAGACAGAGCTCCCTATACCATCGGCCATCGAGTATCGACCACTGAAGCCATTCTCTCAGTCTTCTCAAAGTCGAGTGCCAAGACTGCACCGTTCGAAGAACAGTGGCGTACCTGCATTTATTTTGATGCCTGCTGACCATTGTCCACATTGTCCAGACTATCAGCAATACATGCGACAATGCACAAAAACAAAAAAGCGCAGGACGAACTGGCGAGCCCAACTCCATTAGCGAGTCTTTGTCCTGATATTAGTAGCAGGATGAGAATTATGTGCCAGACAGTGGCGATGAGGTCGAGGTCATGGTGAGTACCTACCATCTCATTTACCACAGTTTACCAAGCTCTTCATAGTCTCCGGGGAAAGCGGCAACATTGTCCTCTCGGAATAGGCCGTCAAGAGCTACCAAGAACCTCAAAACAAAGGCACCAAGTGCTCGCACCACTTTATCAGAGAATAGCAACCAAGGCCCTGCCAAACCTACTGCCAACAGCTCTGGCATTCACGGAACAACCTCGTCTGCGGCTGATGCTCCCAAGCAGCATGTATGCGCGGATGACACCAACAAGAACACCAGCTCCAAGGGTGCAAATGACAATGCCAAAGAACCCAAGCGCCCAAGCGCAGTAGACGTGGTTTCTGCTCCGAAAACAAAGGTATGTTCTTGTGCACCACCTAGCACCACTAATCGCTTTTCAGGTGGCAGCAAAACCAAGGGCCTCGAAGGCCAGCGCTGCAGTGAGTCTTCATATTGATCATTTTATCTTTTCACTAACTGTGCTTAGGCGGAGGTGAGTCCTTTTATTCACTGCAACATTGCTTCACACCAAGAGATTTCAGTTCAACTCTGATTATGTGTGTTACCTCTCTGCGTGCTCGAACCGAGAGAAACTGATAACGCTAGTTCACCGAGGACTATGCCGACAAGCTTCGAAAAGCGATCTATCTCCAAGGTCCCCTCCCCGATGATTCTATCACGACCCAACTGCACATCCAAGGCTACGAAGTAGTCATCCGCAAAGAAGAGATTTCTGTCCAGCGGGAAACTAACAAACTCAAGAAACGAAAATTAGAACTACAAGAACAAGGACTTCAGCTCACCATTCAAGTCCACCAACAAGCGGTCGAACAACATTCTGAAGAAAAAAGGATCGCCAGTAAGAAGTTGAGGCTTATGACTTAGCGTACCTAATTATGTAATGCGCGCTTCGTTTGAACATTGACACCACTGTTTTCGTGTCTTTCTTATCCATCAGCATGCCCCAGGCCCAACATCTAGAGATGTGGATTGGGCAGAGAACATTCAAGACCTTGCCATGGTAAAATTGTTCGAGTCATGGGAGGATTCCGACATTATAATTTGGTCTGAGCACACCAAAGCGGACCGCGCCAACATCGCCAAAAAGTATGGGGAATTTGTTCAAATTCAATACCCCGCGGCTGCGGGACATGAATGGAGCTGGGGTGAGGATGGTTCAGAGTTTCTGAGTTAGTACTTGACTTTCTTTGAATTCTCCTTCGTGACCCATCCCCATAGATCGTTGGCAGTCATTTTTTTTTCATCGCGTCGCATGTTCAAAAGTAGTGTTTAAAAGTCCGGTCTGGTCCGGTTTTTTGATGCTTCTGGGCCTTAACCGTAACCGTAACCGGTCTGCATGTTTCCCAAAAGTCAAAAGACCGAACCGGACCGCAAAAAACCGCAGTCTGCGGTCTTTAGACTGCGGTCTTTTTGTGGTCTATAGACTGGTCTTGGTCTTCTTCGGTTTTAACCGGTTTAAGACCGGTTTTCTGGCCAATATTTTTAAATTATGAATCGGTAAATTTGTTAACGTGTTCCGTAGCTTTAAAAAGAGCCCAAGAACGTTAAATTCCGTTGAGAATTGGTGTTTCTATAAAAAAGGTCGTGTACATCTACTATTTTTAACGAAACTTTACATTTTTATTTATATCTTTGTCAATTCTGAACCAATTAATACGTGCTTGGGTGCGTTTTGAAGGGTATTTAAGGGGCTACAAAAGACCGGTCCATTTAGACCGGTTTTTTTGCGGTCTTTAGTTCTCAAAAATAAAAGACCGTAACTGCAGGTCCAGTTTTTTGCGGTCTTGGTCCGGTCTGGTTACGGTCTTTTTCCAGTCATGAGACCGGACTTCCAAACACTATTCAAAAGGCAAAAAGAGCAAGTTAATGACTTATAGCAGCATGATCAGACTCAGATGGGATTGCCTTTTCCTGGTATAACAAGCTCGTTTCATTCCATGTGTGTACTGATCAATTTCTTACAAGATGATTGAATTTACAGACTCGGCAGGCACTGAGAGAGCCACCACAATGGCTTGCATGACATTTCTTGTGCGCATACTTTATTCGCACCCATTTCATCGATTTGATCCTCTGTAGTGGGTAAAACAGGCACAGCACAATTTCAAATTGGACACCGAGCTGACAGTCAAGTCATACTTTGGTCCAGATGAGGTGAAGTTGCTGATTGCTGGAGCTATGATGGATGCTGCGTGCTATGATAATGTAAGTGACTTCTTATTACCTGCAGGTACCTTTTGCTAATCCAAATCTAGTCCCTTCAACATACCATCGCAATCATCTTGGAGCTCGAAACAGGCATCTGGCCCTCCTCAGCTTTTGCTGTACGTGATTATCGCGACTGCTACATAAGATTCAAAGTGAGTTTCTTATTAGCCCTGCCACTGTGATGCATTCTAATGGTTTAGCAGAACATAAAAATCTTCCGCAGTGCAGATTCTCCTGGTCGCTTTGCATCTGAGTTGACCATTGAGTGGTGGAAGGGGTACCATGATACCTCGCACTTGCGCATCGTATATATGTTCAGTTAGGTTAGTCTAGTGTTTAAAGGTTCAGTTCAGTCCGGTTTTTTGCCCTGAAAACGCGCAACCATGGACCGCAACCGGTCCAGGACCGACCCAGATATTGAGGGAACCGAACCGAACCACCTAGGACCGGTCTTTTGCGGTCCATTATTACTCTGGAAAATAAACAGGTTATATAAAATAGTAAAGCATATAAATACCCATCATTCTACCAATTTTCAAGAGATTTAATGAAGATTTGACATAGCTATGACTGAAACTGAATTACATCTCCTAGAGACTTGGGTAAAATATGGATTTGGTTATATCTTTCTCAATTCTTAACCGTTTTTGATGAAACAAGAACCCAATAAAAGGCAATAAACGTGGTTACAAGGCTATGTAACGCACGTGACCGTTTAACCGGTTGCAACCGATTAAAACCGGTCTTTGAATGCTTTTAAAAGATTTTCGAAATGAGGCAACCGGCAGCCAGACCAACGCCAAATTGGGGCAACTGCAACCGAAAAAAAGACCGGACCATGGTCCGGTTCAGTTCGGTCCACCGGTTTTTTGCAGTCCTATGGACTGAACCTTTAAACACTAGGTTAGTCACCTTGGCTCATTAGTAATGGGCCACCCTGCCCTGACAACCCATCAAATGGTATGGGTCTAGCCAGACTGCCGGTTTGATTACCGGACCCCATTGTCAAAGGGGCGGCTGGACCCTGAACAATCCACCAGTAACTATATGTGGGCCGTCAGCAACAATGTCCCACACCACTGGAGCAGCTGGGTGTACCTTGAATGTCATAACCCTCTGCGGGGTTGCCCTCTGCCGGGGTGTTGGTGACATGCTGGCAGCAATCATCCAGTTGAATACTTAGAATTAGAAGTCTGGCTTATACCAATCATGCATAATATTATCAACCTATGTATGCTGTTTGCTACAATTTGAGTGGAATCACTCTGCCAGACTAAGCACTGCACATTGCTTCTGAAACACTCCACTGGACTAAGCACCACACATTGCCTCTGCAGAAATTATGCATATTGGAATGATCTGTTGGAAGAAGCTTCACACATTTAATCTGCAAAAGGATTTGAGTACACCAGCAAGGCGATCACTCCACAAATATTGCTCCACCGGTTATATAATTTTTTTATGGTACACCACCAGACCAGCCACCGCACATTGACTCTGCAAACATAGAAAAAGAATTATAATGAAGTTTGACACATTTACATTGCAAACATATCTAAGTACACAATACCGCTGCAAATATTGCCCCACCGGCGGTGTCATTTTTTTATGATACGCCACCAGACCAGCCACCACAAATCACCTCTGCTTTTATATTGAAAATTTATAATAGCCTGTTAGAATATTTTTGACATGTTTACACTGAAAACAGATTTTAAGTACACAATACCTCCACAAACATTGCTTTGCCGGCGGTGTCATTTTTTTTATGATACACCGCCGGACCAGCCACTGCACATTGACTCCACAAACATAGAAAAAAATTATAATGAAGTTTGACACATTTACGTTGCAAACATATTTAAGTACACAATACTTCTGCAAATATTGCCCTGCCGGCGGTGTCATTTTTTTATGATACGCCGCCGGACCAGCCACCGCAAATTGCCTCCGCTTTTATATTGAAAATTTATAATAGCCTGTTAGAATACTTTTGACATGAGAACATATTTAAGTACACAATACCTCTGCAAACATTGCTTCGCTGGTGGTGTCATTTTTTTTATGATACACCGCCGGACCAGCCACCGCACATTGACTCCGCAAAAATAGAAAAAGAATTATAATGAAGTTTGACACATTTACGTTGAAAACATATTCAAGTACACAATACCTCCGCAAATATTGCCCTGCCGGCGGTGTCATTTTTTTATTATACGCCGCCGGACCAGGCACCGCAAATCACCACCGCTTTTATATTGAAAATTTATAATAGCATATTAGAATATTTTTGACATGTTTACACTGAAAACATATTTAAGTACACAATATGTCCGCAAATATTGCCCTGCTGGCGGTGTCATTTTTTTATTATACGCTGCCGGACCAGGCACCGCAAATCATCTCCGCTTTTATATTGAAAATTTATAATAGCCTGGTAGAATATATTTGACACATTTACACTGAAAACATATTTAAGTACACAATACCTCCGCAAACATTGCTTCGCCGGTGGTGTCATTTTCTTTATGATACACCATCGGACCAGCCACCACACATTGTCTCTGCTTTTATATTGAAAATTTATAATGGCCTGTTAGGATGTGTTTGACACATTTACACCAGAAAAATATCTAAGTACACAATCCCCCCGCAAATATTGCTCTGCTGGTGGTGTCATTTATTTATGATACTCCACCAGACCAGCCACTGCACATTGCCTCCACTTCCATTTAAGAAAATGTATAATAGCCTGTTAGAATATGTTTGACACATTTATACTGAAAATATATTTGAGTACACAATCCCTCCGCAAATGATGCTCTGCCGGCGGTGTCATTTCTTTATGATACTCCGCTGGACTAGCCACTGCATAGAACACCCTGCCAAGCTAAGCACTACACATTGCCCCAAAAACACCACCAATCTAATGGTACTTCAGACTTAGCTGTGCACACTTTCTCTTAATATGAGCTCTGGCTCTGATAGCCAGAGGTAACCAAGTATGCATTATGCAGGACCAGAAAAGGGTGTTGCAGCAATGAGGATGGTACGGCTATCTTGCTTGTTGCCAGGCAGGGACCATCAAAGTTTCAGTTTGTGCCTGAGACATTTCCAAATTGAGGTGATGTGCTTGGTGCACGGACCCTCTGCTGCATGCAAACAGACCCTGCATCCTGACGAACAACGACGCACTCACCCAATTTCAATCCATGTAACCTGAAAACCAGCCAGCTGATAGACCTCAATGCCATGGTAATTACCATGTTAAAATCTTCAAGAGATGCTTTGTTTTTGTTGACAAACACAGAAAAGAGGGTTTTATGTTGATAATCTCTATCAAACCTTGACTGCATTGTGGCATTACAACAAAAATCATCAAGACTTTTTTTTTTTCAAACAACTTATTGTCGGGCCTAGCTCGTTAGAATTATGCTTTTTCAAGCTTTTCAAGGGTGGTTTTTACATGAGTCAAAAGTCATTATTACATGTTGCAGGGCTGAAACAACCTGTGAAATGGTACTTTTTATGATAGAAACCATCAAGACTTTTATTTTCCCCAAACAACTTATCGTCAGGCCTAGCTTGTTCAAATCCTGCTTTCTCCAGCTTTACAGAGGTGGTTTTTATGTGGGTTGACAGTCATTTTTACATTCTGTGTAGCTGAAACAATCTGTGAAAAGGTACATTTCACATAAGTGACTCTTCAAAACACACTTGTGAGCATGTACAGAGGTTTATATACTTGGCTTCCAAACCCCTATGAAGGATCCAGATGAGTTTACCCTCTGTAGTCTATCCACCGCAGCCACAATCTACCCTCTGCAATCTATCCCCTGCAATATACCCTCTGCAGCCGCAATATACCCTCTACAATATACCTCCCCACAATATACCCTCCACAGCTGCAATCTACCCTCTGCAATCTACCTCCCCACAATATACTCTCTGCAGCTGCAATCTACCCTCCGCAATCTATCCCCCGCAATATACCCTCCACAATCTATCCCCTGTCCGCAGCTGCAATATACCCTCTGCAATATACCCTCTGCAATATACCCTCCACAGCTGCAATCTATCCCCCGCAATCTACCCTCTGCAGCTGCAATCTACCCTCCGCAATTTATCCCCTGCAATATACCCTCCGCAATCTATCCCCTGCAATATACCCTCCGCAGCTGCAATCTACCACCTGCAATCTACCCTCTGCAATCCACCACTCAGTCCCCCCATAGAAAACATATGCAGAAGAAAACAAGAAAACCTCAGCAGTACCACCCATTTACTAGTAATCATATGTATCAACTGTCTATTTAATTCTAGTGTTCTTTGCCCTAAACAAGATTTTTGTATTTCAAAAAATATGCAAGGACTACTCTGCCAGAGCAATTTCAAAGGCAGAGCCTTGTTTAAAAAATTGCATTGCTCCAGCAATGCCATTTGAGAAAAATATACTGCTCCGGCAGTGCCATTTAAAAAAATAATACATTGCTCCGGCGGTGCCATTTGTAAAAATGCGGTGCTATTTATGCTCCAGTGGTGCCATTTTAAACAAGAATACATTGCCCCGGCGGTGCTATTTTAAAAAATAATACATTTCCCCTGCGGTGCCATTTTTGAAAAAAAAAAAAACATTGCTCCAGCAGTGCCATTTTAAAAAATAACATATTGCTCCGGTGGTGCTATTTATGCTCCAGTGGTGCCATTTTAAACAAGAATACATTGCCCCGGCGGTGCCATTGTTAAAAATATTTGCTTTGCCCCGGCGGTGCCATTGTTAAGAAAAATACACTGCCCTGGCGGTGCCATTTTTGAAAAAAAAAACATTGCTCCGGCGGTGCCATTTAAAAAAAATACATTGCTCCGGTGGTGTCATCTAAAAAAATACATTGCTCCGGCAGTGCCATTTTTAAAAATAATACATTGTGCCTGCAGTGCCATTTGAAAAAAATAGATTGCTCTTGCGGAGCCTCTTTGAAAAAATTCCACTGCTGCAACAGAGCTTCATTATATATATATCTGGACCTCCAACACAGCTATTTAAAAAGTGTCTCCTATGAAAAGGCAATGTGTTTTTATTGGAAGGTGTTCTGCTGGTGTGTTGTATTCAGCTGTATTTCTGGGGGACATGCTATAGACAATAGTTAATGAAGGCTGCTTGTGATTCAAAAGAAATTACAGTATCTCATCACCTTACAGTAGGACTCTCATTGTGATTAATCATTCAGTATGTTTTTCAGTTGTAATGGCTCACATTCATGACATTTAACTGGTGACTGCAGGCCTATCACTATGTATGATCACCATCTATGTTTACATGGTACACCGCAACTTGTGCCGCCAGAGGACAGGGTGCACCGCAAATTTCCCCGCCGGTCAATACCATGCATCAGGACCGCCGGTGAGACACTACGGTGTTGGTGAAAAGGACGGCCGGCGCATGCTAGTGAGTCCCTGTAAGGATCGCGGCCGCACCATCACTAAAGGCACATCATAAGATTCCGGCCGTCCGGCTGGGCCCATATAGTATGGTGTTTTGTCATGTCCGGCTACTCCATTAGGTAAGGCACAACGTGACTAACATATGTGATATGTTGCGCTCAACAACGGTCGCTGAACACCTCGACTTGGACATCGGATGCTACCTTGTGGCACATGGAATCCGGCGCGGATTGTTCAAGCACCACAGCAGCCTCGAAAGTCTTCTTGCTGGCACTGAACACTGGATTCAATACAAGGACGAAATTCTCGAAGACGCCTTTTTTGTCCAATCAACGAAGCGGGGTCTCGGTATTGATCCTACAAAACCAATGCGCGACAACAATCACAGGGAATTCATGCAGCGCATCGGCATATCAGTTGGATTGGGTGGTAAGAAATTGAATTCATCTTGGTGCTAAGATTTTCTTACCCCCCGGGTTTAGGTAGTGAAAGCGGTGTGACATCGTATGCCATGAGGAGGAATTTCGCAACAGTCATCGCCAATCACGCCGGCAAGGATAAAGCGCGCAAGGCAATGGCCCATAAGGCCAATAGCACCACTTTGGAGACGACATATGATGACGATATTCGTCGAACCGACTTTGTCGGTCTCATTTTAGGTGAAGCAGTAGAATCTGCGTGGAACATGAGGCAGGGTCATCAGCCAGCTCTCAACAGGTAAGATCGTATATCAGTGTCCTTGCATCTATCTAATACATTTCGAAGGTTGGAAAAGGTGGCTGGCACCCCACTTGATCAGAATGAGTTAGAGCGACGCATGCCAATGCTGAAGATTCTCTCGCAGCAAGCGATCGACCTCAAAGACTGCCTCGCTCAAGGACTCGCAGATTGGAAACAAGTCATAGTGCATACCAATGTTTTTCTTGCGCACATTCTCAGCTGACGATGATACACTACTGGTATGACACTTCGATACTATCATCGAATGACACGGCTGGCAGTACATATGCTTGGACTGTTCGGAGGATCAAGCGCCTGATTAGGCGCGAACAAGAAGCATACCAAACTGAATGGCGGCGCGAGCAACATCAAGAGGTTCGAGCGACCATCACAACCGACGATATCAACAGGTGACAGAAGGAACTTGACAACTTACGAATCACAAACCTTGTCGCACAAGCTGCACAAGGCTCCAAGAACAATGTGTATGATGATGGCGAAGATAATCAAGATCACGAAGTTGTTGATTTGGTCATCGATTTGGAGCCTTATGATACCCTCGAGAGAGAGGAGTTAGATGCTCAACTGCCAGTGGAGAGCAACATGCAGCATCGCATCCAGTTTATGAAGTACGTCTCAACCTCTAGCCTATTGCAAAGGATTTTCACAATCTTTAATTACAGAAATATGATCGACATGAGAGAATCTCGCTACACCCGAGACGGAGTCTGCCCAGATTGCGCTGAAGACTTTACCTGTTCCGAGGAAGATGGTGCGAAGGTTTGGCACTCTGGCACTCACCTCCTGCGCCACCGGCAGGGCAATTTTCATGGTGTCAAAGACCAAGTGGCTTGACTCCTCAAAAAGCGCGAAGATCAATGTTTCGATGAAGGCAGTACGTGTTCTGCTTTGTCTTTTTGCAAAGAATGGAAGCTGATTCAAAGGGCGCCGCATGGTAGCACACCGATACATTTGCGCATGGTGCACAAGAGAGGCCGGCACAAACAAAGTATCTTGCAGGAACATCGACGCCGACCACCTGTGTTTGCAGCATGAAGACAACATGACTGCCGAAGCTTTCAACCTGTTGACACAGTACAAGGTATCGTCAAAGAAGACCACTAGGGACAGCACGCAGGCTGATAACAACACCTTGGTGGGGGATACTGACCCATTGATCCTCGACAAGTGCATAGGAACCGAGTTGGGTGATATCCCTGCAGAGTGGGTGGAGGGGATGTTTGAAACAAAGATGGAGCTAGATGGGATTCCTGCAGAATGGTTTGAGGGGATGTTTACAGAGGTTAATGGTATTGAGATGTAACGACTTGTTATTGTTCAAATACTACAATGATAAAGTAAACGACGGGGGAAACCTGTTTAGAAACGACTCTATGTAATCCGATACAATGTCATCACCGCAAAGTGCGTCCAACAGACCGACAATGGTATCGAAACCTGGCTGCATGCTAGCGACGTTACATGGAAGCTCTTGAATGTCTTTGTTTCGTTCATCTTCTTCGGCAGTCAAATATCTGGTGTGATTGTCGATGCGAAATGCCCGAGAAGGCGGGTGTGCAGCCAGGAGGGTGGACAGTTGAAGAAAGTCTCGTTTGTACGTTGGTGGTTTGGTGGGAATGTCCCAAAAGGGATCTAGGAGTATGTTTACGCCGAACTAAAGCGTTAATAAGGACACAAGAGAAAAAGAAGATAAGGAGGGACTTACAGAGTGGTAAAGCATCAACAAATGTATGCGAGCAGCCATGAGCTTGCTGTGCTCAACTACAAACTTTTTGCGAGCTTTTTTCCTTTCAGGTATGGTGGTGTCGGTCAGGTCTTGAGATTGAGTGAAGAGCGACGTGAGGTAATTTGATTTTGAAGCTTGATCCTTGGTTTCCCATTCGATCGTAAACTTGAGTGTTTCGACGGTTCTGATCACGTAGTTGACGAATGCGATGGCGCGGCTGGTGCTCGGTGTTACTTTGATATACTATATGCACGACTGTGAGAGTTAGAGAATGCCGGAAGAACCTTTTCTCTTGTTTCAATGCGCGCTTGAAAGTCAGGGTTGTTGTCGTTTTGAAGGAAAGCTTCGCATGTGTTTTGCCAGTTGTCAATGTTTTCGACGTAAGGTAACACCAATGCAGCCTTTCGAGGGATGATGAAGGGAATGAAATGAACGAAAAAAAAAGAAAGAGACGAACCCAGTTGTCGGCGGGTTCCGCTGTGTAGCCCATGACGAGTTTTTTGAGCGCAGCCTCTAGAAGGTCTTGTTTTTTCTTCGAGCGTTGTGGCGCATTGACGATGTATTGGAAGAGTGAGTTATGCGAAGTGGGCTTGTTGTTGTAGTTTGAAGCGAAGTGTGCGATGTCTTGGTACTGCTGATTGTTCATCGGATTGTCGGGTAGTCCTAATCCCCGTGGTTCTGGCTCTTGTTGTGGTCGTTGTTCTGGCTCTTGTTGTGGTTCTTGTTCCGGGTCTTGTTCTGGCTCTTACTGAGGTTGCTGGTCCTGTTCTTCTTGCGAGCCATGTCGTGGTAATTGCTCTGGCTCTTGTTGCGTTTCTTGTCGTTGTTCCGGCTCCTTTTGTTGCTGCTGGAATTGTGGTGCAATGCGCAGATCAAGATCAGATTCGAGCCTGGAGAGGCACCTGTCTGCCCGTCTAGTGAAGTCGTCTATCGCCTGTTGACGAAGTTTTGTTCGATTCGGAGTGCAGGCTGGAGAAAGATTAGAGCAGACATGGATCGCCTGAGAAATTCGGCCAAGAAGTTCTTGAAGTTCCATCGAGAGACGAAGAAAACAAGCCAGAAGGAGCTGCGGCGACGCAGGGGCTCGTCAAACACAAAGGGCTTCGTCAACAGTCAGGACCATGCACTTCGTCCGAATGTGAAGTAAGGTGATGAACTTACAGCCAAATGCAAAACCCTAGACACCTCCCGAAAACTTCTGGTCTCCGCCTCGCTTTGTGCAAACAACCGCATTTGGCACAAGTCCGTATCATTATAACCTCGAGTGGGGTGTGGAGCACTCCATATACCTGAGTTGGTGGAGGATTTGCGTCATTGATGCCCGCTTCCTTCCTCAAATGGTTGTTTACACAAAGCGAGGCGGAGTCAAGAAATTTCTGCGAGGTGTCTGGGGTTTTGCATTCAGCTGTAACGACGCAGTGTTACATGATAGTTCCCACCTTTGAGGACCAAAATCCGGTCCATTTGGAGTCCAAATGGACCGGATTTTGGTCCTCAAAGGTGGGAACGTGATGTCATAGCTCGCATCGGAATTACATACCGCCTTTGCAACCACTCAAAGCCTAGGTATCATTGGTAAAGGCTACGAGACGAACCGCTCCCATTTTCTTCATTTCTGAGGCGTGAGGGTCCATAAGATAGTAAAAAGGAGCTTACACCTGACGAGAATCGAACTCGTGCCGCTTGCTGCGCTCCAACTTCAGAATGGAAGGCAAGCATGATAACCACTTCACCACAGGTGTTATTGAGAGGGTATGAGATTCGCCATACTCGGACTGATCGGACGCGTCAACGACGACACCACAGCCTTCTTGGGTGTTTGAAAGGTCGGCTGGGCAGGTTTTGTGGTGAGGACACTTCCGATGTTGACGGCGAAGATCCAGAACCAATGGTAGCCATTGTCCCAGACGCAGTCATACGGACATTATGAACTCTAGACAAATCGTGCTACACATACAAACAGCTAAGCTGCCGAACTTCTGCACAACATTACTTTCAGTCCAAAGCGACCTCACACACCGCTCCTCGGTAAATGTCGTTCATATTAAAAACAAGCCAGTAAAAGTGATATGATCTCTAGCTACGTGACAGAGAGTCGGTCCCCTAAGATCCCTTCTCAAGCCCACTCTTCAATCGTCCACATATCAGTGTAGGTGCACTCTTGTGGGTATACACACGCAATCCAATGACAATCGTATTGTCATCCTCCAGAACTTCCTGCGAAGGGGGCGGTGGCGGGGGGGAGTAGGCAATCGGGGCTGGGATTATCATAGGGGCCGGGAATGATGCCAGACAACCAGGGTAAGCTGGTTGGGGTGACTGGGGCGGGGAATCCGCTACTGAAGCAGGCAGACCTCCCGCCCACCTGGGCTCGATTGGATGACGACTGGATACTGGGTATGCACCTGAGTAAGGGTTTGGTGGAGGAGAATGCATCCCGTTCCGAGGACTATTGGCAGGCTGATGAACGCCGTTGTGCCTATGCCCGTTTACTCCGTTCATGGGGTCTGTTCTGTTGACCGTATTCGCACTTGAACTGGCTTCTTGGCTGCTTTTCGCAACGACCGTTTTCGTGGTCGTCGTGGTGGTAACAGTTATGCTCTCCCCAGGCTTCACGTCACCGTACGTCTTGAGGGCCTCCAAACTGCTCGTATCAGCCTTGGCTGCTTCTCCGCTGAGGATTGTGGTAATCGGAGTGACCAAATGTTTTGGGCTAGTAGACATGATCGGTGTTACGCAGTAACATCTGCAAGGTGGCTCACTTTGGTTTATAATCTGGGAGAGTGAGATGAGTTGATGTCAAGAGGAGAAACTAGACCTACTCGAAGCGATAGACTGGCCCTTGGCTCTCTCAGTCATGATCCTAGCAAGCTTGCGTTTATCCCACCCGAAATCGATGCCATTCCTGAAATAATCCTGGTGAAAAGGGTCAGAAACAACAGTGAGCTGGTGACTTCGTATGCACCTTCGATCGGACCAGTGAAGGATCAAGTCGCGCCTAACAAGAGTTCAGCAAAGTGGATTGATTTGTCAGCCAGATCAACGTACATGGACGACGTAGTTGCCTGCCTCCAAATCTATTTCTAGGCTGGTGCTGCGTGTGTAGAAGAAGGCGTACGATGATTCAGCCAACGGACGTGTCGCGCCTTCTTTTGCGAGAATGAAATCCACAGTCCAGATACAGGGACCTTCTATATCCTTGAAGTATCTGGTGTTGATCTTTGAGAGCACAATTAGTGTCGGAGAGGCCACCGGAACAGAGAACGTGACTGTAGTCAATCGTAAGCCCCAAAAAGACGCAGCTGGGGGAAAAACGCACAGCTGATATCGCCAAAGGACCATGCTTGATACTTTGGTTGTTCGGGGATGTGAAGATATTGGGCGGACATCACCCAACTGTCGTCGAACAACAAAGTCCTCTGAATCTCTTGCCAGATGTTCAGGAAATCGCTGTCTGCATCAACCGAGCAAGGTCAAGTCAAGTCCTCGTACTCGTATCCAAGATGCACCCACAATCCATGACGAACTGTCCGTTTCCTCCAAAATCATGGCCCAGTTGAGGCAGAACCTCGAGCCATTCCGGGGTCCACTCTTTCGATCCATCCGACCAAGGCCCTCCCCAGCTTGCTTCGCCCCACGGATTACGCAGTACGACAAACCGCTTCCCTTTGACTTCGATCGCTCTGATTACCGAGTGAGACAAGTTCCCAACGAGCCCGTCAACGGTCGCATTGGTAAGCCCACTACGACCCCCATCCAAGGTCTTGAACCAGCAACCAAACAGGCGATCCGTGTTCGCCTTCAAGAGCTCGTCGTTCCAGAACTTGTCAACGTCAAGGATGTCCTGCCATATGTCATCAATAGAGAGATTTGCAGACTGCGAAAGGTGGACCAACCGTGGTTAGGATAAGGTTCGAAACTCCGCTGAAGACAGAAGTCAGCGCAAAGGCCCTCTGCTCCCGAAACCAAGGCACATACCCGGTCATGTCTTCGATTGCATCGCAAGGTCTTCCGAACCCCACGGACGCGTAATCACCGTGCAGCTTGGCGTACGCCTTTTCCACCAGGGGAACCCATGTCTCGCCGGACTTGCCGCACTTTGAAAAGTACAGGCTCTCCCCGCCCTTTCGTGCTGTTGAGTTGTACTTCTCCTTGTCAAAGTGATACAGTTCTTTTTCCACAGCCGCCAGTTGCTCGTACTTGGGCACTCTTGTAAACAGAAGGCTATGAGGACACGATCAGCAGCAGGAAGATCAGGCCCATAGGATCGACTCACTCGTCTACGATAACAGGCACCCAGTAACAATCTCGGTAGAAGATGAATCCATACACTCCAACAACCTCGTCGCGCTTAAGCACCAACCAAATTAGTAGATTATCAGTTTAAAGAGCTGGACGCGATACTCACTGCAACACAAAAACCCTCAACTAATCCCGCGACCGATGTCATGCTCGACAGTGCCGATACCAAGTAACAATCCTGAACTTCTCCCTGCACAATCTCAGCCGACTTCGTGGTACCGCTATAGAACACCGGGCTCTTAAAGAGATCAGAGACGCGGCGTACGTCAGAGGGCGAAAACAGGTTGTTTTCCACCAAATTGTGCAAACACTTTTGGCGATCATTCTCGAGGTCAAACTCGACATCACTAAGTGCACACAATGCGTCATAAGTAAGCGTTTTTGGCACTGGCTCGAGAAGGGGCAACGCTCACCGAAACTTTCGATTCTTCGCTCGGCAATGAGCCGCGATCTGTGCCACTCGTTCTTTACATTCATCATATGCCGCCTTCATGCACGCCGTCACAGAAACTCCGGATATCTGTTGAGCATACGATAAGGTATTCGCTGTTGTGTTGGAGACAATTGGTTCATTGAGTTGTAAATGTGAGGCGGGTGGCAAAGAGTTCGCCATTGGCCCCACGATCGATACGAAGATTCGTTGAGGTCTGAGGCCTGAGGGTTCGTTTACAAGCTGTGTGCTGCGTCCCCGTTCCAGCTTGTGACACTTCTGACTCCTGCGGCGCTATGCTGTGCGTAGCTTGAGTCAAGACCGAGTGGGTTGGGGAAAAGCGCCGAGAGACGACACATTATACGAACCGAGCGTCCGTTCAAGGACATAGCAACATTGTGAAGCAGTCAGTGGGAGGTAGCCGTGGGACCCGCGTTACTTTTAAGTTTGTGATGGGCCCTGATGCAATTGTCCTATTGGAACGGAGGAAACGATCAACTGATCTCAAACGAATGATCTCTGACTTTGCTCAGACTCGAGCTCGTTGTGTCGGTGGCTGCGGGCGAACATACGATAATCTTTAGGAAATTTCGAGAGAACCCAGTCATCGGCAATGTGCTGGTAGCACTAGCAATGAGAATGAGAACTATTTATTAGCTAACTACGCTGCATAAGCAACTCAGGTAACTACCGAAATAGCGACCTCGCTAGCTAAGTACTAATAGCAAGTACTCACCCATCACAAGGTCCAATCCGATGCTGTTCGTCAAAAGTACTTATCAATCGAGATAATGGGAAGAAGAGGGATTTAGCAAACCTGTTTCCAATTCATTAGAAAGAGCAGGCGCCAAAACCTCGCTTCCGGCCTGTCGGAGAAGAAAAACAAAAACAATTGACGAAAGCAGAATGGACGACCGAAAACGGGCTTTCATATGGGAGAACTTAAGGTTCCATTTGTACTATGTAGAGCCAGCCACCGATAACGACAGAACCCGTCATACAACTGAGCGCCCGTTCAAGACTTCAAGTAATAAGGTAGCGGACAGCCATACCTCGCTAACATCACGTGCCGAGCGTGACAGCCTCCAAAACGGTCAATTTTTTACAGATTGCTCTTCAATCTAGTTAGCACACGGTTTGTAGCTAATTGGGCCAGAACGTATTGTAGATATTAGTGTCAATTTATATTTGTGGGTAAAATTTTGGCGCAAAAGCAAAATCTCGAGAAGTAGATCCAAAAACGGCGCGTCGCGTCGCGTCAATATTGGCAATACGTCCGCGCGCCCTCCGTTATCTGTCCTAACCTCAACACACATGCCACCACTACGGAAGGCACTTGTTGCACGACTTGCAAGTATGGGGAAGGGCCCTGGAAAGAGAACAAATCCATGGGAAATGGATGAGAATTCGGTGAAGAGAAAAAAGCTCACAGGTGGTAAAAAGGTGAGGCTAAAGATCCATCTTAAATGTGTTCTGTCGCATTTAAGCTGTTTAGAATGGCGTTACGACAGATAAACCTTCAAAAAACGCGTCAGAAAACGCGTCGGCTGCACAGAAACAGAACATTGACGCGTCAGGGTCGGACCCCACATTACGGCCGTCTTCTGTGATGAACCAGGGTCAAAGTCAACAGGATTGCATTGACATAGGACCCCGGTCAATAGCAGAAACGGTCTGGTCCCGATCCGGACAAAAAAATTGGATTTTCGCAAATCGGCCGGGAGCCAGTCCGGACAGAAAGTGACCAAACGTTGAAACTAGCCAGAACCCCAGCCCGGACAAAATTGCTCAGGACACATATACCCTCAGGCAGCAAATCCGGACAGAAGGTCTCTTAGCTGAGTTGTCAAGGGTGCGATATGGCGTGTGCCGCTTTTCCCAAGATCGGATGTTCGATTCTTGAACTAAACGTTTTGCTCATCTTACACGTGTTATTTGTAGTTGACACAGTCAGTTATGCTCAATAAGCCCGGATAGCTCTATTACAGCAAATTATGGCGTTATGCTCGGGCATGGTAAGCCTTCGATACACTGATAACATTTTACGGCTGATACAACTATTGTTTAGTCGTTGCAATGTACTCGAAAACTGGTGGGAAGAACAGGAAACACAGTGCAATCACGGAATCGTCGACCATCCCAGCAGTTTCGTACCTTGGTGTCCAGCTCTTCCAGTACCGCATGGCCCGACAGTTCCGTTCAGTGCCTGATGCGACTGCGATTTTGACGCACAATTGGCTGCGTCTTTCATTGAAGTAACACTGGAAGATGCTGATCGTTATCGAGCCCTGCGAAATGGTGAAAAAAAACTTACAGCAGTGATAAAACTCTCGAAAAAACAAGGCGGGGGGGGGAGATTTTGATTTAGAAGACTAGTTTACATCACACATACTATGTATTCATGGCCTAATGTCGTTTTCTTGTTTGTTGAAGTTCTGGAGGGGTCTCTGGACCGTTTGCACCTACCTGGGCCGTTTTTTACACCCTGGATTGGCTAGATCTGCGGATCCGGACGAATTTTTGCTGAAAAACCCCCAGATCCGCCAACCCGGACAAAATCTACAAAATTTGGGGTAGGCCAGGTACAATCCGGACAGAAACTGCGAAATGGTGTCCGGACAAAACCCCCATTTTCGGGATCAGACCGTTTCTGCTATTGACCGGGGTCCTATTGACATGTTCCTTGGTTCCTTTCAATGCCAGATCCCTGTACCGCATACGGCGGACCTTATGGCACCCAGATATCAATCATTCCAGATCGAGAAACCTGTGTCAGAGTTTTTCACAGGTACCTACCCCTGGGATGAAAAGGATCAGGATGCCGACAAGGAAGAGGCCCATTCCCTGGATGTAGAGGATGAAGAAATAGGTGAAGATGCAGGTAAAATAGATCTTCGAGCTATTGGAAAATTTGAAATCACTCACATATTGTTTCATGAAGACCTCCCAGAAATGAAAGAAATTCGAGATGGGAAGCAATGCCAAGCCCCTACGTTAGACCAAGCCAGGGCCGCCCTGAAAGATTTGAAAGAGATTCTTGATCCCCCACGAAAAACAGGTGCTGGACACAAAGATCCCGGCCTGGATCTCTTCGTCCGAAAAAAGGTGCAAGGCATGGTCAGCATGCTGAATTTTTACACAATCCCCCACTCACATACATACGGAAAATGGGGTGCATCTGCCCTCCAAGCTACTGTCTCTATGGGGAGAGGTCGTTATTGCGCGCGTCAACTTACCGCGCTGGTGCGGAAATTCCTGGATGATCGTACCTTTCTTCTGGTTAATCCCTATGGAGATTGGAACCAATCAATGCTCATTGATGAGGATTTATCCCTGGACATCAATTTGTATCTCCAGGAAATCGGAAAGGATGTCTTGGCAAAGAAGGTGGTCAGTTTTCTTGCTCGGGAAGAGGTGAAACAGAAACATGGCATTACCAAAGTGATTTCTGAACGGACGGTGCGTCGATACCTGAATGCGCTGGGTTACCGATTCCGCACTGCAAAGAAAGGTCAATATGCAGATGGTCATGAGCGCGAGGACGTTGTTTATTACCAGGACCACACTTTCTTACCACAATGGAAAGTGCTTGAAGCTCGAATGGAAAACTGGAGCAAAGAGAATGAGAAGGAACATGGTCCTCGACCTGATGGAAAAACAGTCATATCTTGGTTCAACGACGAATGCATATTCTATGCAAATGATCGTACGCCGCGTGGGTGGTACCACAAGGATTCCCCGGCAAAACCGTACACAAAAGGAGAGGGCGTGTCGTTGATGATTGGCGAGTTTGTGTCAGCCAAATTTGGTTGGCTCCAGTCACCAGATGGGAAACAAAGCGCTCGCATAATCATGAAGCCAGGGAAGAATCGTGATGGATATATGACAGCAGATGACATTGTTAACCAAGCCAACTGTGCAATGGACATACTCACGGAGTGGTACCCTGAGTATGAGCACGTTTTCATTTATGACAACGCGCCCACGCATTTGAAAAGACCGGATGGCTCGCTTTCGGCTCGTCGGATGCCAAAAAATATCCCAAAGGAAGGACATAACTGGGGGGTTGAAGTTACAAAGCGTGACAATACAGGAAATCTGGTTCACCTACCTGACAGAACAACTGCCAAGGAGAAAATCAAAATGGGTAATGCATGCTTTGCTGATGGGACTCCCCAAGCGCTGTATTTCCCAGAAGGTCATCCTCGCGCCGGCGTGTTCAAGGGAATGGCGTACATCTTGGAGGAGCGTGGACTTGTTAAGGAGTCGAAACTCCGTGTGGAATGCAAGAACTTCAAATGCGCTCCACCGGCTATTGATTGTTGTTGTTGCCAGGTTCTGTACAATCAACCTGATTTCACGCACATTCCCACTATTCTCGAAAACACCTGCAACGCTCGTGGATTCAGGTTGATATATCTTCCGAAATTTCACTGTGAATTAAATTTTATTGAGCAGTGCTGGGGCTATGCCAAGAGGATTTATCGCTTAAACCCGCCATCCTCGAAGGAAGAAGTTCTTGAAAAGTACGCGCTAGCTGCGCTTGATTCAATTTCTCTTGCACAAATGTGACGGTTTGTCTTATTTCCCTTCGAAAAAAAATTACCTAACAATAGAATCTTATAGCTTCTCTAATCGCTCTCAAAAATTTATGGATGCCTATGTTAAAGGTCTCAATGGCCGACAAGCAGCATGGGCAGCCAGGAAGTACAAGGGTCACCAAGTGCTTCCTGATAGCCTAATGGATGACCTTGAGAAGGCAAAAATCACTTGATCCTTCCCTCATTCTTGGTAACTATCATATTACTGACTTAATCTATCTCCTGGCAGCTTTCTTGATGACCAGCATAGCATACAGCTGTATATTTGGAACTCCTCTCTCAGATCTTGTTATTTTATTCCAGAAACTTGTATATACACTACTGATACTAATATGANCAAAATGTTTTTCTTGGCTTTTACAGCTTAGGATTNCGTTGTCTTAATATNCATGTTTTCATTCAAGTTCACCCGTTTAGGACTGAAATGTCACCGAAATGTCACCTCACGTGACGTTAGCGAGGTATGGCTGTCCGCTACCTTACATTGATACCTTGTGCCATTTTCATCAACAATGAGTTTCATGTTGGAGACCTGAAGCAGGTAAGATAATTCCAAGTCAACACGATGAAATGAATGGCTGACAAAGCCCTGCAGGTGTGCAAGGGTACAGTGGGAGATAAAAGGGTTCTGACAGGCAGATTGGAATCAGATACTTGCTGCAAAGATGGATTGAAAGAAAATGCACACCAACTCAGAAGAATGTTGAAGTCTTATCCCAGCTTTAAGAAAAACAATCAGTTATTGATCATAATCCTCAAACACTTGAGTGAACCTCACCTTGAGGAGGCTAAGAATCTCCAATCAGGAGAGAACTCTAGGTGATGCACAAGTGTGTTGTGTGCAGCTAAATCTTGAGTAGCTTCTAGAGCTGCAAGCTTTGGTACCAATGTTGATATCCAGGATTTGAGAACAGTGACAGGCTCAATGATGGCCTTCTTCCTGTCATAAGGTCCAGGATGACTGGAAGATGTTGTCCTTCACCTGTATGGTTGAGCTGTGTCTCTCAAGGCAGATGTTAAGGCAGCCAGGCAATTCTGCATCTTCATGTTTTGGAAGGCCTTTTGCCACAACTGCTTCCTGGGGCTAATTGGGGATGCTTCAGGTGAGGGGCTGTCTTTCTCCATTGGGGGGTTTAGAGGTGCAGATGGTGGTGTGATGTGGGTGGGCTTCAGGGATTCTGTCAACTCTGGCAGGGAAATGCTAGACATCCCAAGTTAGGGTTTGATGGCTCCAAGTGGGAGGGAAGATGATTAGGGCTGCTGTTGCTAGTAGTAGGCACACCATTAGCTTCCAAATTGTTGCCTTCATTGTCTAATTTGCTCAAGGAGCAAATGTTCCTGAGCCATTTGTAGAGTGACAAGAGCACTGCCCAGATCTTCTCAATGTTGTGACTCAAAAATTTAATGACCATTTGAATCCAGCCCACCACTGGGGTCTGCACAAACTGTTCTATGCTCTCAATAAGCACATCACTGAGCCATTTCTAGCCACAATGTCGAGTGAATGTCCAGTGTTCTGATGCAAACCATGCAGAGACAGCTGTGAGGCCGAATGAGGTAATGGTAGTAAGCACAGTTGTGAGAGTAGCTGTTATGAAGGACTGCAAAGCCATCAAATGTTGATTGAGAAGAGTTAAAATCAGTATAACAGTAATGCTTACCTGATGTGAAGCATAAGCAAAACAGCAGAGTCCAATGGAGAAACAGGCAACTGACAGGACAATCATTTAATCCAAATCAAAACCCACCAGGGCACCTGATCCCCTGGTGAGCAGCTAACATGGGCCTGGCAAGCAACCAAAGATCTCATTCAGGCTGGGTGGCAAAATGGACTCACTACATTGCTTGTTTCCATGTGAGCCCCAGGAGGCTATTAACAGCTGCTGCAATGCTAAAGACCATTGATGCAAACCACATAGAGTTGACAGCATCAGAGACAGTGTTGTGTTCCAGCTGGTAAGAAACTGCATA